AATCAAATTCAAATCTAACTGATACTATGCGGTCTGACTTCTGATTTTGACCTAATTATTACAAATTTCATCTTTGGTCCCTGACCTTCCGCTTAAATCTAATCTAATCTCTTGATGACAGAAAGCTGAGAGCGCGTAGCGGTGGAACTTGAAGCACTTGCCAGCTGATTTTAATTCTTTGGTTATGTCTGTGGCTTAATATGTCTCAAGAGTTCACTTTGTATTTTGCCCTGTACATTCTGAAATCAACTGATTTCTGTAGTGAAATTTACCACCATCAAATATTTTGGAGAGTCTGTCCTATTATTCAGTAGTACTCCCTCGGTCCCTTAATTATTATCTAGTTTAAGTTTTCATTTTTAGTTCAAATTGTACTAAAAGTGAAATCTCAAAATGAACAATAATTTTGGGTCAGAGGGAGTACATAATTACAGACTTATAGTGACACAACTTCCACCCCATCTGATGTTGAGCTCCAAGCCTGGTGGAATGAGATCACGAGCGAAATTAGCCATGGTGGCCGAAACTTGAAAATTAAAGTATTTCCCAGGAACAGGGGCACATGGTTAAGATTCGAAGGCGTGTACTGCATTTTGTTCTAACTGCGTATTTTCACGATGTTTCTGAAAAGGAATATCTGTTTAACCAGAAAAAGGGAGAAAAAAGGGGGCCCGGGGGGTAGTATCTGGAACTTGAAAGAACTTTTAGCATCAATCTACATCCCTGAAGAGGCAAACAGCTAATTAATTTCTGATCATCCTTTGCAGGAGTGCTGCAGCTATGCAAATGATCTAAACAATGGGAGTGAAGCGATTTTACTCTACAATTTGTGGCCTTGGCTAAGATTCCCTCCTTTAGTAATCCCTAAACAAACGCCTTACCGGAGCATTTTAATTAGCAGCATTATGCCATTATGCGGTTCAAGGTTGAATTCTTAGTAAAGCACAGGAATTTGTGCCATTCCACTGGGTCGGAGAATTATTATCCGCTTCGGGTCTGGTGAGTGCAGTAGAATTTGCTTTTATTACCGTACCCTTTTTTGTGTATCTTGGGGGGAACAACTTTCCAATACAACCACTAGTGGATGAGACAGTTTAATAATGTCGCGTTCTAATCACTGACTTACTAACAGTTAAGGGAGACTTGTCCGAGCCACCGTAACCCTCGTGATTAATAGCCGCCAATGATACCACACAATCCGCTGCAAAATTCAATTTGCGGAAATTATGATGTAGTTCCAACGAGCCAGGGACTGTAATCTTGTGGTGATGCACGGTTTATTGTTTATGTACTGTTGGGGCTGTTAATTGGTGTCGCGTGCCAATAGGTCATCTTAAAAGTGCACTAGAATTAAAACGGAGAATCTTATATGTAATCATCTACATTGTGTTAGTACTACTTTTGCTGGTAATTGGTACGGGTGGAGTACTTTTACTTGCGAACGGATCAATATGTCTGGCACCACAAAAGAAGAGAGTGGTTAGAGAAGCTGCGAACCTTTTCCCACCTTCATAAGCACTTGAGTGTCACAGTGATGCATACTCTAGTTTCCTGTAAACTCCTGGTCAAGAAACGAAGTTTCTTGATGGTGCATATACATAATGTGCCAGGTCATCATCATCATCCACTGTTACATTCCTTGTGTTAGTTTTCCCAACTGCTAATTTTGACTTACCAAATTGTGGTGTAGTGCAGGATCAACAACAGTTCCATTTCATCCTTCGGTAAGCCAATACACAGGCTTACATGCCAAAGCAAACGGAATTTTAAATCCTGCAAACTGACGCTGAATCACAGAGAAACATGGGCTTCTGAGATTTGTTTGCTCAAATTAAAGTGATTGAGCAAAATATGGCCGATATATTTCATTGAAGTTACAACTGAAGATGTATCCCATGCTCTCGAGATGTAGCAATCGCATCTTGTGCTTCACAGATCCCTTCCTTGTAGTCCGTTATTGGGTTATCAATTCATTTTAGGTTCACTCTACCAACTGAACCAAGCTATTCTTAGTCTCCACTCGAAAAAGAGGCCTTTTGTTGAGTGTCCTGTTTCTATAGTATCATTCCAGTCTAAAGACCAAGGAATATACTAGAACAGAGAACATCTATCATGTTTGCTTGGCTAGTTTTCAGTTGTTACCAATTCAAAAAGATGGGTGCAATTACATCAATCTTTTTAGGCTACCTGTAAAGTTTTACTGTTGCAGTTGGTAATCTTACTGGACATCAACTGATAGACTCCCACTTTGTGGTTGAACATTTACTATTTCATAATTTTTGAAGCAATCTTTGACTGCTGAAGTACTTTCTTTATCCGTGAGGCCTGAGGTTCAATCACTTCAAAGTTAAAACTACGGTGGTTCCAGGGAAGCAGGCAATCCCCCAAAACTGTGACAGTGATTATCAAAGTTTGATGCAATGGATTGCTACAAATGGATTGCTCTACCGCGGTCAAAAGTCTTGCAGAAGGATATCACCAACCCCAGCCCAGCAACGTCCTGCGTAGACTCCTAAAATTGATAGGCTATGAATGGCAAGTTAAAATTTCCGTCATCAAAAGAAATGGCAACGTGGTAGCCGATTCCCTTGCTAAAATATGCTTCTCAGCCCCAACCGGGATGCACATTTTGCCCACAGCCCCGAACATAGTACTAGAAAAATTAGCTTTTGATAAATCAACTCTCTCCCGTTGAGTTGTTTTGTAATCTAAGCGTTAAGTTTCCCCAGTATATATATATATAAAAAAAAAGTTTGATGCAGTGGATTGAAATTATCTGAATTTGAAGTCAGCAGATGATGTTTCTTCCATTAGAGTTACTGAGACCTCATTTTCAGTTGCTGAACAAGTTTTATGATTTAGGCTGGTGAATCAAACAATAACTTATGCAGAAGTTATAGACAGTAGGTACTGAGTGCAACGCATTCAACTTCTTTTCGAATGCATTACAAATATGGAAAGAAAACACAAATCTAGCCGGTGTATGGTCCACCCAAACTAGTAGTCATCTTTAAGATTTAAAAAATAGAATCTGCCCTGATTCATCCATGTAATACTTTTCTCCTACTCATTCTTCTTATGATAACCACCTCAACATGCTACAATTTTTCGGTTATAACATTTAATTAATGTATAGCAAAACTGCTGTGATGAGTTTTGAATGCTAAATTCACTTTGCACATATGTGGTTGTAAATGCTTCTGCAACACAAAATGATGATGACAAGACGAAGACGTCCGATTCCTTTAAGAAATAGGAATGAAGACTTAATAATTGCCAATTATCCACAAGAAGTGTCTGTAGCTATCAATTTAGCTTTGATTCAACTAAGCTTCTACAATTTGACAAGAAGACTGTTTTTAAACCATGTTATGCAGTGATCATCAAAATGAAAAGCAAAGCAAAGAAAAGAAAAATATCTACACTTGCTAGGACGTGTTTAATTTCCATCATTTTTAAAAAGATTCTGCATCTAGTGTTGCTGGTGATCACTGTGGTGTATAATATGCTCTGAGGAATGGTTGGGAGCAAAAATGTGCAAGTTTAGAAAATAATTAAAGAGCCTAAACATGCTGACCTCGTGGCTAAGTTGTATTGAGCCGAAACAGTTGCCGCATCCACTGGGCAAGTTTAGGAATGGTTTGGCTCCATATTGATGGTGAGAACTGAGAACCATACTCCAGATCGACCGTGAAGCTCTGTCCAGAATCCGCGGAAAGGTATGATGTTTGTCTCTTCAAATCTATTTGATGTCCAGTGTTTAGTTGAATTCGCGACATATATATTTCGGCTGATTAGCCTGAACAATTCAAGGCGAGAATTGGGTTACAGTCCTTTATCTTGGTCTAACTTTTTTGTTAGGTTTGCTCGCTTGAAGTTTTGAACGATGAGTATACATGAACCCTTCTTCCCCGTCCTCCAAAGGAAAAAGCCCTTCTTACCTATCTTCGAGAAAGGAAAGGTAATTCCTCGTTTCCTCTCCCTCTTTGAATTAAATATCTCCTTCTGCTTTTCAGTCACTAGTTGATTTCCCAAATAGATACATAAATATTGCATATATTTAGCTGAGGTACTTATATCGATATTCGCTTAAGCAATTAGGGTATCCTTATTGATTAATAAATTTGTTTATGAGATTTTGTTTGTTCTGATCCAACTGAAGCAGAATACAATGGATTTTTCCCCTGTGGTCTGACTCTTCTGGAGTTATTAAAAAATGGCAAATATTAGTATTATTTCTGTTTTCTTTTATCTTCAAATTAAGGCTCGTTCTGTTTTTCAGTTACTAGTTGGAGGTAGGATCTTGGCCAGAACAACTAGGGCAAAGATCCGCATCCATATCACTTTGATCAACTTTATTTATGATGTTTGTTTGTCTCACTCTCTTTGTAGGGGAAATGGCCGAATGGCCGGATATCTCAAGTGAAACCTCTAAAGATCAAAATGTAATTTTCCTGCTTCAATTCTCTTTTCCTCTTTGAATTGGGGCTCGTTTGTCTGTTATTTACTTTATTTTCTGATGATATCAGTTGTATGTAATAGCTGAATGATCTAGTGTGATCGTAGCCTGAACAATAGGGGCGAGAACCCCTTGTTTCTGATGTCGTGTTTTTTTTGCTTTAACTGAAACTTAGAGCCCGACGAGTCTATATCCACTGAGGATTACAGGACCGGTCCGTTAACCAAGTATGGTCCATTCGACTTGATAAAGGCGGTTCTAGAACATGAAATTTAGTGGGATTCGGCACCCTTCAAGGCGGTTCTAGAACATGAAACTTATATTTTTCAAACAATCATATCTTTTAATATATAAATAAAAGATATGATTGTTTGAAAAAAATAGTAAAAATTCAAAAAAGAAAAAAAGAAAAATCAGAATTTTAATTAGGGAGCTCCGCGTCAAACGAGATCCACTGTCCTCTCCGCGCGTGTGTTGCACTCGCCAGACTATGGGTAGCTTCCTTTACCCATAGTGCCGGCAGGGTCCTTTTTGCCAATGGTTTCAAAGCCTATGGTCTATGGAGTTCGCCACCAAAACCTACTCTTCCCAACCCGGAAAACACAATCAAATTCGATCGGCAGTTCGAGTAATCTTCTCCTTCTTCCTCTACTCCCAATCCTAATCAGTAATCAAACCCTTCACCAATGCTCAATTTCCCTGAGGAACTCGTGATTGAAATCCTTTCAAGACTACCCGCCAAATCCTTGGGGAAATTCAAGTGTGTTTCAAAATCATGGCTCGCTTTGATCTCAACCCAAAGGTTCATCAAAACCCATCTCTCGATAGCATCTGGAAGGGATGATTATGAGCACCACCGTCTCGTCTTCAAAGTTTCTCCTTTCTCAAGTGACGGCGCCAATTACGAGCTGCATTCTGTTTCTTCTTTACTGCACGGGCCGGCATCTGAAACCACCACAGTTGAGGTATTTGATCTTGATTGTCGATTGTCGCCCACTAATTCGTTGTTTTTCGTGGGTTCTTGTAATGGGCTACTTTGCATCTTTCACATGAGGAATGAAGTTTTTTATCTTCATAATCCTTGTACCACAAAATTGAAGGGATTGCCTGATTCGGGTATTCACAGGGGGTATGGGATTTGTAGGAATTTTGGGTTCGGTTATGTTAGGTGCAGCGATGATTATAAGGTACTCGGGCTTTTTAAGATTTTAATTGAATCCTTAAATGGCCCAGTCTCGTTTAAGTATGAGTTTAGATTGTATAGTCTGAAGAATAATTCGTGGCGCAAGATTGAAGATTTAAAGATTGGGATTCCGAAGCTTGAATTTCTGGATAATTTCAAGTTTGCCAGTGAAAACCTCCACTGGCTCGTCGATGATGGCATTGATGGTTTGAGAATTGGTAGGTTTGATTTGGCCAATGAGACCTATCAAGTAATGGACTGCCCGAATAACAAAGACAGTCTTTATGATCATGGACTTGGTGTCTTGGGAGGCTGTCTTTCCCTGTTTTATGATCGTGAAAGAACTCATGCAGATATCTGGATAATGAAGGACTATGGGATTGAGGAATCTTGGACAAAAGTTTTCTCTATTCCATATATTGATACTCCTGGTGATCGTTTGTTTGAAATGGCTCAATCTATTTGCACATCGAGGAATGGTGAAATGCTGTTTATCTTAGGCTCAAAGCTGTTACTTTACGATCCAAAGAGTAATACATTGACTCAGTTTCCGCAGATAGGTATTTTCTTCAGAATGATTATGTATGTTGAGAGCTTAGTTTGGCCTGATATCCATGATCTAGAATGATTAGGCAACTGCTTCAAAAAAGCGGAGGAAGGAAGAAGTGGATAAAGCAAATAGTGTTGGTTGAGCCACAGTGCTGATGCTTTTACAATCGATTGAAACCTGAATGGTTTTGTTTGTGAGGATGGAAAGAGGAGAAGACCATCTCTCTAGTCTGCAAAAGGAATGTGTTTTTTTCTCGTAATTTTGCATTGTCTTTCACAATTCTAACTTTTTTTGTTTGAAGTACTGCTATTTAGCTGGAGGTGAGACAGCAAGGGTTCCAATCCGGCCTGGGTCTCTGTTATGTTGACACAGCTGAATTATCAACTTTCCGAATACGGCTACAACTGTGTCACCGACTGCAAACTCCTAATGGAATCGGATTCCGAGGATGCTCTCCAGTATATTGCAAGCTGTAATGAGAATTCAGCTTCAGATCCTGATCTTAGGACGATCTCTTCTCTTTTGCAATTTACCTGGCATGTGAACATAGTGTTAGGGAGGATAATCTTTGTGCGGATATCCTCTCTGAACAAGCGATTTGAATATGCGAATTAATTTATGTTTTGGACAGAGAGTATAATTTGGTTCTAGCATGATGCTTTTTTTTTGAGCTATGGCATGATGGTTTATCAGTAGTTATGAGTAACACATAAATCGGATCAGTAGTTAAACAAATTCATTCCTCGTAAATCGTAATTCCATTTCACTTGTTTATATTTTACTCCATTGGGAATTTCTTGACCAAGAATGACTGACATATATATATATATATATATATATGTACTTGCTAAATTCACAAATTCTGAAAACTAAAAACAACTTGGCAAAGCACAATTGAACGAGTCATATAACATAATATAGTAATAACACTTAAAAAAAAAACGTGGGGACGCATTCCTTTTCCTTGGTCATTCAATTCATGGGAGCTAGCTAGCCACTGATCAAATCAAATTATAATGTATTATAACTCCGTAAGTTGATGTAATTTGCCTATTGAATATTGACGTCGAAGGTTCTTAATTTGCAATCAAACCTCTATGAATTAATACACTTAACCTCCATAAATTTATTAATATATGAAATTATTAATTTATCGATAAATTAATATGTTATTAAATAAAAGAAATTTTTTCAATTCTGTAAGTAAGAAAATACAAAAATATATTATATTTACATCAAGCAAAGTAGGTTGCAACTCTAGTCATATAACTATAATCTTTTTAATGTAACAAAAAGATAATAGTTACAAACATAAACAAATATAATTAAGTTAAAATTTAAATTAATTTTATTTTTTTTATGTATTTATTAATTTATGAAATTATGGGGACATGTATTTACATAGGAGATTCAGGAAAAAAAAATATGATCTTTTAAATTAATCAAGATTTTTAATTTTTTGTACTGGTCCCAAATTAGGACCGGAAAAAATTATTCAATGAATATTACTATCTCCGTCCTAGGAAAATAGTCCACATTGAGTTTTCAAATTTATACTAAAACTAGTATAAATATCAAAATCAATGTAGACTATTTTTTGGGACGGAGTTAGTATTAATTAGAAGATTAATTTATTTAGAGAGATTTTACTTTACAAAATGTGCTAATGCCACAATTAATCCAAATATCCTCAACCAAGCTAATTTTTTTAAAAACAGCTATATTCCTTATTAATAAAAATTTATATATAAATAGCGAGTTTGTCATAATTTTGGTAGTATATATGTGATGATACACGGGTAATAATAATAATTAGTTAGAGCCGACACGCTTCGCTTGCACTGGATGTAATGCATCTAGATTTTTCTTCAAAATTGTAACACCGTTTCTTACTTTTGATGTGATAACAGTTACATAATGTGTAGTAAAGTCGTTATTAATTAATTTAAAAATCCGTATCAATTGTAATAATTGTGATTACAACATTTGATAATGGTAATGTAACTTCGTATCCGCAGAAGTTATATTGTAGGTGAACATGAGGTTTTTATAAGATCTAATTTCTACATATATAACTTTTTGAGTTTGTATTTTTTGGAGAATGACTTATCTTTTTTTTTTTTTTTTGGTCTTTATTTTTCTTTAAAATGACACTCAATAACACCAGAAATATCCCCAATAAGATTGGTACAAATTCTCGTACGCTACTAAGTTTAATCCTTCGCTGCCAAGGAAATTAACCATAACATAATAAGTTACTAATGAAGTTGAACACAGTCAAAACTGCATTCGTATTTTTACTATCAATTTTTTTAAGATAGATAATTAAAAAGGGCATTGGAGAGATCAAAATTATTCTCAAGGACATTTGTATTTTTTTACTCTTTAGCATAAATAGTAAAATATTTGTTATATATTTTAATATTTCAAATGACTGATTTATCCTTCTCCCAACTAGCAACAATTACTCTTTACTTCTCTATTTTTGTCTCCATCAATTTCCCTACTCTCTAAGTGACTTATAGGGCATGTATTATTCTAACCTAGTCCTTCATTTGCTGGAAAATTGATCTTCATTGATCAATTTATGAGATAATTAATATCATTGAAGCAAGTATTTGTTTAGGATTTTTTGTTGTTTGTTTTTTGACGTCTTCCTCATATTATACTCCCTCCGTCCCATAATTATTGTCCACTTTGACAAAAAAATTTTGTCCCAAAATTATTGTCCAATTTGACTTTTTATGGATCAAGTTACACATTTGTCCTTAGTAAAAAACATTATCCATAAAATCTTAATGGTTAAACAATTACTTATGTAGGGGTATATCTGGTTGTTTAAAGTAAAATATAATTAAGTTTGACCAAAAATAAAATCTTTCATTTTAGTAAAACTGACAATAATTATGGGACGGAGGGAGTATAAGTCTGCACAATGATAATATCAATGGAAAAAGAATCATTGAATATTGAACTAATTCAAACGTATCAATGATTTTCTGGCAATAAAATCTGATAGCATCTCATTTCGTTTCCAAACCAAAATTCTACACTCAACCAACCAACGAAAATCGTAATAATATTCAAGAAGATTAATACTCAAAATTAAGATTATGAAATCGAAATTTAAAAGGAGAAAAATAAGAAGAGACGATTCAGATTGCAATCTTTGAACTCAAAATTCTAAATTGAAAGAAGACACGGGAAGCCGTCTTATTGGCGGCGTGGATTCGAGCATCACAGGCGGTACAGAGGAATGCAGAGTCGGCCGGCAGTAAACCGTGAAAGGTGCGGAACGGCATGTATCGCAAACCTTTTCCTAGCCATTTCCACCGCCGCCGTCTTCATGCTTCAACATTTTGGGTTCAGTATGCAAAAATTGGGTAATGAAAAAACAGGGGCTTTTTTTCACTTTTGAATTATTTGTTGTTGGTAGGAAACAAAGAAAAGGCTGTGTGTGTGTTTAATTGTTTATGGCAAAGCGATTTTCTCAAAAATAGCAGAGTCATATTGAATGACTGTTTAGCCGATAAGCTTGGTTGAAATGGTGGGAAGAAGGATAAAAAAGTCTTTCGGTTGAACAAAAAAACGTTATTTGCAAATTAAATAATTAACAAGAAAATAAAAACACTAATGCCCTTGAGAATAATTTTGATCTTTCTCATGCTCTTTTTAATAATTTTCCCTAATATTTTTATGTCCCAGAAAAAAATACTTTAAGTTTTTGTATTATTTTAGTTTAATAACAGTATAATTAATTTTTTTGGGAGAGAAAAATTAATTTAGACCTTATTATGATATAAGTGGACTTTAAAGGGCAGTGATTGAACACGTACCACACAATATCTTTTGCCGAACTTTTTTTCTTGTTTTTCATTCAGAAATAAGTTGTTTTAGCCTTTTAGGAGTAGATTATGGTGGGTCTTGAATATATATAGCTACAGATGAGATCATTAGAGTTTATAGTGGGGATCAGAATGGCAATCTTGACCAACTATTCAAAATCTACTTCAAGGTGCATATATGTACTCTACTAGTACTAGTTTTATCAGCCCCCACATCCGTCAATTTTGGATCATTGGGTTGAAGGTCAAATTGAATTATATTTATCAGGCTTTTTTTCCCCCTTCCATACAAAGAAAAAGGGTATGTGTTAATTAAACCATAGATGTCACCGATCGAATTGCCAAAATTTTGAGAGCGAAATTAAAATGTAAGGCCATGCATGAGGTTTCTTTTGTTGGAAATTAAGTGTAAAGTTAATTTTATGTCTACGTGTACTAGTGATGTCTGGTGCGCGACCCTGGCCCAATATATCTGTAGATCTTAGAAATGTTTGTATCTGAAAAAAAATATTTTGTATTTAACCCGATATATTTTAGAAATATTTATAGAATTTTAGAAATGTTTTATAAGTGTGATGTTTGTATTTGGCAAAAAAATAAATTGTATTCGGCCCAGTACGTTTTAGAAATGTTTGAAAATTTTAAAAATATTTTATAAGTATTACTTCTTAAATATAAATAAACTTGATCAAATATATGTCTTGAATTAAATGCTAGACAAAATATAAAAGTATCCTAATAAGTTTAAATATTAGTAAGATAATTTATTGATGTTCTCCATTGGTTGTGCCAAATCAATACTTAGTTTTGGAGATTTATAATGGTTTTGTAGTTAGTTTCCTCCAAAGGTTATACACTTAATTGTTGGAACTATTTCTTTCAAAAATTTATAGGTAGTAAAATATAAAAAATATGATTTTGAAACTGGTTAATTGTTGAAATTGGTTGATCACAAATATGAGAATGAAAATAATATAAATTTGCATAGGTTTCAAGATATAGAAAAAAAGAACTCACCTCACCATGACAAATAAAAAAAAAGGTAAAAGATAGCCCATTAAAATTTGAGATTTTTTATTTTTTGTTCTGTAGGTAAAAATGATGTATAAAAACACAAATAAACGTAGAAACATCCTTCCTTCCCTCTCCACCTCAAATTCATAAAAGGATTCCCTATAAATTAGTTAAAAGAAGCGGCCTGAACTATTTATATGATGAGGAACTAAAAAAATTCCAAAAACCAAATCTAAAAAAGTATATTCTTGAAACCCTGAACACAAAAAAAAACGTGCTTCATTTGTAAATAAAATAATAATAATAATAATAATAATAATTGGTCAATTGAGAGTATGAAACAAAATCAAAAGCAATTAAACAAAGAAAAAACACACTTCATAATTGGCCATATACGAAAAAAAAACCCTGAGACTCCATAATTAAAAAAAGAAAACCACTCTAATTGAATGAAATATAAAAAACAAATTTAAAAAACCACACTTTGTAACAAAAACCCAATCAATCAATTGAATCCAAACATAACTAAAATCATACAAAAATTCTAGGCTAACTAACCAAATAAGAAATCACATCATACTACCTGACAACGGCTACGGTAGCTGTAACGGATGGATGCATAAAAATAATAGTAAAAACACTATTCTTGAACGGGAAAAACAAAAAATAATAAAAGCCAAACCAATGATCTGTGGAAATAAAATTATTTAAATTTTAATACCTGTAATGGTACCACCACAACGGCCGAAGTAAGATCAATGAGAATTTTTTTTTCCTTTGTGTTTATATAGAGAGGTAAAGAAAATATTTTTTGAAGTTAAAATTTTATCCGATAAAGATGTAGTTGATCATCACTAATGAAAATATTGAACATGCTAATAGGAAAGGAGTATATTTCACCACATAATCTCAATTGATGATTGATGAGGAATTTGTTGTTTTTTTTAATTATGGAGAAGGGATTGATTAAGGAGTCGATTGTCGTAGAGATGGGGATGAAGATTTGGGTTTTTTATGAACCCGTGATTTTTTTTTTGTTTTTTTTTGACGAAAATAGGAGGTGGAAGTGAATTTAGACTGCATTTGCCTTTTAAATTTAGGAGATGTGGTAATTAAAATTTATTTTAAAAATATGATGTGGAAATGTCACATGGCAAATGATGGTGTTTTCTCTTAAGTGTAGTTTTTGTTTCTAATATAGTAAGATATATAGTAACTGGAAAAAGGGAATTAAAATAAAGAGACAAGTATCCCACACAGGAAGAGGTTTGAGGATCACACAATGGGAGTTCTTAATTTTTGTGCGTTTAAATTCATTTCAAGAAAAGAAAAAGAAAGAATTTGTACTGACATCAAATAATAATGTTTATAATAGAGTATGGTTTTAAAGGCACTTTAGTTATTGGTTATTACCACAATTATCAAAGGATATATACATTTTGATTTTTTTAAAAATGGGGAGAAAGTTCCAAATATTGTCCGAATTATCGGCTCATGAATTCTCCCGACCAAGGAGTACTTAAGATATAAAAGATTAATTCGGACAATAATTTCACTCCCTGTAAAACAGAGAAGTAACTTTTGGAAATGTGAGATTGATTCTGGTCGTGAAGTGCTCTCGGTAGGAGAGGATTATTGTTCAAACAGTAGTGCTTAATTAGTAGGAGTTGTAACAACTAATTAAGGTCTCTTGCCTTTGATCATTTTCTTCACCAAAATAATAATATTTCTCTGTCCTAAAATTATATATTGTCCAGTTTGAATTTTTCACTTGTTAATTCAATTTTTACTAAAAATAAAAATTCAAATTGATCAATAATGTCGGGATAGAACAAGTAATAATAAGTATTTGCTAAGTATGCAAACGCCCTCCTGAATCAAAAGCATGTCATCTGAAAACCTAGAAGAAGATATTCATTGTATTCGACTATTTGTAACAATTTTATAGTAATTGTAATTTCTCTATAATAAAAACTAAATATAGAATACAAGTATTGTCAGAAAACCATAAGTGTGTTATGTAAAGCATGTGTCTCGATAGGTTGTTTGTAATATCACAATCTAAAAAAGACTTGGCCCTGTTTGATAAATCAATCAAGCAGTTAAACTTATTAATTAAGTACTCCCTCCGTCCTATAATTATTGTCCAATTTTACTAAAATGAAAGATTTTATTTTTGGTCAAACTTAACTATATTTTACCTTAAACAACCGGATATACCCCTACATAAGTAATTGTGTAACGACTAAGATTTTATGAATAATGTTTTTTACTAAGGGCAAATGTGTAACTTAATCCATAAAAAGTCAAATTGGACAATAATTTTGGGACAAAATTTTTTGGGCAAAGTGGACAATAATTATGAAACGGAGGGGTACTTAATTGATTAGTATTGTTTGATAACACAATATCCTAACAATTTAATTGCTTAAGAACTTAATTTATTAATTATTTAAATTTTAAGTGTGTTTGATTACTCAAAGTAGGATGTCTTAATAAATTAAGTGGGTCTGAAATGCTAGTACAAATGTGAGCCTAAAAATAAGTGATAGGCCTATCACTTACGTCTGAACTGAATTCTTGAGACGATTTATTTTTTAATTTATTTATTTTCATGTTTATACTTTTGATATTTTATCTTGAAATAATTTTTATTAATCATGATGTCTAGTTCTAAATTAAAATTTATGTAAATTAGTTTTATTTAATAAATATTTAACATCGACGCTGGTGCAAAGCCCATATTGACCCTATTAGTCATGGGTGGGTTCTCTTCTTGTGCCTTGGTTAGTCATAATTTTCTCGTTCCAGCGCTTCTCACCGTAAAAGATGGCTGAATAGACGTCCATGTTCCTCCTCATTGTGGATTGACCTCTTCCGACATCTTGTGTGGGACATACTGACATGTTCCCGCTTGGTGGCCCACCCGGTTGCACGCAGCGCAAAGGGGCGGCAGATTCTCATATTCCACTCTTTGCACCCTATCCCGGAACTCAAGCTGGGAAATCAACGGCTTATCCAATTCAATTTCGACTGCAACTCTGGCAAAACGTCCTCTCGTTCTTGCCGCCGTTTATCCATCAATTCGCACAACTCTACCTAGTGTCTGACAGATTTTTGTTAAGAAGGACTTATTATAGTAGTGTACTTGCAGACCTGGTAATTTTGCCCAGACAATCGTCGATTTGACCACCGTGGTGGCGGCATCGAAGGAGCTGTCCCAAGACTACACATGGAGGTACGTGTTGAGGATCACCCAAGTACCTTCGTTTAGAACTCAATTCATGTCCTCCTTACTTCTGAATTTGACAAGGAAAAAATCCCGCACTTGGTCCATGATGGCTATGCAGTCTGTTATTTGCCATAAATCCGGCAACCTGTGACATAACGTTTGCAAAGAGATGGATTTGCCCATAGGCCGGAGCACAATCATATCCTGCCACTGGTCTATCAATAGCTTCTCATTTGGTCTGATATCATAATCTTGGCCTTGGCACCATCCTTCGTCAGAATGACATCTTCATCCCCGATCTCCGGATCATCTTCCACGTCAAAGAGCGAGTAATCAAGGCCTCTCAGGATCTTGTCTCTGAAGCTCAGAGGGGTTGGGCTTACACCATTAGCTCCTCCGTACTTTGGTTTTTTAGCAGATTGATTGTCCAGGGGTGGTGGCTGTTCAGGGTTACTTGATTGGGGTATAGTTCCCTCTCCGTCCGGCACAAAGTCAGTTGGTTGGGACGTCATAGTTCTTTAGAGAGTTTTCTTAGTGAGAAACTTAGAGAGAGAAAGAACTGGACTACCAACATTCTATTTCTTCATTTACACCACAGGGGCACAATTTTCGAGTAGATGTGGAGGACTTTGTGGTGAAGAGTTTTGACAAATTAATGATAATCTACTCTATTTTTTTTATTTTAATTATTATTTTTTTTTGTTTCACAAATAACTAAAGACTATGCTTTAGTTTATGCAACAAGCATACAAAAACTCAATGCAAAATACTACTCGTAGTTTCATGCATTGTTTGTAAGGTTTTTCTAGGTGTTTTGGCAGATTCACGGGCACATAAATATTTTAACCAATATCGACAGTAGCTCCTCAAATAATAATTAAAAACATAATTGGAAAAAAAACACTGGTCTAGTAGTTTCATATAAACGTACTAATATCATTCATTTTAAAAATAAAACAGTGCGCAATTGTAATTTGACTACTTAACACAGAATATAACTCCCCAAAAAAATATATTTTTGCACAATCTATTTAACTAAAAAGTCTTAATATAGATGTTCTAATTAAAATTCATCATAACAGATATTCTCATACAAGAATGAGATAAAACTTAGAATAAACACTGGTCATGCAACACGCAACATGAATAGGATTAGTATTCTTAAAATGGTAAAAACATTTTTTGAAACCCTTGTCTAAATGGAGTTCAATATTTACCGGTCGACTCGAGACATTTTCAATATAAAGAACTGTTATAGTTAAATTCATTCACGGTCATTTCAGGCAAACATACTCGGATAAAAACACTCTTTGTATAAAAAAATCATAAAGGTAGGAAACATATACGAACTTTACGATTTTGTCCCAATTTAAATTTAAATGGTTGATTTCATGAATAAGTAGCGTCCAACCAAAGTTTTCGACGGACAAGATCGATCAAATGAGATTTTAATATATTTTTAAGTAATCATAAAAAACAAAATTATATTCCGGTCCTTTTGAATTTACAAAATGAGAATCTAACCCGAAGACCTAAAAGGCCAAAACACTTCTGGTTCTGGACAATATCAACCAAACCTCCTATTGTCTCTATTTTCAAATATATATCATTTTAGGATTTGATGAATTTTTTTAAATATATGTTGTTTTCATAAATCGAGACATATTTGACCATTTTTTATTAATATTACACTTGTATTAGAAACATATTTGACCATTTTTTATTAATATTACACTTGTATTAGAAATAAAACAGTATTTATAATAAATTTTAATAAATTATAATAGATTGTATAGATAATAAATAATAGTACTTTTGTATTTTAACTATATTATTTAATGTTTTCTTGATTTTAATGATTTTTCTAGAAAGCTATATGAAAAAAATTGGGAGTATTATTTTTCCTTCTCGTTTCTCCAATTTCACTCGCGCAGTAGGGCAATACCACCAGGGTACCTTTTTCCGTGGCGGTTAGTTTAATTCTTCCGTTCCATACAATGGTTTAATTTTTAACTGGAAAAGACGGAATCAAGAGGAAAGCGATGTCGGAGAAGATCGCAGTAAGGGGCCGAAGAAGCCGAACTGGAGAAGCCGGTTTAAATTTTCCGCCTCCGGAGGACACCGGAGAGGGAGCGCAGAAGCAGAATGATCAACAACACCTTGCTCTGCCCTTCCCCCCTCCTATTCCCCTGGACACGGTGCTTTTTTGCTTTAGCCTTCGTTTTTTCGGGGGGTCCGCCTCCTGTGGATGATTGCAAATATTTTGTGTTGTCATGTATTTGGCTATTTGCTTGACGAAGTGCTGTATCTGATTCCTCGCTCTAGATTTGACTGCAAGCAAGTTTCAATTTTGAAAGTTGGAATTTTCTTTCATCCTTCAGGGTCTTTCTGAAAGCATCAGGGTTGGCTTTGTAGAGGAACCGCAGTGGCAGCTTGTTGGTAACAAAGAGGTTGTTTTCTTTCTCCTTCTCTTTTTCATTTTCCTTTTTTTTTCCCCTCAAGAGGCAGGACGGATAATAATTGCTGTGTGTTTTGTAACTGGTCAAAATAATTCACTACACACCTCTTCCTCAGTTTTCAGTATTCACTTTTGTAGCTTCGAAAGGGTTTTGTTTACTTTTTTTATTTTGCTTCAGTGATTATGGATTCTGGGTTCTGCCAATTTATTTATTTAACTTTTTGGGCGTCGAATTATGCTATGCGGTTGTAAATTTGTTTATGGGTTACCTTGACTTGGTGTCTCTGATGTTGGTTTAGGCGTAGATTCATTATTTTAGTTATAACTTCCAAATATGAAGCCAGTGTTTATATTTTTGTCTTTCAAAACATTGAGTTGTCTCCTGATGTAATCACATGTTTGTCCAAGTGCAGTCCTTTTTACATCCTTATCTGGAGGAGCCTAGGTGGAACTATATAAGGCGGTTATGCTGGTTACTAAGTAAGTATAATCTTTATTTGCATTGCTTTTATAAGGCTGTTATGTGTGCTTTAATTTTCACTTCAATCACTCATTGTATGATTAAAACCTATGGTTACAGAAAGGATGCTTCCTGCTGATATGCCAGAATTCGTTTCCTCCTGCGCTCGTTTACTCTTAATGAATGACTCTCCAAAGCACCAGGTTTTGATGTTTCATCTCTTTTATCTGTCTTTCTTTACTATTGTTCTGCGATTAGAATTATCTCTTACTTTGTATTTTTATGTTTGCCTAGTTTGGAGGTGCCTGGGTTTTTGCAACTATGGTGTCTGGGACTTCTGAGCATGTGAAACTGGTGGTTAATGATGACTATGCTGTCCAGCGTTTGATAGAGCTCCTCAGTTCTCCCTATGATGATGTTCGCGAGCTGGTCTGTTTGTCCCTGAGTCCTTGTTTGTTGTTGCGGATGTGGGGATGAAACTTTTTTACTTTGAAATTTTTGTGGGAGGTTTAAAACTAGTGTGATTGATGATTTGTTAATGATTAGGCTGTATTGACATTGGGAAACATTGCTGGTGACGAGGTTTATCATGACGCTATTTTGATGAAAGACGCTTTGGGTCCATTGCTGAAACTGTTTTGTAGGAAGGCACAACTTTCAATTCTGAGAATTGCGTCGTTTACATTGTTCAACTTTTGTCGGCGCAAACCTAAATCTGATGTATGATTAAATAGTTTTCCTTTCATTTTCTAATTTCCTATCCTTTTACTGCTACTAATGGGATTTCATTGTTCAGGTGCTTCCTGCCTTTCCTGTTCTTATGAAACTTGTTTTTGTTGGGGACAAGTATGTGCGAACATATGCTTGTTGGGCACTGTCATTTATATCTGACGGTTCGGAGGATATAATCAAGGATTTAGTTCGGAATGGCATCTATTTACAACTTTTGAAGCTTCTCAAGTAGGTTTCACTCCCTGTTTATCATTCTGCTTTGGTTTTCCTTTTCCCAATTGTATTTCTGATGTGAAAACGAATTTTGATGTTTCAGAGATCCATCGGCTGATGTACAAATTCCCGCACTTCGTGCAGTCAGGAATATTGCGAGAGGAGATGATAGTCAGAGACAGGTTTGTTCACTCCATAACTTTGTATAGTTTGCATTTATAGATTTAACTGTCATGTATGCCGGGATAGAGAATGTCCAAATTTTTTAATTTTTTTCAAGTTTGTCAAACAGATAAAATCTTATTTTGTTATGGTGTTTCTGTTTTCCATGTGCCTACTCATTCATACATGTCTCACCAGTCAATAAGTCTTTCAATTCTACAAAATTTATGATGTCTGCTGCATTTCTGGTTTTGTTTCTCAGTGTTTGATTGACGGTGGGCTGCTACATTGCTTGCGAGCTCTTTTGATTACTGATGTTGAAAGCATCAAGAAAGAAGCTTGTCGGACCATCTCTGCTATTACTGAAGGAAATGAGACACAGAATCAGGTGTAATATACGTGTTCCCTGTAGTAGAATAATTTGTATGTGGAAGATTTTTTTATTTAAGCATTTCTCTGATGGCTGTTTTCTTGATTTACAGGCGTTGATTCAAGCTAATTTGATCGGGCCTTTAATCCATGCATTCAGTTCTGACTCTGATGATTTAAGAGGAGTGGCTGGGCAGACTATCATAGATGTTATTTCTGGGGGATGTCGTTTTGAAGACAAGTACTTTCTTCAGCACCTCCCTTTTTGGTTTCTAATTCTACTCTTGGACATTTCTTCTACGCTTTGGGCATTAATCCTAGGGTTTGTTTTTTTACAGGGTTGATGGATTGGAGGGCTTTATAAAGCCATTGTGTGATCTTCTCAGGAGTGAAGAACCGGCGATTATTGGATTGTGTTTAGATGGTCTGGCAAAATTATGCGAGCCTAGTGAAATGGAAAAGGAGTGCCCTGGAAACTATAATTTTTTCGCAAGACTGATTGATGCAGCTTCTGGTTTTGATTACATCAACGACTTGCGAAGGAACAGCGAAGACAAAACTATCTGTCAAAAAGCATCCATGGTTTGGGGGCCGATGTTTCAGCAGGCAACAGAAGTATATGAATACTTCGAACACATGGCAGATATGTTATTTTGACACGTTACTTGGATCACTCAATGCAGAGAACTAATTTCAGTGATTACATGTTTATTCTGTGTTCTTTCCTTCAATGCTCTGTACAAGTGCTTTTTTTTTTTTAATTTTATTTTTAACAAATCTAATCGATTGAGTTCAGCTTGAATTGGATGAACGGAGGGAAAGCAGTTTGACGTTAATTCTACTGCAATACTGTCTGAGCTAAGGAGGCATTAATTTATGAAAGTTTCTTTTGGCAACTTGTTTGTAGTAGTACTTTTTACTTGAAATTATCAAATGTGGAAATGAAAGGTTGTTTTATGCACTGATTCAACTGGTCATATTCAAACAATAAAATTGAGTTTAATCTCTTAAACTTCATTGAATCACGCTGTCATGACCCGACTTTATATTAGGAGAAAATGCCGTTACTACTCAAAGTTTTGCCCTCGTCGTCAATTATACTCAATGGATTTTCGGTTAACCAATTTTACCTTAATGTTTGAAATTTTTGTCAATTTCGTCCAATTGGCACATTTTTGTCTAAATTAACGGATCTCTGTTAAATTTTTTAATAAAATAATAAATTTAATTATAAAATACCCTAATAATTTTTAAAAATTTTAAAAATAACCCTTAAAATATATAAAAATAACAAAACAGTCCCTTTCACTTTTTTATTTTATTTTTCTCTATCTTGTTTTATTTTTCTTTACTACTTTTAATGAACATAAAAGTCTATTATATGAGTTTTAAAAAAATATTTATTTATTTTCAAACTCTTTTTTTAATAATATAATTTAGCAATAAAGACACTATTTTTCTGATTTATTTTATTCTTCCTAACATAAAGATTAAAAACATTTAAATGAAACTAATATTCTACATAAAAATAAAATATTAGCTCAAATAAAAAAAATATTAATATATTTTAGTGTATTACAATTTCACTCAAGAGACTATAACTTGCATTAATATAATTCATAAAAAAAACTAAAATATAAAATAATTAAAACACTATTTTTCTGATTTATTTTATTCTTCCTAATATAAAGATTAAAAACATTTAAATGAAACTAATATTTTACATAAGCTAGAGAACAATATGTGCCACTGGATCTGGTGCAGATCAATTTATCTTGAACTCCAAGTACGCCTCCCTGTTTAGTTTGATATTGTTTTCATGCCTCCTGTAAGATTCCTTTTAGTTGCGATACATGAAAATTTAGGCTGATTCGAGTTTCTGTTTAGGTAGGTTTAAGTACGATATGTCTGTTGGAGAAGCTAAACAGTTGGCAAAAGAAGCCATCTGCCCTGCTGCGTATGGAGCTTCTGAATGTGGTGATTACGTGGGTGGTATGTTTGCTATCTCTTTCGGCTCTCTCTCGTTGTTTTTCTTTCTTAGATGGACACTCGAAGATCAGTTTTGGTTTCTGGCTGAGTTAATTTATACTCTCTTCTTCCCTTTCTGAAGTTTACCACATAACAAGGGTCTGGGTGGAGTAAGGTCGTCTCTGGTGAGAGTATCGTAGACTGGCAAATAGCGAATATCTCAAGATGGAAAATGGCCCATGGCGATTATGTAGGAGACTGGCAAAGGCAAGAAAGGACATCAGAAATTTTCAGAGCACACGGAAAACTACGAAGGAAGTCCAGGACTCAGGTTGAATTGGGCCAAATCTGAAACACGATTTTCTAGACGTAAAAGAAGTAAAGTCAAGCCTTCAAGGAGGACCTTCATAAATTTCTGATACTCCTTTTTTTTTTTTTTAAACAAAAATAAAATGACCAAATCTTAGAAAATGCCACGTGTGTGGACAGTTCTATCCCATCAATATTCTCTGTAGGCCAAAAAAAAAAAAAAATTAAAAAGAAAAATTATGGTTGCTGGATAAGCTAACTGCTAAGCCAAAAAACTCCATCTCCTCTGTTCTCTCTACTTCCTCCCTCTGGGTGATTTGTCCCTCTTTCCCACCTCGCAAACTTCAGTATAAGAAAAAAAGAAACTTTCAGTAATTTCCATAGCTAGATTTGATCAAAGTAAACAAGCCAAATCACTACTAATGGAGGCTGCTATGTCGTTGAATCCACTGGTTAGACTGCCGGGAATTTCTTCTTCCGGTGGTGAAGACTCATTTCTAGTGAGGCATTCTTTTTTCTCAAATGGGAATTCTCTGAAGATTAATAATCAGAGGCAGAGACAGCAACGTTTCGTAGTGGAAGCCAAAGGGAAGAAAGGAATGGCAGCTCGGCAGTACCAGCGCACCCCACCACCTCCTCTGCCCAAGATTGAAGATGATGGCAATCCCCGTTTTGTTATCTTCATCCGTATGGCCAATGTTAGTCAACTCTCTTTTCCTCTTTTCCTCCCATAAATTTTAGCTCTAGGAGTTGTTAATTAGCATCTTATGGTCTGAACTTAGTCTTCTACTCTTCTTGTATCTGTCGTAGGATAGAACGAAATTTAAGAAGCATTAATTGCCTGGATTGTCCAATTCCAAGTGTTAGCTGAGATCTTAGGACAACCCTTTTAAGTTTTATAACCTTACTATACAAAAGAAATAAAGTTGAAATGTTCAAGATGGAAGCTGTTTTTTGGTTTATGATTGCTGCTTGCAATTTTGTTTTGTTGCTGTAAAGGTTAGAATTTTTAGGATGCCGTAGTTTGTTACTTTGTTTAGGGTGCGTGGAAGTTTTGATTGATGCCCATTTGGTGTTTTTTATGATTGAGCCTGCCTGCAGGTTTATCTTTGGTATCCTCTGAATCTGGTTACTGGTGGAACTACTGCTAAAATCATGGTGGCTGCAAAAGACAACTTCCTCGGCAAATACATCTACAAGGATACTATTGCTAGGAATCTCGCAGCCGTTGTTTACAGAGTGAGTTGTTGCATGCTTGCATTGCACTCTAATGAGTGATCCACTCTTGAGGGCGTTTTATTTAAGCTAGCACTAAAAATTTCTAATGGCCAATTGGCCATCCAGTGAGTGGAAGTACTGTAATGCTCTTTTCCTTTCAAATTAAGTGCAGGATGAGAAAGAAATACAGAAGATGGCAATGAAACAACATCGTGTTCTGAGGTCGGCTACTGAATTCAGATATGGTTACAAACTTGTTGTAAGGTTTTCCGGTCTCTTTCTTTTATGTTATTGGATGGTGAAGAGATGTTTGAAACTCAGCTTTGAAAGCATTCATGTATAATGATCTTGTGGTGTGTGATGCGCGCAGGAAAACAACAATTTGAGGGCTGCTCTTGCTAGCAATGATGTTATTGAGGTAATCTTATGCTCTATATCCTCTATATTGCATCATGAATTGTTTTCTGGGATATGACTTCCAGGACCTCACGTTCATCAAAGCTAGTTGGTAGATGTTAGAATTTTATTCATCCGAAAAACTCATTTTGGAACCTAACAGTTCACTTGCTCTTCTGCAGCTCCCAAGGAAAGAAGAGCTTAAAACAGTCTTAGATAAAGTCAAGGATTTCTTTGGGGATGCTAAGGAGTCCTTTGGGAAGCTCACATCCCTAAATCCAGAAGCTGAGCAGGCGGAGGAAGATAGTAAAGAAGAACCAAAAGCAAAAGCAAAGTCTACGTAAGTACCTTGGTTCAATCTTTTCGAGTTTCTTAAGGCCTCTGAGTACCATGCTCTATATCATGTCTTTCCTAAACTCAAACAACCCTTTGCATTCAATCAAGCAGTGTGAAAGGCTGAAGATCAGGTTGAATTCAGAAGCACATGTTCATACATGGAAGCTTTCATTTGGCAACATTAACAGGAGTGGGGATAGTACAGCGTTGTATTAAACTGTAAAAGTTTTGTCAAATCCAGCATTTTACAGAAACAACTCTTTCATTGCTATAAAATGCATTTTTCACACTTTGCTGAGTAATTCATGCTATGAAATCCATACTCCTTGCTCATTGATTTTATGCACAAAGTGAGGTGGGACACCTGCGTGGATTTGCCTGCACTTTTGAGCTTTTAACTGCATTGCATTAGACTAGTTGTCTGGGACTGGAATCTGGATTGTGGGGACGAGTTTTAGAGCTGATCTTTTCCTAGTGGCAAGCCCAAAAATTTCTGACAGATCAACATCATCAGGTCCTACTCCTTGAGGCAATGCCCAATCAAAATGGTACAACAAGCGAGCGAGGGAAATCTCGATGCTTGCCAATCCAAAGGAGTAACCAGGGCAACCTCTCCTTCCACCTCCAAATGGCAAAAACCTGAAGTCATGTCCACCTCGAAAGTCAATATCTGCATCCATAAACCTATCAGGATTATACTCCAAAGGGTTCTCCCATGACTCTTGATCCCTCCCAATGGCATAGGTGTTGATCAAAACCCGAGTTTTCGCGGGGATTTCGTAACCATCTAGGGTACACGTGGCCATAGATTCTCTAGGAACAAGAAGGGGGACTGGAGGATGGAGTCTCATGGTTTCTTTTATTATAGCTTTCAAGAAATGAAGTTGTGGAAGATCACTCTCTTCTACTTTGCCTTTCTTGGATGCAACCTGCCTCACTTCATCTTGTGCTCTTTTCATGATCCATTGATGCCTTGCCAATTCTGTCATTGTCCATTCTAAGGTTGCAGATGATGTGTCTGTTCCAGCTACAAACATATCCTGCAATGACCCATTGTTACATAAGTAACATATTCCCGGTCAGAAACTAATTCGATTCAGTTTGCCTGTTTAAGGAGTAACAAGTTGATTAAAAGTTTAAAACCAGTAGCTAGGTTAAGTTTCAAAGTGACAGCGTTGGACTCTTGGCCCGAAATGAGCCCTTTCTCTTTCAGCTAGTTCTTATTATTTCTTTCCAAACCCACAAATGAGTGTTTGCAATTTCTTCAATTATGGCCTAAGGGGCTTTGACCCCGGGAAATTATAAGGTTAAAAAAAAATATATATCAAAAAATCAAACGCAGTGAAATGTGTTTATGAGTACCTGGTGGCTCTGTCCCCAAAAAATGGTGCACAAACTAAAAAAACGGAAAAGGAAAAAAAAGGTGCACAAACCGGTGGTATATCACTTTATGAGCTCCAAACAGGCTGCATATCACTTTTAAGTTATTAAGAGTTGAAATGTTTGAGCCTCTGATTTTTATTTATTTATTTTTTGACTCAAGCCTCTGATGTCTATATGACCTGTTTAGATCAATTACATAAAGCTGCAGAGGGAGCCCTTCAAATATTTATATGGAAATTACGGGGGAAAAAAAAATTAAATTTCAGATGTAACTTTTGTCAAATTTTTTTCGTTTCATTAATTTATGGGTTTATATATTTAAAAACATTTTCTTAAATTTTCATAATCATCTCCATAAATATTTTTATCCTTGTTAATTTGTAACTAGCCATGAACAATCAATTTGTAAGAGGAAGTAATGACAAATGACAAGTTGTTCCCGAAAATTGTTTACACAATGTCATCGTGCGTCATAATCATCCAAAAGTCAACCTAAGCATGATGTAATTCTACGACTCTTTCACTTAAATTACTGCCTAGTCACGATGTCGGTGAAATCCTTGCATGTATTCCACGTCTAAAATGATTTGAATATATGTTGTTGATATCAAGAAACTTTAAACAATAACAAGGTAGCAGTAGTATATTCCCTCCATTTATTCAAAATATAAGTCATTTTAGATTTTGTACGTAAACTAAGAACATAATTATTTAATAATTAATTAGTGTATCAAATATCTATTTTAGCTATTATTAATTATTTTGAAACTATAACAAAGACTAGATGAAAAGTGATTAGTATTATTTATTGAGCACAAAGTTGAGAAGTCTATTATTAATTTACCTTGAAATCCTAAAATGACCTATATTTTGAAATATTTCTCCAGATTTAAAACGATCTACTTTTTGAAACGAAAGAAATACAAACTCAGGAAATAGGAGTATTGTAAACTTAATTAATTATTGAAGATTGCATCATGCATGATATCATTAATTAAGGAATAGTACTATTAATTACGTAAGACGGTAGACGTACCAGAACAAGAGCTTTGAGATTATCATCAGTGATGGGAACTTCAAGATCATCTTGTTTTTGTACTCTTAACAAAACATCCACAAAGTCTTCCTTCATCATCATCTCCCCCTTAACGCCGCCGTTTCCTTCCACCTCCTTCTTCCTTGCTGCGGCGGCGGCGGCGTTAATATGCTCGTTAATGATTTCGTCACAAACCATCCTCAGATCCTTCAAGTTCTCCGTCAACCTCCGTTTGGTCCCACTCACCGAGTTAACCCACTCCCAACCCGGGAAAAAATCTCCCACGCAGAACCCGGCCAGCAAAGCCTGCGTCTCCGTCAGAACCTTTATCAGCCCGCTCATCTCCTCCGCTATGAACCGCTTCCCGAACGCCACCCGGCAGAGCACGTCGTTCGCCAGCTTGAACAACATCTCGCTCACGTCTGTTTCTGATCCGCCGCCGCCGCCGGACTGAGCCGACACCGCGGCGAGCATCCGGTTCACTTCCTCATTCCGAATGAGTTGGAACGAGCTGACTCGTTTCGGGCTGAGCAGCTCGGTGACGCAGATTTTCCGGGCTTGACGCCAGTAAGGCCCGTAAGGGGAAAATGTGACGTCGGAGCAGCCGAAGGATAGGTACTGGGCCGAGATGAGCTGGGGCCGGTTGGCCATTACGTGGTCATGGGCCTTGAGCACGAGTTCCGCGAGTTTTGGGGAGGAGATCACGACTGTATGGACCTGGCCCAGTTGGAGGGAGAAGATGGGGCCCAGTTGTTTGGCGAGCCCGGCGAATTTTACGTGGGGCATTTCGTCGGTCAATAGGAGGTGGAGGTGGCCGATGATCGGAAGCTTTGGGTGGGGGGACGGTGGCGGTGGTGATGGACGAGTACGTCGACGGCGACGGAGGTATAGGATGTACATGAAAAAGAAGGAAAAGGCGGCAAGAGATGATATAATCATGCTTAAATTTTCGAGTGAAGAACTTCCCATTTTCTTTCGAAGATTTTTTGAAGTTTTTTTTGTTTTTCTTTTTTTGTTTTAGCTTGGAATGTGGTGAGGCTTTTTTATATAAAGAATGGTGAAGATGTAGATATATATATAATGGTGCTCTCTCCTCTCCAAAAAAAAAAAACGTCACCTTGAAACTTGAAAGATAGTTCTTTTTTCAAGTAATGATTTTGATCATTCAATCTTCTGTATACTAACATGAAATCAGGGTAAAAATAAGAGAATTCTTAGCACAATCACATAAGATTTTCCCTAGAAAAAGGGTTTCAAGTAACACCTCGAATGTTGCTTTGCTTGCTATATAGTATTACGTTTCATCAGTAATAAAATATACTAACACGCCACATATATTATTTCCAAGAATGAGATCATTAACAGCAACAATCAATGACGATTATCCAAATAAGATATATATGTAAGTAGAAGTTGGACTGTTGGAGTCATTGTTTGATTTTAAAAACTTTTATGGTTTCACAAAAAAAAAAGCAGATATACGTATATATTTTGTAGCTAGGAAGAGAGTCTTTTTCACTCTCTTGAGTCATGTATATGTAATCCCTTCTTTAATTTCTCAAACACTGCACCCCTATCTCAAAAAAAATAGTTTATATTAAAATTTTCTGGACATATAGATTAATAGTGTGTGAGTCGCTATTGGTTGAAGTTTGATGTGCATCTAATAAGAGCGTGTATATATGATGATCAAGCAACCCGGGGAAGAAGTCCTTTACGCTTCACATTTTACCATATTTGACAATATTTTCTTTTTTCTTTTGCATGAATAGATTGATATGTGCATGTCTATAGAGATAGAGCGTGCGCCAGATTAATTGGTCTAAAAAGCTTCCAGTGTCTTTTTGATATGTTTATGATTGACGAGTAGCAATCATAACACGATGTTAAATTTAGTTGATATTTTTAATTTACGAGGTGTGTCAATTTAACAACCATTTACATTCTTCACTGTTTAAATCCATTGTCCCTCAAGTACCCCCCAAAAAAACAGACAAAAAATGGATTCGTTTCGCGCCAATATATATTAAATGGGGAACTTGCCAACGCTTGCTTATCTTGGCGTTGGCTCCTAATCGATGAAGCAGAACTTATTACAAATGTTTGTTTTATATTGCATAAACATGAAACCGTTGGGGAAATTAGCAGTAGGAAAGATGGTGGCTAATTTTTTTCTTTTTGAAAAAAAAAAAACAAAAAACAAAAAATCCACATTCTAAAATAAGATTCAATGCCTGAATCTATACGGGTCGCCTAAGAGTTAACCATCTGACTAATAATTGGTGACAATTTTAAGTTGACTTTTCCTTCCGTGATTGACTATGTCGACCGGACCAAGTTCGGTTGATGCTACCAAGCTTATAGGGCTCAGACTCGGGACAATAAGCCCATATCATAAATCAGCGTTAATGTTTAACATTGTGTCACGTACGGTGGCCGGAAATGAAGAAATTGGAAGTTTTAGGTTTGCCAGAGTGATTCTGAAGAGTTCAGAGGAAGAGAATATAGAAGAGAAGAGAATCAAGAAATCTTCTGAAAAATGATGATATTATTATTCACTAATCATTACAGATCATCATTACAATATTAATACTCAATCACCAGCCGTCATTTCTGACTTAATGATAGAAGTTATAATTCCACCCCTTAAGTTTCCAAAATAGCGATTAGACCCCTGATCATAACAACTCCATCCCCCATAACAGTGAGCTTGTCCTCAAGTTTGGAAATCAGGAAATTGGCTGTGAACAAAACCTTCGTCTTCCCACGAAGCATCTTCTAAACTCATCCCTTTCCACAAGATCAACCATTGAGTGACTTTCGCAACATTCCTTTTAATAAACCACCTTTGAAGAACCTTGTCAGGCTACAAGTTGCTTTCTTCAAATAGAGACAAATCTGGAGGCAATGTGCAAGTGATTGGTTTAGCTCCCTTGTGTTTCTTCAAGAGGGACACATGAAAAACTGAGTGGATCCTTGAAGAAGGAGGCAACCTCAAGCACTAAGCCACAACACCAATCTTTTCAATGAATTCATGCGCTGCCGAGCTTTCAATATGTTGTCCTGAAGTAACTTTATTATAGAAGCCCTTTGCTGAACCTCCTGTGTTGCAGCAGGAACTACACTTGCAGTAAATGGACCTAGAGGAAAAGTGCAAGGTTTCTCCCCATATAAAGTTTCATAAGGAGTCATCTTGATACTGGAATGAGAAGAAGAGTTAGACCACCACTCTGCAAGAACTATCCACTGACTCCAAGGATTAATGGTTTTACTAGACTTAGTTGCCATTCTTGAAGAATCAGCAAACTTAATAGGAAAGGAAGGAGCCTTGGTTACCTGAAAAAAAAGGGGTTTTCTGTTTCTTGACGCTCAATTCCATGTAGTAGAGCTAATTTGAAAGTTGCTGTAAGTGTTTGTGGAGAGAACATCCTGACTGTTGGCCGTAATTCTTCTTTTAGTCCACTCATAAAACTGTGGATGAAATACTCTTCAGAAAGATGAGGATCTTGCATAAGCATCCTTGTTCTGAGTTCCTCAAATTTGTTCTGATAAGCCTTGACTGATCCTGACTGAAAGAGCTTGTTAAATTCCTCTATTGGACTGATTTCCTCCCAATCAATGAATCTTTTCAGTAATTCTGATGAGAATTCTGTCCAAGAAAGCTTTCCTTTGGTCAATTTGATCGACTGGTACCAAGTGTCAGCCTGATCTTCTAGGTATAATTCGACATGATCAACCTTTTGTTCCTCAGAGATCTGATGAAGAATGAAAAACTTAGCGCATTTCCTGAGCCAATCCGTGGGTTGTTCTCCGGTGAATACTGGAAGTTCAATCTTTGGTTGAGTAAACCATTGCGGTCTTGCCTGTTTGTCTTTAACCGTTTCTTGAACTTCTACCATCTTGCCTTTGTTAACTTCTTGCAAATTGGCCGATTTCTCTGGTGAAACGACAATTGCTGTTCATCCCGAGTGAGATGCTCCATTCTGAATCGGCAGTCTCTCCATTATCATCGGATTATTCAAGATTGCGCTCATCGCCTGTGAAGCTGAGATCAAGATCTTCAATTGTTCGCGAATTTCTACCAATTAAGAGTCTATACCGGCAAATTTTGACTCAAAATGGTTCTTCACTCCTCGCTGTTCGCCTTGTGCTCTACTGATTGTTGTCGGAGCTCTGTAGATACCCCCGTCAACTTCTGTTCCTGCCGGCGAAGCTAATCGTCAATCTCCTTTTGAGAACGTGTCTGCGTCATACTAACTGGTTACAAAGCCAAGAATCGAAGCTCTGATTACCAAGTTGTCACGTACGGTGGCCGAAAATGAAGAAATTGAAAATTTTAGGCTTGTCGGAGTAATTCCAGAGAGTTCAAAGGAAGAGAATTTAGAAGAGAAGATAATCAAGAATCTTCTGGAAAATGATGATATTATTATTCACTAATTATTACAGCTCATCATTACAATATTAATACTCAATCATCAGCCATCATTTCTGACTTAATGACAGAAGTTACAATTCCACCCTCTTAAATTTTCAAAATAGTAATTAGACCCCTGATCATGACACATTGCCCTTCGCCAGTCCATTGAGAATCATCCTCAAAATGTCTCCGGTATAAACTCATATAAGTTCGATTTTTTTCTTCCGGAAGATAAACCCCACAACTACCCAAAAGAAAATTCTTCTTAAACATATACTTGAGTCATAATATTGGATTACTATTTATATATATTAGTACATTTTGTTTGGTTAATTTCTGCATCATATGAACCGAGATTCCCTTGAAAATAAAATACCAGTGCTTTCTGTTTTTTGAACTATTTCATGAACAAGAGAGACACATCAATGATCACTATTTTATTTGATGAATACTTCGTAATCTCTCTATCCTAAATGGTTGTTTTGTTTAGATTTTCATGTTAACAAGAGAGACGCATCAATGATCACTACTTTACTTTTCCCCTAAATTCAAGCCATGGCTACAAAAATTATATAAAATCATGTCAACGACAAGGACTCACGTCAGTTTTTCTTCACTTTATTTGCAGCCATCTGTCTTCATAATGTTGTCAAATTCGAACCGAATATTGAACCGTCCGGTTAGTCAGAGGTCAACCAAATTTTAGATTTACCCGATTTTTATCTTGTTAGGTCGCGTTTCTCAAAAAGACATTATCAATCTAGTAATTAAAGTTGTTTAAACATGTGAACCCTTACATATCGAGCACAAAATCTATCTAAATGAACGAGAAGAGTGAGGAACCTAGTATATATGGATCAATTTCTTAACTTTTTTTTTTGTTAAATTTATTTTTATTAACAAGCTTGAAGTTGAAGTGTATAGATTTAGGTTATCGGTTCGAACGGTTTATGTGTAAACAATCATAGTTCTTTCACTTTGCAAATCATTGGCAAAACGCCAAAAATTGTTTTGGTACGTTGTACAAAATCATTGAATTGAAAATCACAAATGTTATATTTAATGAGATACGTGGACTGATTTTGTTTTAAATCCCTCAATAATGATGATGACAAAACCTCATAATTAATACTCGACCCTTTTTGTTCTGTGAATGCTGACGAAACTTGGAATAGTATCGTCGGCTTGACAGCAGAGCTCCGGCTAGGATTTCCTGCAAAAGAGGCCTCGGAGGTCTCCTGATGGTAGACACTCTGATGCTTAAGTCAGTAAAAGGGGTTAAGGAATGGATATAAGTAGTGTTTTGTGCTAGAGATAGCATAACTGTATTATGATGTGATCAACTCTATTTATAGGCATAAAATTACTTTGAGAGATGTCGAATCCCATTAGGTTTCATGTTCTAAAACTGCCTCTGTAAAATCGGTTAGACCATAATTGGTAAATGGACCGGTCTGGTAATCCTCGATGGATATAAACTCGTCAAATGCATTGGCAGATAAGAATCTTTGTTTCTCCGGCTCCTCGTCTCCCAATATATGAACTCCCCCTTAACGGCTGGAATACTAATCATTAGTTATCAATATCGTCCCACACAGCTTCTTTGAAACTTAAATTTGAGCAAATTTTAAGTGCAATTTACCTACTTAATTAATTCATTTTTCTTAAAAGAAATTTTTTGGTTGTTGATCGAACTGAGAGAAATGGGAAGGCAACCATGTTGTGAGAAGGTTGGACTGAAGAGAGGGCCATGGAAAATTGAAGAAGACAATAAATGGCATCCAGTGTTGGAGGCTTGTTCCTAAGATGGCAGGTATTTGCTAACTTCATAAGCTAATTTAATTAATTTCCATTATCAATCAACAATCATTTGGTATAGGATGGTTTCTAGTAATTCTTCAGTGAAAGTTCTACTTTTAAAAAATTTACCTTGAATTAATTGATCACCCAAAATTAATCAGGCTTTTGAGTAATTGTTTCTCTGTTTTTGTAACGTTAAGGTTTGATGAGGTGTGGGAAGAGTTGCGGACTAAGGTGGATAAATTACCTAAGACCTGATCTCAAAAGAGGTGCTTGGACTGAAGCTGAGGATGATATGATCATTCACCTTCATTCTCAGCTAGGTAACAGGTAATTATCACCACAATTCTAGTGTCCCATTTTTTAAGAAAAATCTTTCATTACCTTTGCTATTCGTTTAATTTGCCACCTTCAAGTCACTCATTTTGTTTGTGTGTGTCACAGATGGTCCAAAATAGCAGCACATTTTCCAGGGAGAACAGACAATGAGATCAAGAACCATTGGAACACCAAGATCAAGAAGAAGTTAAAGAGCCTTGGCTTAGATTCTTTGACCCATAAGCCTATTAGTATTCATCATCAACCAGAAAAAGATCATAATCATCATCTTCATAATCTCAATGATGATGAATTCTTGAAGATCAAAGAAGAAAATGTGGGTGAATATAGCTCATCATGCTCTGGAGAAGAAGGAAACAGTCTCCAATATTCTTCCAATAAAGACTTGTTGCAACTGCAAAATATTGATGACCATTCTTTTAAAAAAAAGGCTTAGATGATCAACAAGGAATTAATTATGGGACATCTTCTTCTGGTTTTGATGAGGGAAGTTACACTCAAGCGGGCAACTTTGGTGTTCCTACTTCTTACAGTATGGGATTGAATGATGTTATTCAGTTTCATCAGCTTGAAGATCCTTTTCTAAATTGGAGTAACTCCCCATTTCCCTGGGATATTTGTCGTACCAATTTAGGCAGCGACGGAACTAGAGGATTGATACTGGAGGGTCGATATTATAAGACTAAATATTTTTTTTATATATACATATAAAAAATTAGAATTATAGAATATAAAGTGGATTATCTTTTCAAAATTTGTGATTTGCTTTAAATAATTTTGTGGGGATCACATTTATAAACATGTACAAAATTTTTCTCCCAAATCATTCTGAAATCTATTTTGAAAGAGCCCTCTATCCTAATATTATGTTAAAGTATTCTCATGTTTTAGATGAGTAGTTTATATGGTGCCACAATTATAATTTTTTATTATAGGGTTGAGTGTTTGAGATTTGATTTTCGATAATCCTCAACTATGATTTTATTAATTTATAATTAAAACAACATAACAACGTTTATGATTTATGATTATATTTTATAAATACACTATCATTGTAGTTAGAAAGGATGATTTCTATATGATTACATTCATATAATACAATTTAAATACAAGGGTCTTGTGCTGCTCCTCCAGAACATATCCTTGACAGGATAAGATTATTTTTGAATACACAAAGCCCAAAAAATGTGTTGGGTGAAGCCAAAATGAGCTATTTTGAAACAAAAAAACAAAGGAAAAAAAAAAACAAAAGAAGTCCATTAAGAACAAAAGTCCTAGTCTGATTGTCTTTCTTCTTCATCAAAACATTTCGCCAGGGGGTCAGCCGTGGAAAAATACAGATGCCGCGCCTCGCCGGAATACCTCCCTTAAAGGGATTTTCGGAATCTGGGGGGTCGGTTGACCCTCCTGACCCCCCTTAGTTCCGTCTTTGAATTTAGGAGGTAATAATTTCTTTTTTTAGAGCTGATAAAAAAAACTTTTTTCCCCAAGATTTTGGAAAAGAACCTCAATTGTTGAATCTTGAATGTTACTTGAATGGCAAGGGTTAATATAATACTCCTTACGTTTCACAAAAATAGTCTACTTTGAGCTTTTGAGTTTTTTTTATTATTTTTAATGTAAATTTAAAAATTCAATGTGGACTATTTTTTTGGGACGGAGGTAGTAGTTTCTTAGTTTGTTATCAAATTAACCGTCATTTTATGTTGTACACCCAGTTTGTTGAGATGTACCTAAAAAGAAGTCCATTTGTGCTTAAATTAGTGTAAACTACTCCTAATATAAAGATTATTACAGATATGAATAATATAATTTTTCGATTTGTACAAGTCGCATATATTCAATATATATGTATATGTGATACGCTAATTTTGAATAAATTATATTTTTCTAATTTTAAAATTATTGTTCAGTTTTAGATTTTACTTTTAATATAATTTAAACTAAAAATGAAAACAAAAACTGGACAATAATTATGGGACGGAAGGAGTATGAGAAAAAATCTAAACTTAATTACTTGACTGTAATGAATCAAACGAGTAGTCATTATTCATTACCAGTAAAACGTATCTGATAAATTTGTTTATGAGGAAAAACGACTAGCTAGATGAATTGATTATTACTTTCATGATTAATCTAATGAAAATCGTTAACTTAAAAAATGAGGAGAAAAAAAATTTGTGTGTGGTTTGTAGCCGTTGTTACTATTAATGTTTTTTATTTTCTAAAATTGGATCGACGTGGACCCAAATGCTCAATCCCACATTCCTCGACTATTTAAGTTTATATTTATTTTTGGTGTAAATAATAATTATAGTAAAAGAATAAAAAGAAAAAAAAAAAAAACAGAAATGAAAACTAGCCGTTGATGCCAACGCTCTGGGAGGTGGAGTATAGCCTTCCAGTTGAAAAACACAGAGCAGCATTTCCCCCTCCAACTAAACCAACCATTCTCATTCAACGCCTCATAGCAATTTTTTTTCCCCAATTATGCCCTTTTGAGTATATCCGACTCCACCAATTCGATTCAGTTTTAGGGATTTGAATTCAATTAGCGGTGTTTTTTTTTTATCCTTTCTAATTTTTGGGGTTTTGGTCCTCCTTTCTTTACTGCAAAATCAGCGAAAACAGCACCAATGGGGGAATCTTCAGCTTGTCTATTCAGATCATTTTCTCAACCATCTCCTACATCCCCTAAAGAGGTTAGATTTCAATTGAAGAATTGTTTCCCTGAAAGCCTGCTAAAGATCTCTTCGTCTTTTTTTTTTCCTCTGGTGTTTGTTCTTTAATATGAGAATTGTTACTTTGCTTACATTGAAACTTTCTTCGTTCTGTTCAATTCAATTGGGGGAAAATATAATTCTAAATCGCAATTCTACTTTTAGTGATTATGACATGGTGTTTGTTTCCTCGGAATCTTTGACCGTGTCTTCTTGCTGTTGTTTTTAATTTTAATTTTGCCTAATTTAGGGTTTCAGCTTTTCATCTTTTACGACTATCATCATTGTGGCGTAGTGGCTTTCGATTCGTGGTTTGTTCTCAGCTCAATTCACTTTTAAACTTGCAACACTCAATTCCTTGTTTATTCGACCTATACTTTCTGAGATTCTGAATGCTTATTTTTTAATCTAATATAACGCTGTTTCTCTTGGGAAAAAAAAACCTTTAGAATGAGGCACTTAATTTGTATTTTTGCAAGGGTGAAAATAATTAGTTTCAATTTCTTTATTTTGGAGTTTATTATCTATGTGCATAGTGGATGCTGCTTGTGATTGATTTCAGGTGGGCTTTAGAAGATTTTCCCCCCTTCACCTCTTAACATGATCTGACATGCAGGAGGATCCTATTCGTCGAGCCCTTACATCATCTGTTTCATTTGGGAGATTTGTGTCCGAGTCACTGGCATGGGATAGATGGTCAGCTTTCAATCAGAATCGCTATTTGGAAGAAGCCGAGAGGTATTCTAAACCCGGTTCTGTGGCCCAGAAGAAAGCTTACTTTGAAGCTCATTACAAGAATATCGCTGCCAGGAAAGCTGCTGCGTTGCTTGAGCAACAATGTCCCGAAAATATCAGTAGCCCTGCGGGGAATAGAATGAACGAAAGGGACAATGATCCTACTGCAGCAATGGATTTAGCACAAGAAAGTCGTAGTGAGCATACTGTGACTGCAGAGATACATGTAGAAGAGAATCAACTTAGTACAGATGTCATCCTTTCTGTTGATACAGAGGACCAAATTTTGCCTCATGAATCCAACATGGAAACTGAGGGAGTAGAAGAGAAAAGACTTAGTGCAGATATCATCCACCCTGTTGATACAGATCACCAAAGATTGCTTCAAGAATCGAACATGGAAGCTGAGGGAGTAGAAAAGAATATACCTAGTACAGATGACTTACTTTCTGTTGATAAGGATCATCAAAGGCTCCCTCAAGAATCAAACAATGATACTGAGAGAGAAGAAGAGAATAAGCTTTATACAGATGTCTTGCTTTCTGATGATACAGATCACCAAAGGCTGCATCAAGAATCAAATATGGAAACTGAGGGAGTTGAACAAGTCATAGGACACCCACTTTTCACAGACAGAGATGATCAAGTAGATGAGGGAGTTTGCAAGGAGAAGGAGATGAAGGCAACTCTCCAGGTATTGTTGTGTTTACTAGCTGCTTCTTATTACTGATTAAGGCATCTACGATCCTGAATAGCTAACTCTAATTTTCAGGTTCCATCTACATTGGGAGATTCAGCTTCCTTGGACAAGAATGAAGCCACATTACCTTCTAAAAAGCCATCAACAAGTGATCATGGATCAAAGTTTAGATCTGTTGTCAAGCCACGCATCCCTGTTTATCCTAAAAAAGGGGGCCAAATTGGCATTCCCATCAGCAAGAAAACATCAAATTTACCTATCCCCCAAGCACTTCACATGTCAATCAGTTTTACTTCTCGTGCATTTAGTAATACCAATAAAACGTTACCTTCTGTGTCACGGAAGATTGTTGACTCAGTAATTCACAAACCAGTGGTGAGAACATCATATGCAGGGAGCTCAAATCCACAGCCTCGTATTAGGGTGCCTTATTTCGTTGCCCAAACATTTTGCCATCTTTCTTTGTTAGGAATAATGCTTGACTTTTTAAAACTTCTCTTCATTGTTTACTGCGATTGCAGGCATCTGCGAGTGACGTGTCGCGTCTCAGAGTAACTCCTCAACCAGAAAATAGCAGGTAATCCCACATTCTTTTGTTCTAGTATGGATAAAAGGATGATTATATTTGCTAGATGAAAGATTTTGATTTATTTATGCCTTCTAAAATTTGTCATTTAACAGGACTAAAACTCTGATGTGTCAATCAGTCTCCGGAAGTATATCAAGGTTCGAAAAATCCAACTCATTGTTACTGTAAGAATGCTGTCTTATTAGTTTACCTTTTTTGTATTAATTGTTTAGTTGAGCAGAATAAGTGAAACAAAAAAGACATTTCTCTAACTTGTCCAGGGTCGAACCAACTTAAGCCATATAGCTTAAGTAAATGTTTATTGAAATTAGAAGCTTTACTCTGTGTTCAGAAATTTTCATTTGCTTAGGTTTTGTCATTGCTAATCTGTACTTGTTTATTTTCTAGCCAAAGACTGGATTGACAGAAAATCATATTGGTATGAAATGGGCTGTACCTGGCTATTACTAATAAAAGGTGTCTTTCTTGTATTTTTAACAGAAATGGAAATTTGAAACAACCATGTGGTAGCAGAGTGAAATCTCCAACTACTATATCTTCTTCCTTCAGCTTAAGGAGTGAAGAAAGGGCTGCTAAACGTAAAGAGGTATGCCTGAAAAACAGTTTCCACCCTTCAACTCAATTTGATTTTGTACTTTATTCAATTATAGTTGCCTGCAGTCTTATCATTTGCTATTTCAGTTCTTCCAGAGGTTAGAGAAGAAGCTGAAAGCGGAGGCTGAAAAAGAACCCCTCCAATCAAAACAAAAGGTAGATCTAGATGGTGAAATCTATCGGAAACTTTCTTTCTTAACAGAGAACAAAAGATGATAACTTGAAGTGGCAAAAATCTGGAGTTGAGGATTTTGTTATATGTGGTTCATCTCCTACATTTGCAGGTTAAAGCAAATAGTTGTTCCAATGCTGCTTGGAGGACTATTTCTTCCCAGCATGATGACGCAAAAGCTAGCTCCAATCCTTCAACAAACCCAGCAAGTACCGTCACAAAAAAGGTATCTCATTTTGTAGATGCTTGGTCGTTAGATGAGTATAAAGAATCTGGTAGATGTCAAAAGGAGAACTGATGTGTAAAAAGAGTATTGAAATGAATTGCTTATGTTTTATGCTCTATGATATCCCAAAATGTATCAAAATGTAAAATCTTGTGGTGGAAATGAATCCCAGAATGTATCCCTGAAAGCGCTAGATAAAAAAGTGTACCAAAATGTGAAATCCTTTTTCAGGAGAATGCATTTAGTCAAGTTCCTGCTTTGATTGCTTTGCATCTTACTTTGGTAGTTTCGTATCCTTCAGGTCTCAACCCGATCTTATACACCAAAAATGGAAAAAAAGCTGGCTTCTGAAGCACAAGATACTAACTGTAAACCACCATGGAGATTCTCAAAGAAGAAGACTGATAGCTTCATCAGGGATGCGCCGGAAAAGAACTATAGCAAAGCAACTCCAAAGAAGACTAGGACTAGTGAAAATACTTCTCCTAATATCCAGATTTCCATGTATAAAGAATGCCTAAAAACGAATGCTAGCAAGAGGCCAATGAAAAATTAAGTTGTGGTTTGTGAATATCGTCAGGTGGCTTAGTATAGTTTAGAGGTATAAGTAAATAAGGACATGTAATATGGTTGCTTTGAGCCTTACAACCTAGGTTGTTTCCACTTGTAGCTTATCTCCCGCATTTTGTATTGTTTAGCAGGAGAAAGAATGTGGGGAACAATTATGTAGTGGTGATCATCATATTAATGAATTCACAGAGTTCTTTGATGACCATGTGGAAATGATAATCTGACAAATACTCGCATTAAAGAGGTGCTTCTCTGGCAAATACTAGAAACAAAGCAATTATCTATTGATCATCATATTAAGAAAATGGCAGAGAGTTCTTTGATAAATCTGATAAATGTTAAGCCGTGACTGCGTCAGTGAGGTGCTTCTCTAAGATTCTACTCTGGGTAGAGCTTCATCAGAAAACGGTCCCCAGTCAGAATAACCAAGTCAAATTTTTGAAAAGTGCTTCTTTACAAGCCACTTGACTGGATTGAGAAAGAAGATCAAAATAGCATTCTTCTCAGAAGATGTTTACACTCGAAAAGATCTTAATAGATTTTTTTATCACACTATAAATAAACCTTGATCTATCACTGACTCAAAAGGATACTCGTAGTCGTTCTTCAGCGAATCGTTGAAGAAGGCTGGAACTTCTTCAGCAGTGAGCTCCGGAGAACTGTAGTTTAAGGATTCTACAAAATCAGGAACTGTATCAGTCGGTGGAAATTCACCTTGAAGAAGAGAATTACAATACGGATTGTCATCCCAAGATGCCGAGGTCAATGCACTTGCGCTGTTTTGACTTTTAGCTACTGCAGATTCTCCGCTGCCTTCAATACGCTGATCTAAGCTATGCAGGTGCATGCTCCACACCCCACCCAGGCTTGACTTGAAACCTTGTTCATTTGTTAACAAGTCTGTATTTCCCAAGGGAGACAACAACGGTCTAATCCAGACTCGGCCTCTGCTGTTTGCATTGGCAGGCAGACTCGATTTTACTAGCTCTGCTGATTTGTTTCTTTCTATGCTTGGAGGATTAGGGTTAAGGGAAGTAGTGGTAGGTTGTAAACACTTAAGTTGGCTATTCTGTGCAAGTGAAGTAGTTGTCATAGACTGAGGACTGAACCCGCTCTTTGGCTGGAGATGACCGATCTGACCTTGCCGCGAACATTCTGTGTCCCAACTACTATACTGTTTTGGGATTGTTGTCGCATATTTTGCATCTGCATCAAGTTTCCCAAAGGAAGAATGATTGAGGCCCCCTATCCTTGTGTTGCTGCTGCTACTTTTTTGAGGATCAGAATTATTATCTACACTTGATGGTCTCTTGGGTGGTTCTGCGCTAGGCATCATCGGAAGAGTACACTTCATGTCACTCTCATGAAGTTTGAAGTCAAAGTTGTGCATGATATTCTTGTTTCCACTTGCACTGTAGTTGCTGCAACTTCTAAGATCACAGTGTTGCTTCTTCATTACATTCTGAATGCAGTTATTCCCATTTGGTTGTTCTTTCGACAGTGAGATATCAGGCTTCATCAGCCCTCCTCCAAATGAGGCTGTTAATTCTTTCTCTTTCTGCAGCCTACCAAGGTAAAGCCGATACTTCTGGAACAACAGAAAGTTTCTCTATCAGATCATGTTCATCACAAGTACATATAAATATTGCACCGAGCAACACTGCAAGCAACTATAAAGTATCAAGCAATACGTATGTATCAACTTAAAACAGACAATAGATATGGTTACACGTCGACAGCAAGATATTCTCACGCAATAGACATGAATGATATGAATTTTAACACTCTCTGCCAGATCCTTTACTTACCTGCAAGTGGCTAGCTACGTTTTCCCTTGTTAACCAAGGAACAGCCATCATGTCCAATATTTTCTTGGGACCCACTTCTGCAGCAACCGCAAGGAAGGGAAAAATCAGTGTTCATAAATAAGATTAAAATCATAAAAGAATACTTGAAAATAAAAAATTAAGAAGAAAAGGAAGTGCTTTTATGGAACTTACTTTCATAACCAATCTGATGTACTGCATTAACAAACTTCTGATGAAGTTCCACTGTCCACACTACCCTACTTTTTTTGACAGAGGATGAAGGTTCATTGTTACATAATTCTCTGTCATCATGCTTGCTGTCAAAAAAATCTTTTCTTTTCTTTCCCGAAGTTGAGTCAGAGCTTCCACAGGGGAACTCAGAACCATGTCTCAACATGAGGATTTCATCCATGCTGCAGCCATCGTGGAATTCAATATCTCTGACCTCGTGTATTCTTTTTCTAAAGACATGCTGCCATATATTGCGAAGCTCCTTCATTCTTATTGGCTTGAGAAGATAATCGCATGCCCCATGCTGAACACCTTTCATGACCCTGCTTGTTTCCCCATCAACAGACATCACTGCAACAATATCATCCCCCAAAAAGCCACCATAAGGCAATGATAAAAGCAACATATCATCATGAAATATGGCCCAAAAAACTCAAAAATCACTTCACGATGACAAGAAGTAAATTGACTGACTTATGACGGGAAGATCCATTTCCAGTCCAACATGCTCCAAAAGCTTAAAACCATCCATATCCGGCATATTAACATCGCTGATAACTATGTCAAATCCATCTTTTCTTTCTCGAAGCAGATCAAGGGCTTCTCTTGCTAAACCACACGTCGTCACTGAGATATAAACATAAAGCAGACAACATTACATCATGACATAGAACATAACTCGTCCATTTCTGCAAGTCAAGTACAAAATAAATGACCATAAATCCACGCATTCAGGCTCATTGAGGAAAACTCAAAGTGATCGATCACAGACAATGGAAAAAAAGCAGCTATATGATAGAAATGATAGAAGCAAAGAACTTGGAATAAAATCCTAAGAGAAAAGGCTGAAGGAGAATTCTCGCCAACTAATGAAATTGAGCAGAAATTGGTTTAAATCTAAAAGAAGAGGCATCATGCCATCATGGCTGGATTATGGAAACAGAAGACCCACGACAAACCCAAATAACCACTAACGTCAGCTTACATGGATGATGCATCACCTCTTAATAAATTAGCTAAACGAACTCATAAGGAAGAGTAAAATGAAAAAAGGAGGATTTCCAAATTCAATAATTATATGCGAGAACTATGTGAAAGCATGAAAAAGATGGATCGAGTTTTGTATTCTCTCCATCCCAAAATTACTGTCATGTTTGGATTTTCACATACTAGAAATGGAAACCCAAACAGGACCATCATTTTGGGACAGAGAGAGTACCTGTTAACCTTCAAAACAGAAGTTTCGAGTTTGTCTCCGTGACCTAGTTATCTCTTTACTTGAAGTACAAGTCCAACTACGACAGCGTAGGAACAAGGCTAATTGTCTTGAAGTCCAAATTTATACCAGTTATAAAAGTTTGCAGCATCTTTTCTTGAGGTCACCAGGTTCAGAATATCAAAGATTAGATTCATCAATATTGTGTCTTTCTTGTGGTTATTATACAAGAGTATTGCCTAACCAAAAGGAATTGATCATAGAAGTTTGCTTTTACATGAGATAGATTTTGAGATCAAGCATGCATGATTGTTCCATAAAAACAGATAAAACTTGGGGATTCTAAAGAAAAAGAATAATAATCCAGAGATAAGAACGAATATTTCCAATCTTCATATCAACAAGTACCTTGACTAAGAGAATAAATAAAAGGGCTCCAGAAATTGATAATCAAAATCAAGTAAGAATAGAATTAGACTTGATAATCAACTTGCTTTACATTAAAAGTAAAGAAGTAAGAAGATCAATAGTCCAAGCAGTATTAGGTTCCAACAGTGAAGTAAAATCAGAGAACAAACATAAACACACAAAAAAAAGAGCAAAATTTGAAGCTCGAAATGGTTTTCAACAGAAGTGAACAAGAAGAAGAGGAAAGAGCTGAATAGGCACCTTCATAGGAGCATTTCTTGAGCATTTTCTCAAGAATCTTAAGCCAAGTTGGGTCATCATCCACAACAAGAACCCTCAAACCAGCTGGGAATGAATCACTACTACTCCTTGGTGACGAAGAAAATCCAGAATTGTTCTCCATAATCATCATCATCAATTAATTCCCCGCCACCCCAAAAATATACTAATTGGAAAAAAAAAAGGACCAAATTTAATCCCTCTTCTTCAATAGTCTTTTAAAAAACAAGTGTTCAGGGAAAAAAAAAGAAAAAAAAAAACAGGGGAAGGTTCAGAAATGAAAAGGGGACATAATTAATGGAGGAGGAAGAAGAAGTGGGGTGCCTGTGTCTGTGTCTCAGTTCGTGGGAAGGAAGTGGAAGAAGAAGAAGTGAAGTGAGTTTAAAAAGGAAAGACAAGTTTTTTAAGACAGAAAATAATAAAATTAAAAAAAAAAAAAAAAAGGCAGAAGAGAACCAACGAATATTTGGCGCCGGCTTATTTCTCAGTTGACAAACAACATTGTGTTTCTTCTCTTCCCTTTCTTTTGGGCTTTGTGGTCTTTTTATTTTTATTTTCATTTTTTTCAAGGGGGTTGAATTTGCCATAGTGCAATGAGGCTGTTCAAACTGGCACAAAAACGTTATTGCTGAGAATCGAACTCCTCTAACTGTATTATTAATAAGGTGTAACGATCTATTGATAAATTTTAGAGAGTTCGGTTATACAGAAAATAAATTGAAATGCATTTTTTAAAATAGTTCCACTAAAAACAAAAGGATAGTGCATGCCACTGTAATTAGATTAACAAAATCATTGTGGAGTAGTTACATTGTGAATAAAAGTAATATTAAAGGGTTTAACGCACGTACTAATCCACATTTCTGCGTGTAGGCATTACCGCATAAGTTCGAAACACGAAGAAACAAATTTCTAACCACTTGATTTTAACAATTTTATCAAAGATCAGGGAGTTTGTGTTATGGGACCAAATGTGATACATATGACTTGGAGAAAGAAGGCTTTAAATCTTGTTGTTTAATATATGAGGGACTAAAAGTGACACGGTTCAGAAAATAAGAGGCCTAATCTGTATATGTTTTTTGCTACAACTTTCTACTTTTGTTAAAGAAATGTTTCTACAAAATGTTTGGACTTTTTTTCCCCTCCGGATTGTGTCTATTTAAAGGACAAGGAGTTTGGTATTCAAATCTTGGATTAGTTTGGAAGGTATATAGGAAATGGAAATTGTTCCCCATTGGGGAAGGTTTCACTTTTCAGTGGTTCCCTCCCTTTTAAATTCCCCCTTTATTAAGAGGTTGAAAACAGAAGAAGAAGGAGATAACATGTTAGGAGTTTTGTCAATACATATGTAATTGATATTGAAAGTAGATAGCATAATGTTAATTTAAAATAGGGTGAATGTTTGGTATATATATATATATATATATATATATATATATATATATATATGATGATAAAAAAACTCAGGTTCTGAAATTCTATCGAAAGTTAACAAACATTGCTTCACCATATAACGATCGATGAATACAGAGTTGAAACTTGATACAAAGAATTTTTTTTCTTTTATCTTTATACTTAAAAAAATTTAACCAGAATATTTGTAACCAATTAAAATAACCTATTTTTGTAATTTGTATGATAAAAAAAAGATTAAATTTACAGCCACCTAAATTTCATGTAAAATAACCTATATATCTCAAGATGTATAGCACCTCATCTCAACAAACTGGTTCTGCTTCATATGTCCTTTGGAATTACCTATGTTAAGTAGATAAGATGACAACTTACAACTAATAAATTAAGGATATTGCTTAATTTGTTTATTTATTGTGAGCGTTTGTTTTTCTTTTTTTTTTTTAAAAAAAACAACAGTCATACATCATTGCACAAACAAGTTTGTGGACTGAAAGTGGTAGACTGGTACTTCTAGCTACTCTTTAAGAAAATAACAAAAAGAAAAACATTAATTTATACAAAAATTCCCTTATGTGTCATCTTTCGATTAATTATGCATAGTTATTTTAATCGGAACAATAAACTTATCAGCTCAGACAAAAAAAAATGTTTTAAAAAATATACAATACATTCAGAAGAATAATCCAAACAAAAATTAACAGAAGTTCACGAAAATTGGTCTTCTTGAAGGCCCAAATATAGGCCCACATGTGATTTTACCTTAAAACCAATTAGTGATGAGAGTAGTACATATGGTTATATACTGATTACAAGACTCTCCATCCATTCATGTGGGACAAGGGATTATTCTCAACAGGTCTAACTTCATTGGTGTGGTATTTGGACAAATTGAATCAGTTCTGAAGTTGAATCAAAGTGATGGCTGAGTTTAATTGCACGGAAACATCATTTGTTGATCTCATGAATTAGCGCCAGTTAATGTTTTGAGTAAAAAGCTTGGATTGAACGGTAATGTGGAGAATCATAATCACATAATTAGATACTACTTAAATCTGGATAAATATTATCCATTGTTGTCAACATAATTCAATCCAACAAGTGAAAATAATAGGTTAAAATTTGTGGAGAACAAATTATTGTTACCCCTATCAAAGGTTAATTATCGTTAGCGATTAGCCTAATCAAACCTCTCGAATTAGTAAGGGCAACTTTACAAGAATGATAGGATCAAGTCTAGTGTTAAGATGTTTATTTAAAAAAGGTTATACTTTTTGTCTCGAAAAAATAGTGCATCTCGAGTTTTTAAATTTGAAATGTTCACAAATCAATGTGAATTTTTTATTTTTTTTTAAACAATGAAGCGAAAAAGGAGATTGATATACAGTTGCTCTTATATTTGCAGAAAATGACTTTTATAGAGGCTGAAACTAGAGCAACCAGGTGTCTGAAGAACTATGGTACTTTTTTCTTCTAGCCAAAAAGCAAAGAGAATGAGCGAATCCCACCTTATGGCTTATGGTTCATGAGAAAATGAAATAAAGGGGAGGAACCCTTTTTGTAGTTTGTGCTATTTTGCTTACATTTTTCTGCCCAATTTTTCTTGACTTCCAAAGCTTAAAAACCAATTATTGGTTAACACTTGGTAAACTGCATAAGCCAAATAATGTTCCAGAAACCCCTATTTTTGTTAGGAGAAAAAAAAAAAGAAAGTACTGTATTATTTTTCACAGGTGAGAACCAACAAATTTTCGTTGTGATTGCGCATGAAATTACTACTTAATTGGCCACATTTCTTAATCAAGTCACACTTGTTGCCTTTGTGGCTTTTCTTCACACGTTTACTAGTTAATTAGTGTACTTTTATATTATGAGTAAGCTATGGTTATTACTATGTTGGACCTATATTTTTGTGTTGTTTTTTTAAAGGACGTTGGTGCATTCATAGGCCACAATTTTGTACTCAGTTTGTTCTTCAAAAAAAAAAAAAGAAAGTTGGCTGCTAAACATTTAAGTCTTTTGTGCACTAATCACATCACAAAATTTGCTCAAATATATACTCCTTCTGTCCCAAAATTATTGTCCTGTTTGAGATTTCAATTTTAATACAATTTGAACTAAAAATGAAAACCCAAACTGGACAATAACTATGGGACGGAGAGAGTATAATTTTATCATAAATATCACTTTTCCACGTTAAACTATATCATAAACGAAATTTTTGTCCCTCCAAATTAAAAGATTAGACATAACATAAATCAGGTTATTACATTTCATACGTTCGAAATTCCAATCATATCTTTTGTAATCAAAATTTAATATGATTTTATGTAACGATTATTTTTCTTATTGATGAAATACAGTTTGACACACAAATACAAAAGTAAACATATGAGATTATTCGTGCCTTTTGGGTCCGTTCGACTATAAATCGGCAGATGAGATGGGACAACAAATCCTTGTCGGGTCAATTTTGAGAACTTGCTTTCTTTGTTTTGTTGTCTCCTTATTCTTGGAGCGTGACCTTCAAGCTTTCTTATTTATTTCATTTCATGATAATTTAAACGAGGTCCAACTTGTAAGGAATTTTTTTACAGATTCCTTTGATTAATAAATCACATTGATAAGCTTCTACTAGGCATAATTTTTCCATGTGTTTCCTTCATTGCCAAAAGGTGTGAGAATGCATTTTAATAGTAGTATTAGCGCAAAACTGTTACAAATTCTATTACGAATTTAAAAAGTTAAACATGAAATTCAAGGCCATGAATAGCTTGATGAACAATTTCTATAATTACATGATATGATATAATGAAGATTTTTTTTTTTAAAGAAAAGATAAAACTAGTAAAGTGAGACGGCCGGTAGTAAATGAAACATATAAAATATATTTAGCATTCATTAAAAAGGGCAATTTATTGTCAATAATTATAACACTGTCTCACTCTAGATTTTGTAATAGGTTCTGATCTATTCAATGGACATGTTTTACACCTAATAGATCATTTGCACCCCAAAGGCTGCCTTTATGGATAGTGGTATATTATATATAAAGTTAATTTCCTAAAGTGGAATATAATGAACATGAAATGTATAAACCTTAATTTAGCCCAAGTACTATATATGTCAATAAAATGTGTCCACGATACCCTAAGTTATATTAGAGCATAGAAATTAAGATGATGATTAATGTTGTCTAGAACCTCTTAGATAAGGTGGCATCTCATCAACCAAAGCAAAAAAAAATACTAGTAGTCGTATTTTATTATTATAACCTTCTTTTCACTAAATATACCCAAAAAAAGGAGAACAAAAGGGTACATGTATGTACTACTAGTACTTAATTAGTAATTTGATTTGATGGATTATATACTAATTTGTTTTGCACCTTCTTTGGTTTAAAGAGTTGGTAATTATTTTGGTAGTTATTTTAACTATTTAACCAATGCTAACCAAAAGTTGTTTTTGTCAAAATCGACTTTTGGCGTGCCCCATTTGGTGGGACATTATGACACGATTAAACACTAATTAAGTAGAAGCAGAGCTGGATTTTTATCAGTGGATACCCTATGCCATTGGGTGTCAGCTAAAGCTTTCATTAAAATTGTTTTTAATCCGCTCTTCCTCGTGTCTCCCTTGTGCTACTTGATTCAAAATTTATCAGTGACTTTATGAGTTTTCATCATTAGGTTATGATCCTTTTTTGTAGAATAAAAAAAATTAATTTTATGTGCAAAGCATAATAAGCTTTAATTTTTTTTGTTTTGTTTTTTCATCAAACTTATAAATGCATTATTCTAACACAATATTATCCTCAAACCTTTATTTTCTACCTAGTGGTTCTTAATTAATATTAGTTTTGAAAATAACATTAGCAATATATATATGTGATGATGAGGTTTCAAGTGAATACTTGTTTATTCAAGGTGTAAATGATTGGGAAGTTTACAGAAAAAAAAAAAAAAAGATTAGGGTTTAAGAGGGAGTGGAGGTATGGGGGGCGGGGGAAGGTAAGAAAAGCTAGTTTTTTTTTTGTTAATGGCTAGCTATAAAAGAGGAAATGCCCACTAACAAGTGCACTTTTATTTAGTTAAAAGAACAATTGGAGTATTTGGAACACAAACAAAAAGAAAAGAAAAAAGAGTTGATGATGAAGAGCATGATTGGGGGAATTAAGAAATTGGGAGGATCAACTCCATGCAACTTCTCTCAAAAGTGGGGGACTACTCTCTTTTCTTTTTTCATTCGTTTAGTTTAACCAAAAAGACAGAATTTTTAATTTACTCTCAAACTTTCATGGTTGATGCTCGTAATGCATGTGATTCTGAGGCATTCTTTGCTACCTATTTATTCTTCTTCTTTTATCAAACCATATTACGCTGATAAATCGATTTGTGATTTACGCAGCGGATATACAAAGTTCTCGAAATTGCACCCATATTCCTCTCACCCCTGTCCTATATGTCTTACTATTAACAACAATGCATGCAATTTAATTTGATCAAACCCTTCATGTGTTTGTTTTAATGATGACATACACAATTTTTGTTTTATATCTAGCACCTTTAATTCCTATTTATTCTACTCATAGCTTCTACCATACAGGATGCTGAACGGGAAAAAAAAAAAAATTCCTTCCACTTTATTTTCACAGAATATGCTATGCTTTTCACTGAGATTCCTGCATTTTGGTTTCTCTCTTCTCTTCTAATTAACATCTCTTTTCCTTTTCATTCACCAGCACAATTAATTGTATTTAAACCGAAAAAAGAAGGATATTTTGATTTCTGAAAAAAGTTATGCATATAAGAAAATTTCTCTTCTCAAAAAAAACCCTAATCCCTAGCTAACATACATGGTTATGAGAAGCACAAAATGGAAAACAAGTTTTGTTATTATGATTTTTAATCCTACATAGGAAAAATGGTAAGGCGATTTTCCAAATGAGGCATTTTCACTTGCGGACTTCTATACTTTGTTGAAGATCGAAAAAAGAGCAGGCCTAATGCCAGGCTATCTTTAGGATTTGAAGCCCTAATATAGTATGTGGTGGCCTGTTTATAAGATAGCCACAAAACCCAAAGATAGCCATTATGACATTCACAGTTTGTATCTGGGCCTCGAAAATTATATGGAATGGGTGTGAAGCTTACATCTGGACTTCAATACCTACTCTTGGTCTGGGCTTCAATCTTTTAAGGTTTCGACTTCATTTAAAACCACAAGCCCACAAGTTAACTCGGGACCGACCAACCGACCGCCCATGCAATGAATCCGTCCCGAGTCAACTCGGGACGGGCATCACTCGGGACGGGCATTGAACCTGTCCGTGCAAATAAGAAGGCGGGCGGTCCACCCATTGTTGTACATTATTGCACGGTCAGTCCCGATTCGGTCCGATATGGTGAACCGGTTCGGTCAAACCCTTTTTTTTTTTTTAATTTTTAGATTTTTTGTTATTTTTTTGTTATTAAAAAAATAGAAATATTTTTTTTATTTAAAAAATATAAAAATTTAAGAGAAATAGTAATCGGATTCGTTGCTATTTTTAAAATTTTTAGATTCTTTGTTATTTTTAGATTCATTGCTATTTTTTTTGTAATTAAAAAAATAACAATATTTGTTATTTAAAAAAATATAAAAATTAAAAGAAATAGCAATCGGATTCATTGCTTCTTTTTTTTTTAATTTTTTAGATTTTTTGTAATTAAAAAATAATAATATTTGTTATTTAAAAAAATATAAAAATTAAAAGAAATAGCGATCGGATTCATTATTTTTTAAGTGTTTATATTCTTTGTTATTTTTTGTAATTAAAAAAAATAAAAATTAAAAGAAATAGCAATCGGATTCATTGCTATTTTTTGTTACTTTTTAAATTTTTGTTACTTTTTTTTTATTTTTTTGTAATTAAAAAAATAACAATATTTGTTATTTAAAAAAAAATAAAAATTAAATGAAATAGAAATCAGATTCGTTGTTATTTTTTTTTTAGTTTTTATAACAATTTTTTATTATTGTAATTGCTATTCGATTATTTTTTTAATTTTTAGATTTTTTAATTTTTTTTGTAACTAGTTAATCTAGTTTTTAGGTCATTGAAATCTTGCCTAGTTGACTTGCTCGGTTCGGTCCGAGTGGCTTATTCTCTCTCTCTCTCTCCCCCTCTCCCTCTCTCTTTCTCTTCTTCAATTTAGTTTGGTGAAATAATTGGGATAAAATGGTCAAAATTAAAAACTTGTAACTGAAAGAACTAAAGGTTGTGGCTCGAAAAATCCTCTTCCTAAATGGAATAATAGTGTTTGAAAAAAAAAATACATTTAACACCTAGGAAAACCCTTTAACTAGAGGAGATCCCCATGTGAATTGTGATTTGGATATGGCACACCAAGACACTAAATGCAAATGGGGCCATCTTCATATGGCCAAAATTCAACCATTTTAACGTTTTTCTCCTTAATCACTTACTTTAAAAAGTTAGGAAACAAGGATTATCCAAAGTGGCATTTGAAAGAGATTTTGTTGTTATCAAAAAAGTAAATAAAGCAAGAAGACAGACTATTGTCACTTTGTGGCATTTGCTTTTTCATGCTTTCTGGGATGCTCTCTTCTCTTTCTTGCCTTTTTTCTTCAGCATTGGCATGGATTCAAATTCACTTTGTATTCCAAAGATTATAATAACCAAATAATTTTATTTTATATGCCGTAATCACCCCACATGCCTCATCTTTGTCAGAGATTGAATAACTCATTATCATGACTACCCCACTGATTGATCCTCGTCTTTTAAGTCCCACTGTACTGGTGATAGTTCTAGGAGAAGAAATCAATCAAACTAAGCAACAGCAAAGAACAGAAGTTGCATTTACTACCCTTAAATTTGGTGTAAAACATCATATGAACCTCATCACTTCTCAAAATACTACTAGTACCCTTTCAATTGGGTATGAATACTTGATGCTTCTTTTTTTGAACGCGTTTAAATTTCTATATGAGAATTGATGAAAATTATAACAGGAGAAAATCTGAAAATTAATTATAGTTGTCAGTTGAAGGTTTTTTTTTTTATACTATTAGATTTTGTATAAATACTTTGTCGAGATTGATGAGATTTATTTCGAAATTTGTTATTTATTTTAATGTATAAATGGTCAGACATGTTATAAGTGAAGAGAATAATCAAAGTCTTGTTTTCATGATTCCTAACAAAATTTGTATTATGGAGGGTGAGTAAGGACTTAGTTGGGGGAAATTACGGAAATGTTGCGCAAGATGTTGAATGAGAAACTGAAAAAATTGTACTTAAATTCTGCAGTTAATTATTTGGCTTCTTTTGACATTTTGAAATATAATTTTAAGAGATTATATGATGCAAAAGTATGTGAGGCCAACACTGATGTGATCTTATAATTTAAACTTTGCATCCTCATTTTTTTCTAAAAAATAAAAATAAAAAAATCTCAATATGGTAGATAACAAAAATTGATAAAGTTTCATTCCAGTTATAATCTGATGATGGACGTATAAGTAATTTCGGCAAATCATAAACTCTTTGTAAGAACCATATCAAACTTTGAGGATGTTAGATGTAATTTTACACTAGAAATTGTGATATTTGATTGGTTTTCTTTTTTCCCACTCTTTTTTCCCTTTCTGTTCCGGGCGCTTTACAGTTTATAGATGCTAATGATGCAATCTTCTTTTCCAAAGCAAAAATGAAGAGCTCAAAATGATGGTACAATCCCTTTTTCTCCTAGGTGGAAAAAAAGCAGAAATCTTGTCAAGTCTAACAACAATACATTCGAACGTGACTTCACATTTCCAAAGCTTACAATTCAGCAAAAGAGTGGGTGGGAAGATGAAGCTAAAGTAGCGGAGCAGTTTTCCTTCTTGCATAAGCAGAGAAAGTAACAGGGGAAGTCTCACTAAAAGCCAAGCCATGTCTTCAAAAATGGTGTTTGTTTTTGTCTTCATTGCACTCTTTGCACGTTCAGTTACACCAATTTTGTGCCAAGTTTCAGGTATGTTTGTTCGCCTTTGCGAGCTTAGTTGTTATTACTATTCCTTTGCAAGAATATGTTAAAAATCCCTTAGAAAAAAAGCAGTTGGCAAAAGGGTCATTAAGCTTGCAGCCAAGGGTGATGTAAATTGTGTTATTGCATGAGGAATTGATATAAAGTAGGAATCTTTAACCATCTGGAGTGTGAATTTGGCAATGGAAAAGTCTCCAGGTCCAGGATAGAAGTAAGTAAGTAGGGATCTTTAACCTTTTGGCATGATAAATTGTTATGCAGAAGTTATCAGTATAAAGCAATTCTATACAAATGATGTCTTATTTCATCAAAGTCTTCAAGGTCTTCAAGACATGAATGAGGAAAAGTAGGAATATAACCTTTTGGGCTGATGAATTTTTCATGCATAGAAGAATGGGAAATAGGACTTAACATTTTGGGATATGATTTGTTCTGCATCAACAAAGAGCTACTGAATACGAATGATATGCTGTTAGAGGGACAAGATATTGAAGTAGAGTAAGACAATTAGGATATGAATTTTACATGCCAATTCCGAAATTCATCAGTACAGGGCAATTGTGTTAGATCAGGAAATGAGGTATAAATCTCTAACCTTTTGGGCCATAACTTTTCGTGCAGAATTCATCAGCATAGATTGTGGAGGGAACAAAAATTACACTGATCCAGCCACTGGCTTAGTTTGGACCTCTGATAATGAAATTATGAGTCATGGGAAGCCAGTGCAAGTGGAACAAAGTACAGATGATAACTCAGTTTCAGCACCACAGTATAACACAAGAAGAGAATTTCCCATAGACAACAACAAGTATTGTTACAGGTTCAATGCTGAAGAAAGGAGAAGATACATTGTGAGGGCAACATTTTTGTATGGCAATTCGATGACTGGGGATCCATATCCAAAGTTCCAGCTTTACTTGGATGCAACTAAATGGTCTACCGTATCAATCTCTGATGCCTCAAGAGTTTATATCAAAGAAATGATCATCCGGGCACCTTCTAATTCAATAGATGTTTGCTTGTGTTGTGCAACTACTGGATCCCCCTTTATATCTACTCTTGAGCTGAGGCCATTGAATTTGTCAATGTATGCTACAGATTATGAAGATGACTTCTACCTGAAAGTCGCAGCAAGAGTTAATTTTGGAGCTCTCAGCAAGGATCCTTTGAGGTAGGCAATTTACGCAGATAATTGTCATTTGGAGATATTTATAACATTAAGTTGATCAGAAAAATCTTCTCTCATCATGTAAAAAAGCTGATTTCATTTTATCTTCTTTGAGGACAAAAAATTGTTTTTATTTCCCTTTAACCATGTGTTAGGGACAACTGTTTGATTAACTCTTAGCTCAAGGCTTGGATATGAAATCATGGATTTTGGGAGAAAATCCAAATCTGTGTTATTTTGCGTCACCAAATGCTGTATTTGGATGGAAATGTGAATGCTGGCTGCATTGGCACCCTCCATAATTACCCTTTTCATATGACAAACAGATGAATGCTTGTGTTAGGTATCCAGATGATCCATATGATCGAATTTGGAGTTCTGATCAAGAAAAAAGACAAAATTATCTTGTAGGGGTGGCTCCTGGCACAGAAAGAATTAACACAACAAAGTATATAGATACAAACACAAGGGAGTACCCTCCGGTAGGAGTAATGCAAACTGCAGTTGTTGGCACAATGGGGAGGCTCACTTACAGGTTGAATTTGGAGGATTTCCCAGCAAATGCTCGAGCTTATGCATATTTTGCTGAGATTGAAGATCTGCCCGCAAATGAAACAAGAAAGTTCAAAATGGAACAGCCTGCCACTGATTATAGCAATGCAGTTGTGAATATAGCTGAAAATGCTAATGGAAGTTACACGCTGTATGAGCCGAGTTATATGAATGTTTCATTGGATTTTGTGCTGTCGTTCTCCTTTGTGGAAACCAGGGATTCTTCTCGAGGGCCACTGCTTAATGCCATTGAGATAAGCAAATATGTGCAGATAGCCGCAAAGACAGACGGCAAAGAAGGTAAGATAGTAAAATCCCTATGTAGGTAAAGATATTGGTTTATGGATCTTTTATATAATAATTAGGCAGGTCAGCTGATCGATTTATTGTTCCTGATTGTAGTGAGAACCCTTGATGCCATTAAATCAATGTCTTTGGCGAGTGATTGGGCGCAAGAACAAGGTGATCCTTGTTTACCTACTCCCTGGGAATGGGTTGTGTGCAGTGATACCATACCGCCTAGAATTACAAAGATGTAAGTTGACTGAACTCTCAAATGGAATGTAATTATTTTGAGTTTAAATGGAGATAGTGAATTAGCTCAGCAAAATTGGGAGAGTGAGTCGTGTGTAGATAGTTATAATCTGTGCCACTTCACTGTCGAAATAATGCATATTGATATAGAAACTTATGTAATCTGGTGCTTTCCAAACAGTGTTCTTTCAGGTAAGAATGTGCATGGTGAAATCCCAACAGAGCTCGGAAACATGGAAGGATTGACAGAGTTGTAAGTAATGAGCACTGAAAAAAATTGACTGTTCTTGAACTTCGTGTTTAGTTATCTTAACTGTTTCGTCTCCTAATGTTATTTACTGTAGGTGGTTAGATGGAAACTTTCTCACAGGTCCCATCCCTGACATGAGTAATCTCGTCAATCTTAAAATCTTGTAAGTTGCATTGTTTAATTCTGAAATCCTTTTCTATTTGTGCTGTAATTCACATGTTGCTGACCATCGTATGCTCTTGGAAAATCATGCAGGCATTTAGAAAATAACAAACTGACTGGTCCGCTACCCCCGTACATTGGCAGTTTGCCAAATTTAAAGGAAATGTATGCTTTTATCTTATCTACTAGATCTTAAATTAGTTGTCACTATGTCCTACGTACATTATATAGTTTGAAAATGGCAGATCAATATTATGAAACGGGAGTCATTTTGTAATCGTATTGTATGTTGCAGATATGTACAGCGCAATTCGTTGAGGGGTGAAATACCTCCAGAATTGTTAACCGGAAAAGTCATATTTAGGTGAGTATGGTTTGTATGTGACCTTTTTATGTTTGTATTTCTACTCTAACTGGAGTGCTTTTTCCTTTCCCCTTCCATCCAGGCGAAAGTACGTTTTTGGCTGTCTTGAAACATTAGAAATCCATCGAACATTCATGGAGTTTAGTGTGCATACTTAGACATACCCATATGTCCCAGCCTTGGATGCACATTGTTCAATTTTGCATGACTTACTGCTGCTTCATTTCACTGTGTTGGCTACTTATTATCCCTATAACTTTGTTTGATTGTTTGTGACAGATATGAAGATACTCATCTAAGAAGGCAGGGCAATAAAAAGAAGCATTACAAAGTGATACTTGGAATTTCAGTTGGATTGCTTACATTTCTTTTTGTCCTATTTATGGGAAGCATACTCGTACTTCAGTATATTAGAACAAAGAAACGTTACAAGAAATTCAATGACATAGATAAAGGTATGTCGTGCATACCATTACCAGTTTCTCCTTACTGTATTTTATGCAACTAATTGTTCTTTAGCTGCAGGAGCTACTAGTTCTTTGCGAACCAGCACAAAACCATCGACCAATTATTCAATCGCAATACGTGGGACATCTCTAATGGATGAAGGTGTAGCGTGCTATATCCCCCTCAGTGAAATCGAAGAAGCAACCAGTGGCTTCTCAAGGAAAATTGGACAAGGAAGTTTTGGACCAGTATATTATGGAAAAATGAAAGATGGAAAGGAGGTAGCAGTTAAGATTATGGCTGATTCCTCGAGCCATGGGGCCCGACAATTCGTTACTGAGGTATGATTACGCTCTAATATGTTTCAAAATTCCTCATGATAAACAAGCATAGATCATTGGTTGGAAGATGCAAAAACAATCGTTCCTAGGATTCTATTTTGACGAAGAAAGGCTTCTGTTCAGGTTGCTCTCCTGTCAAGGATTCATCACCGGAATCTGGTTCCATTGATAGGCTACTGCGAGGAAGAACATCAGCGAATGCTCATCTATGAATACATGCACAATGGGACGTTGCGTGATCATATAATTGGTACCACGATAATCTAGACTTCTTTCTCTTAGGTCCTCTGTAACACAATTAAGAACATGTTACATTTTTACCTCCTTGACAGGCACCAATACGGAGAAGCATTTGGACTGGCTCACACGGCTTCGCATTGCAGAAGATGCAGCCAAAGGTGGTAAACTCACATAAATGTCACTAAGTCTACTGCTAACAACAAGTAACATTCTACCTACTATGCGAGACTGGTTTTATATTGCTCTATGATGTTAATTTAGTGTTCCTGCAGGACTTGAGTATTTGCACACTGGATGCAACCCAACAATTATTCACCGGGATGTGAAAACAAACAACATACTTTTGGACCATAATATGAGAGCTAAAGTATCTGATTTTGGACTTTCGAGGCAAGCTGAAGAAGATATAACACATATATCCAGTGTCGCTCGAGGAACCATTGGGTACCTAGATCCTGAGTAAGTTCCAAATCAGCATTGTTATCCACGAGTTTAAAATAGACACTCATTGTACATCAAATTTATTGAAAAATATTTTACTGTCTTCCATCATAGGTACTATGCAAATCAGCAGTTGACAGAAAAAAGTGACGTTTACAGCTTCGGAGTTGTTCTTTTGGAGCTTATATCTGGAAGGAGGCCTGTCTTCTTTGAGGAATATGGCAGTGAATGGAGCATTGTGCACTGGGTATGTTGTGTTTTGGTCGCTCACACTGAAAATCTCTCGTTAATCATCCCCTTTCAGTCCCTTGAATCAAAAGTGAACACTTGTAATCCCTTGCATTCGTGATCATCAGCGTACGTAAACGTATAGAATTAATACTGTTTTTGTTTTTGTACGCAGGCGAGATCATTAATCCGGAAAGGAGACGTGATCAGCATAATAGACCCAACATTAGCAGGGAAAGTGAAAATGGAATCAGTGTGGAGGATGGCTGAAGTGGCAATACAATGTGTGGAGCAACATAGTTCAGGTAGGCCAAGGATGCAGGAAATCATATTGGCAATTCAAGAAGCTGCTAAGATTGAGAGAGGAGATGATCAAAATGATAAAGCATCATCCACCGTTGGAGGAAGTTCATCAAGAGGAACATATTCTTCCAGAAAGACACTCTTAACCAGCTTTCTTGATATCGAAAGCCCTGATCTTTCTAGGGATTCAATAGCCCCATCTGCTAGATAAAAAATTGAGGTAGTATATTTCTGATTAAAGTTAACTACATGTATTTGGTATGGATACGTTTACATGTATTTGGTATGGATACGTACATATACATATGTAACAAATTAGCAGGTGATCAGGAGACCAACTAATCGATTCCTTTTTTACTAATTACACGTTATGTAAGCATCCTAATGCTCTGTGTTTTTGGGCTATTATACAACACAAATGAGCTATTCATTGTTATAAGATTAGCTTTAGGGACAAGGGTTTTGTTGATTGCTTATAAAATGGAAAACTAGAAATTATACTAGCAGCTGTTTCGCAAACTGTTTGCGACATGATATAATTGTATCCCTATAATTAATATAAAATTCCCATCCTCAAAGCTCACAAAGGGCTCTGCGATAGACCAAGTGAAGAAAAAATCTCATCCAGTTGAGACAACAGATGCTCAGCAAAATTCATTACTTTAAAGCAGCAATGGATATGTAAATCTATGCTGTTAAGTTCTTCCTTGCAACTTATCATAATAAAAGAATTATAATGATCAAAAGAAATCCAACAGAAAAGAGTAAAATGTCAAAAGTTATAGGTAACATAGGAGAGATTTAAATGACGATCAAGGAAAGTGACAATGTAATTAAAGCATCTCTTTTCCTCTTAAGTAAAATATATCAGGCTAGTCCTTGATACTTCTAAGTACAAACGATCAAAGAGGGTAGTGGTCCTAAACAAATCAAGATGCATCCATTCCAACGCAGCTCTCCAAACAACTCTCCGAAGCAGGGCCTGTGCATCCATGCGATTTTCCCTGCCCTAGCAACTCTCCGGCCAACCAACCGGGGGCCTTGTGCTCCCATGCAGTTTCTTCCTGTTGGTGAGCCTTCCACCGCTGACTAACCCAATCACGATATGTGACACTCCTAACAGGGTAGAAGTTATACCGGGTACAACAACTAAGAGAGCAAGGCTTACGCGGGTTCCAACTATTATCGAAATCATCTTTCATCATACAATACGATGCCCCACCCCCAGTTTCATCCCTATCAGGGTCCTCAAGCTCATCACCCTCAGGCCAATGAAAAACACAGTACTGCCCGTAAAAAGTTTTCTTGCTGGAACCATCATCCGGAGAAGCCAGAGAAGCAGTGAAGGTGATAAAAAACAGAGAAGCATCAGAGTATGGGGTATAAGCCACGTTACCAACCTCGTTGCCAACATCAAACTTGAATTGCTACAAAGAAAAGAGTAAAATGACAAAAGTTTTAGCCTTTTAGGTAACATAACACTGACTAAAGAGCAATCTATTGGACCAAGTGCCGAAAAATCCAATCCAATTGAGACAATAGATGCTCAGAAAAATTCATTACTTTAATCTTTTTTTCCTATTAAGTAATATATAAGGCTAGTCCTAGATACTTCTAAGTACAAACGATCAAAGGAACACTGAGAATTGTGCCGCAAAAGGCTTGACAGAATTCAACCAAAACTCATGCAATTTCAAACTTGCAAAATTACCATGACACAGAAAGTAACACAGATAACACTTTCCCAACGAGTGGCAATTATAACACTGACTAAAGAGCAATTTATTAGACCCAGTGCAGAAAAATCCAATACAATTGAGACAACAGATGCTCAGAAAAAATCCATTACTTTAAAGAAGCAATGGAAATGTAAATCTATGTTGTTTAAGTTCTTCCTTTCAACTTATCATTACAAAAGAATAATGATTAAAAGAAATCCAATCAAATCAAACCAGAAGGATATAGTACCTGCCCATCCTTATGATTTTGGTTGTAAAATTTAATGCATTTCTGGGCCATCCCCTGGAGTTTAGCAATGATGGTATTCCTGTCTTTAAATATGTTGGCCATCTCAGGAGTGATTGTCTTCATTTTTGTGTATTCGTAGGGTCGGAATTTAGATTTGAAGCTTGAATCCGGGGCCCAAGTGACCCCAAAGCCCTGGATAAATATCCTGAATCAGCCATGGAATAAACCCCCCAATTAAATCATCAATTAGATAATCCATCCATAATAATAGGAAAAGAAAGTAAAACTAACCTGGGTTTCGTGCACCATCTTGTAATACTCCTTCCATCTTCCCCATCGCTGCACAAGAGTCAGAGGTTTGCCCGGAGGCCGTGGTGACTGTTTTTTCCACATCCGCACAGCATCAAAAGGTTCATCCTCATCAGTGGAAGGTGACTCCTTTTCTGATTCTGAATGAGGTTGGATGGCATCTCTCCTATCGCCGGCCGCTTCCCTCTTTTCCTTGATCGCCGCAAGACTCTGGGCCAATTCGATCCCCGATATTTCACCCATAGCGGCAGTTTCCTCATCCGTCGATTCCCCCATGGCGGCCGCTTCCTCATCCATCGCTTCCCACTTGGCCTCCATCGCTTCCCACTTGGCCTCCGCCGCTTCCTCGGCCGCCGCTTCCTCGGCCGCAGCTTCCGCCTTGGCCGCCGCCTCTTTCGCCGCCGCTTTCTCCGCCGCCGTTGCCAACCTCTTCGCCCTCTTGGCCGCTGCTCGCGCGGCTGTTTCGGCAGTGGTATACGGTTTTCTTTTGTCATTCAACCTCTCGAACGAGGAAGACGGGGATGATGAAATCGGAGGAATCTCTATTCCGATCTTCGTTGCTACCCCGATCTTGACATCTTCTTCGCCAGCAATCACTGGATCGTAAATCCAGATACCATCTGGAAGGTCAGGACTCTTCTCCGTCGAAATTAAAGGCAGATCACGACTAATCCGCTCCCCCGTTCTTTTTTTTTCTTTTTTTTGAGTTTGCTCCCTCGTTCTTTTCCTCGGATTCACGTTCCCTCGCAGAATTCCGGCAAAAGCCTTCATCCCTCTTTCGGAAACCCTAATTTCTGCAAAACCGTATGGGTTGTGCTAAACGTTTGACCGCCGGGCCAACTGTCAACTACAAGGAATTAAAAGAAGGGGCAATATCCTCACTCTCAATAGTTACATACAAATCCGTAGAGCATAGAAAAGCAGGATGTCCGTGGCGTGTACGTGTCGGATGAACTAAATCCTTGTTGAATTTTATTTTTCCATTATAAGGAGTTCTTACATGTTCCGCAGTACCTCCTGTGAATACTCCTCCGGTATGAAACGTTCTTAATGTTAATTGAGTACCCGGTTCGCCAATCGATTGACCCGCAATAATACCTACAGCTTCTCCCAATTCAACGAGGTCGCCATGCGTAGGACTCTGGCCATAACAAAATCGGCAGATCCAAGATGTACTCCTACAAGTAAAGGGGGTGCGAATAGGTATTGTTTCGGCACGAAAAGTTATAAATCGATTGACAAGCCCAATTCCAATGTCTTGATTTCGAGTGGCAATACATCGCGGATCCATATATATATAATCTGCTAATACACGACCAATTAATGTTTGAATAAAAAAACGTTCGGGCATCATCCCATTCCGAGGACTCAGAGAAATCCCCCGGGCGGTCCCACAATCGGTTTGGCGTACAACAATGTGTCGAGCTACAATTCCCTCCCCCCTCCCTTCCCCGGGGTCTTTTCTCTAAAAAAAAATTAATTAAAATAAACGTAGACAAATTTAAATTTTTCAGAATATTTGTGGGCAGGAATATATTCTACGGATTTTCAAAATCTGAATTATAATTAAAATTAAACATCCGGATTTCAGAAATTCGAATCTACATTTAATAAAAAAATAATATTTAAATAAATTTTGTTGAATGATAGTTTTTAAAAAATCTTACATGAACAGTGCCGTTCGGATTTGCATAATCCGAATCTCATTAAAAAATAATAAATTGAGGTGCGAAATATTTGAACTCAAATAAAGAGGTGTCCAAAACCTGGACTCCTTAAATAAACAGTAGCACTTGAATTTCTGAAATCCGAGTTCTCAAAAAAAATAAATAAATAAATAAAATCAAGGCGCGAAATTTTTGAAATCAAAGAACTGGAATACCGTAATCCGGTTACATGTATTAGTGTTATGTACTATTTGTATGATAGAGTCCATAAATTGTGTTTTACTTGTTCTTATTTTATTAGTTCATGGATTTGGATGGATTTAATTCATTGGTTTTGTTATTATTTCTTGTTAGGAGCTGGAAATAAGAGATTGGAGCTATTTTGGATGATTTTGCAAGATCAGGGACTTAAATACAAAATTGAAAAAGTTTTAGGATAAAAATGAAAATACTACAAACTCGAGGGACAAAAGATACAAATCGTGGACTAATCCTTCTTTTCCAGCGGCTGTTCTAAATTTCCCATATAAATATACTTTTAGTTTTATTTTAGAAAGCGACCGTGCATAGGCCAAAGGCTAGCACCTCCCACCTCTTGTTTTTCTCGAATTTTCATTGTTTTCCATGGAGAATCAAGCCGTCATACTTCCAACTATGAGTGGCTAAGTTTTCTTTTCTGATTCAAGGGATTTATCCAATTATTTCATTATGAGGTTTTGTTCTTAATTTATTATTTTTGCCTATGATTTAAGTATTTATTGATTCTTGTATTGAGTTATGAAAGTAGATATCATTCGAATTGACAACTTGATTTGTTATTTATTTTCTAGTACTATCTGCTAGTTGAATGTTACGTAATAAACAAGAACCTGCAGTACTGAGTAGCAATTAGACAAAGTATGTGTATTGGTGAGACATTGAATATGCATGTTAGTTTAAATGTGGAATCAATGAGGCAAAGTCTGAATAGTTGCAGCTATCTCAATTATTTAGATTTTGGTTCAACTATATTTCCTTGGTATTTATGCTGTCATTGTTTGATATGGAACGCTATCGTGCCCAGCCGAATTATGATAAGGACTAATTGAGTGCTAGGCTTGGTTAGTTAATTTAGGGAGATTAATTGATTTATTACGGCTATCCTAATAGATCTTTGCTTGAATGCTTAAATTGGAAGAGTAGTTTTAGTAGCCTGTGATTAATGAAATAATTGAGTTATCCGTCCCTTGAGTCAGAAGTCTGTTACTTTGATTTCTTTTCATTTATTTAGTTTTTGTTATTTGAATTTCATTATCATAGATTTAGAACAACAATCCAAAAATCCATCTTTGCATTAATTTGAAGGAAATAATCCATCATTCCCTGAGGAGACGACCTTACTTCTCTATACTACGTAGTTTGAAGTAGGTTAATTTATTTGTGTGTCTTGACACCCCATCATTGTACGTACTAGTATTATGTAGTACATTAATATTATTACTCATTATACATTATTGTTACTATCCCTTTTACCCTATTAAAGCAGAATACAGGATGTTGATGTGGCAACTTCTTATTAAAACTTTTTGGCTCTAAATGCACCATATTGCATTGACCATTCTGCCACGTGTTATCTCCTTTTTAAAAGAAAAAAATTCTTATCCGGAGAAACAAAAGTTACTTTACAAAAATAGTTACACAATTTTAACTCCTAGCATTTATCATTTATCAATCAAATTAAAATAGCATTTAAATTTGTCCATAAACTTATCCCCTTTATTACTCCACATTCTTTTGTATGATTTCTGCATCGTTGTACTTTTCAATATTTTTTTTCCTTTGGCAAATGATTTTTTATTTTTATTTTTATTTTTGCTAAAAAAAGAAAAAAAAAACCAAATGTGTAGCTATTTTATTTTTTTCAAATCAAAAATTTATTTATCTATTAACACAAATTTAAAGTAGAGGGGCGCCCAGGCATCTGCCTGGGCCAAACATCTAATTGTTATTTATTACTGTTAAATCTGTTAGTCATTATATATTATCACAAAAATAGTATAATTTATCTGTACTAGTGTTACTATTTGTACGTACTAGTATTATGTAGTACATTAATACTAATACCCATTATACATTATTGGTACTAGTATTACTTATTACTGTTAAATCTATTAGTTATTAGATATTATCATAAATTCAGTATAATTCATCTGTATTAGTGTTAAGTACTATTTGTACTTACTAGTATTATGTAGTACATTAATACTATTACCCATTATACATTACTGGTACTAGTGTTACTTATTACTGTTACATCTATTAGTTATTAGATATTATCATTAATTTAGTATAATTTATCTGTATTAGTGTTATGTACTGTTTGTACGTACTAGTATTATGTAATACATTAGTATTATTATCCATTACCACATTACTAGTACTAGTGTTACTTATTATTATTAAATTTATTAGTTATTAGATATTATCATAAATTCAATATAATGCATTTGTATTAGTGTTATGTACTATTTGTACGTACTAGTATTATGTAGTACATTAATACTATTACCCATTATACCTTACTGGTACCAGTGTTACTTATTATTGTTACATCTATTAGTTATTAGATATTATCATTAATTCAGTATAATTTATCTGTATTAGTATTATGTACTATTTGTACGTACTAGTATTATATAGTACATTAATACTATTACCCATTTGCATTACTGATACTAGTGTTACTTATTATTTTTAAACCTATTAGGGCTTGTTTGGACAACATTTCATTTTGCATTTTAACTTAGTCTGTGATTTGGATTTGAATTGTGTTTTGAAATGTGTTGTGAGATGAAATTTAAAAAGTTGTTTGGATAGAGTTTGAATTAAAATAATATTATTTTTTCCACCACTGGACCACCTCCGCCGCCACCGGCCACCACAGGGCCGCCCGCCGCCGCCGCCGGACCGCCGCCAGTGTAAAAAAATGGTGTAAAAATAATGTTTGAAGTAAATTTTAAAAAGTAAAATAAAAAGTTGTTTGGATAGTATTAGGATTTGTGTTTAGTGGTGTTTTAAGAGGTAAAATGAGCTAAATTGCAAATGGAACCCTTGGCCAAACAAGCCCTTAGTTATTTGATATTATTATTAATTCAGTATAATTCATTTGTACTAGTGTTATGTACTATTTGTACGTACTAATATTATTTTATGTAGTACATTAATATTAATACTAATTATATATTACTAGTACTAGTATTACTTATTAATGCTAAATCTGTTAGTTATTAGATATTATCATTAATTCAGTATATTTCATATGTATTACTGTTATGTACTATTTGTACGTACTAGTATTATGTAATACATTAATACTAATACTCATTATACATTAGTGGTATTACTGTTATTTATTATTGTTAAATTTGTTAGTTATTAAATATTATCATTAATTAAGTATAATCTATCTGTACTACTGTTATGTACCTTTTAAGGAAATAATCGCATTTTCAGAATCTGGGTCATGCAAAAAATTAGATTTTCAAAATATGGCCATACGGTTTAGGGTTTAGGGTTTAACTTTGGGTTTCCCAAATTCAAGTGTTACTTATACTCGGATTACCAAACTCCGAGCGTAACCTATATACGGATTACCAAAATCCGAGTGCAACATATACTCGGATTACCAATAACGCTTAAACAATTTCAAGCGAATGTGTATAATCTGCAAAGTGCGATGTTCAAAAGTAAGGGCTCAAATAAAGTTTGGAAAGAAAAATAAGTGGCTAATTGCCGAAACTTGAATTAAACTTGAAAGATAACGATTATAACGAAGCAAATCGAAATAGAATAAATCGATAAAACTTTAGTAAAGAAAATAAAGAGTGTTGAATATAAAAACTTGTAATGAGTTGTATGTGTTGATGATGAGTTGTGTCGATTGAACCCTAGCTATCTTAATATAGGCTTCGGTAATTCCTCCGAGTCGGTAAAATTACCTGATTCTCAAGAAAGCCCTGATGTTGAAAGCCCTGATATTTCCAGGGATTCATTAGCCCCGTCTGCAAGATAAAAATTGATGTAGTACATTTATGATCAAAGTTCACTACATGTATTTGATATGTATATGTACATATACATACTTATAACAGGTGATCAGGAATCCAACTAATCCATTCATCTTTTACAAATTACACGTTATGTAAGCTGAGATGAATCGAAAGATGGAAAAAAATGGCTCAAACTTGTGCCGTCTGATTTCATATTAGGGTTAATATACAGAAAGCCTTATCACAATTAGCTCCAAGAATGACGTTACAAAAATCTATCTATGGTAAGTACACTATTTACTTAATTGACAAACTTATTTACCATATGTATATATATACCGTAATATCCCCCTTCAAGTTGGAGCATGTGAATTATAAATACCCAACTTGTCAAGAAAATAATCAAAATACGGTTTACCCAAAGCCTTTGGTAAAAATATCTGCAAGTTGCACATGCATGGATACATAACTGGGGAGGATAGTGCCCTTCAAAACTTCATCTCGTACAAAATGATAGTCAACCTCAATGTGTTTGGTATGTTCATGAAAGACGGGATTGGCTACAATGTGTAAGGCAGCTTAGCTATCACAATAAAGTCGAATAGAGATTTTAAATCTTATTCTACTTTAAATCTGATATTAATATTAAATAAAGGAGTATTTTTTTAAATCTTATTCTACTTTTGACTTATTGTTATCAGCTTGCTAAATGTGAACTAATGCATCATATATTAGTTAGTTTTTTGTTAGGTGGGGAGACCGATAAAAGTGGTTTAGGTTGGAATTTTGTGTGGTAGTCATACGTAACGATTTTGGCAGACCATCTAAATCAAACTAACTTCCTCTGTAGTTACAGATGCTCAACCCCTTATCATTACCTCAGGCTCATAACTGTAGTGTCATCTTCACTTGCATGCTTTATGGCCGATGTTTGTGGTTTGTTCCTTCTTTTGGAAGACCTTTGCATGTATAGATTTAGAAATCTCAAATTTTGTTTAGGATGCCCTCTTGTATTTGCCGGATGACATGACGTATTTAAATGCATATGAAAATTTCTTTGGATAGAACAACATATAACGTTTGATCCATATGGCCAATCCATATAGTGGGCTAAAGGCTAAGCTGTCGTACACCCCCTTTCGTTTCTCTCATTTGTATTTTGATTGCATTTCTTCCATTTGTCAGAATGATTACTCTTTTAATTTAATTAAGTCTGCTTGACTCCTTTTACTGTGCCTCGGGTGCATGAATAAGTTTTGTTATGAGAATTAATTTCTTCTGCAGGATCCCATGGGTAAAACTGCGGCATTGACGGCTGTACCATCTGCTGCTCATGTCCGAACTCTGCGGAAGGGATCAAGTGATCACCTTGCGATCAGTATAGATCCTGAATCTGAAAAATTAATAGACAATGAGCAATCTGATTTAGATAAAGGTTCTTTTGTAATCTTAATTTTCCATTAAATCTTAAATTTCAGTCATATGTCTTTTTAGGCATTTTCCTGGTTCCAAATTTGATCCTTTTGCTAAAGTCCATGAAATGTTGATTTCAGGTCATGTATTCAAGTCTCTGAATACGTCAGGACTCATTCCTAGACAAGGGAAGATGATTGCAGATAGAGTTGATGGAATTTGGTATGCTATGCCCTTATTACCTTGTTACGTGATTCTGTTGATTCTGCCTTGATTTTGCATTTCTTGCTACTCTGGTTCATATTTTGATTGTATATATATGCACAGATTTTGCTTTTTCTGCGTGTTATCTGCTAACACACATTGTTGACTTTTTCAGGGTATCTGGTAGCAGAGTTTTAATGAATCATCCAAGAGGGAGGCTAGGTCTTATTGCTTATTGCCTCTTCTTGCATCTTTGGTTACTAGGCACCATTTTGTAACATTGCCTCAGGGATAAAACCCCAAGAGTGCATGCTAGTCTTACAACATAGTATTATTTTTGACCTGTAAAAAGAAAGAGAAAATAGTGGGTTAATCATATTCCTTCTTCAGTAATGCCAGGGTTCGGGTGTAAATAGCAACAGGGTCCATTTCGTTTCTCTGCCATCACATTTTTAGGGATTCAGAGGATCCATCAAAGATAAAGTCTCTCATAGAAGTGGTTTATTAATGGTGTACACTGTTTAGGGATTGGTTTATATCTTGATTCATTCTAGTAATACAGAAATACAATAATTTCCAATGTAAAATGCATTTCTTTCCTTTTAGTCACTGGAGGAAGACTGAATTACGGACTGCATTTTTTCCTTGTTTTTCTTCTTTTATGCGTTTTTGTTACCTTGGAGATTTGCCTACTTCATCAATAATCATTCTTTCTGTTACCATAAAGCTCCTCCAGATGATGAATGCAGGGGCAAATGTGCAGTTATCAAACTTTACCAGAAGTCAAACGTGAGTGTTCATTCATTTTAGTTTCTGAAGAAGAAGTCAGGAGTAGATTGGCGGGAAAAAGCCATTAGAAAGAGACGAATTTTCTCGACATACTTTCAAGCTTCTAATAAAACTTGTACTTGGTGGAAAAAATAAATCGTTCTTGTGGATAATGTTCTGTTGACGGTCCCTTTCTCGTCTTCCACCAATTATCCCCCAACCCCGAAATGATGAAATCATGGGTTTTAACTGTTTTCATATTCAGAGTAGCTCTTTCCAGTTGTGGGAGAGAGATCGAAGCAAATCCCGAACCCTACAACAAACACACCCAGAAATCAAAGGCGATCTCTTTGAGTCTTTGGGCGTTTTCTCAAGTCAATTTAGATATGGATTAAGTTTAGTGCGAACCAGAAATCAGCTCTTTCCCACTCCCTCTGTTTTCCAGATAACAATGGACGGCATGCTACTCAATCCAAGCGGTTGTTGTTGGAAGTCTATGCCATGCAATTCGCCCTCAACCCTCTTTTTATTATCAGGTTCCATTCTGATTTCTGAATCCTCCCCTATAACTTCTTACAAGCTTCAGTCTTTTATTGTTGCCAATCTTAAGATTGGACTCTGTCAGTCATTTATACATATTTTGATGGCAATACTTGAATTTGTTAAGGTGAAATTTTGCCTGGACCTGGTTTAACAACCCCTTGTCAAGTTATTAATGTGAGTATTATTCAGAAATTTTTTTGGTACATTTCCTTGAATTTGCCTTTATTGGTCAGGGGTCTTCAGCTAGTCTCCAATATGCAGGGAGGCAGAGTTAGGATGAAGTATTTTGCTGTTCATAATGCTGTCAAGAAGTCCAAAAAACGTGGAAGATCAAGGAAGTTTGAAACTCTACCACCAAATGACGTCTCATCTGATGTTCCACCTTTAGCAGATAATAGCGATAATGATGAAGAAGTGGAAACGTCTTCTTCACCTGAAAAATCAGAGGTGGAAAAAGGTACCGTGTTGGCTGCTTCCAGGGGTGCTGTTCTTCAGGCATGTACCCTCACTTCCTGTTTCATTGGAGGTTTGGGCATTTTGATTAGGCAGGTACTTTTCTTCCGCTGCTTTTGTTTGTGCCTTTTATGTTTCTATTGCATTGAATGCGAATGAGAGAAGTTAAGATGCAATGTGAAAGTGGGATGTTGAAATCCAATAGATGATGTCAGACTCGTAAGTTGGCTTTGTATCATTCAGTCGGCTTATCATGGGTAGTTGCTTTAGCTTTTCTGCTCTTTTTTTTTATGGTCAGATGGTAAGCAAAAGTGTACATGTTGGTTTTACATTGGAAATGAGGGATCAGGTTTTTGGGGCTCTAGTTTTGGACATACTTTTTATAATTTGTTATTAGCGACGTATCTGCTAAGAAAACTAATTGAAGCTGAAGCATATTTGTTCAACGTTAGTACTTCGTACCTTCTGGAATGCTTATATATGGATTGGACTTTGCAGATTTCTCACTTTGCGTACAACGAGGGTTTTCCAATTTTAGACTGTTCTTCTCGAATATCATGTATGATCTTGGCTGTAACTTTAAGCACAGCTTCTTTCTGGTAGTATGGCTATGAATCACTGATACTGCTGCTTATTTTGTTTTTTTTTTCCACATTTTGTGTTAACTTTAACCACATTTTTTTGCTGTTATTGTTGTTGTATCAAATGAATGTCTAGAAACTCTTTTGTTGCCATCATCGTGATAAAATGTAAGTTAACTTTAGAGGGGTTTTGCAGGCTAGCTTGATAACTAAATTCATCATGTTTATGCAGTTAGATTCGAGCTGTGGCATATGGAGTTGATTGCGGGGTTAGTTTTAGGTGTATCATCATGCAGGTACATACTGTTAAATAGTTGGACAGATTTTGCTGAGTCAAGCGAAGCAGCGAATTACCAGGTACATACTGTTATATTATTGTTCTGGAGTTTTCTTTTAGTGGATATTGTTGTGTTATTGAGAAACATAACAAGTTTTGTGGATGCGTGTGTGCGTTTTTTCTTTATTGCTATTTCCTTGTGGCTTTGTCCAGGTCCTTAGCTCACTGGAACCTTTGGACTACTTGGTTGTCGCATTTTTGCCAGGAATCAGTGAGGTCTATATCACGTAGCTGTCTTTTGTTGATGAATGGGATACTTCGTTTCCACCCTTTTTAGTGTTTTCCTTATTAACAAAACGTCGCGTGATTTGAATGTGTCTGCTGATTTGAGTAGGAAATGCTTTTCCGCGGAGCATTGTTACCCCTCTTTGGGATAAACTGGATGAGTGTTGTTGCAGTGGCTACCTTATTTGGGGTATTGCACCTGGGAAGTGGTCGAAAATATTCTTTCGCCTTCTGGTATGTATTCAAGTTTCAAATGTGCCGATGATTGCTTACTGAATTGCGTTGTAAATGAAAGAAAATGCGCAGTTATCAAAATGTATTAGCAGTTTTGAGTCCACAATTATCTGTTGATAAAAAGATGTGGTGGGCTATCAGGGGAATACATTAGTTGGGATTGCTTATGTTTGGGCGACGGTTGCATCCTCAAGCTTCATCATTGACAATGAATTGTCAATGATGATTTTCAATAGACAAAAAGTGTTACCTATTAGAAATGTAGAAAAATAGCACAAGCCTCCCATATCAATTTGTTCTGACCACCTTTGGTTGATTTCTCTTTCCCCTTTTTTGAGTCAATTTCTTTGATTGCTGTTTCCCTATCTTTTAAGAAACAGTCACTTAAGTGGATGTTGGTTAAATGCTCCTGTTATATGTGGGTTTGTTGTCTGAAGTTGAATTCTGATACTCAGATTTTTCTTAATTTTGTCAATGTTAATTGCATTTGCGAATCATCTGAATAATGTGGATATGACATTCTAAGACACGTGCATTAACTTTCTTCTGGTGAACAATCGGCTTCTTTAGATGAAGACCACTCAATTTATTTGCTTTGTGCAATTGAAGCTCTGAAAGCTGGCACTCTTTGCCTTCCCGTTGGTGGCGGAGCATTTGTATTTTTCTGGTCCACGCTGCTCTTAAGCTTTTGCTTATTACCAACACAATCAACAGGACAGGACAGGGCAGGTATAGGCATCCAGGTTGCAGGGTGGGTTCCGTTAGTTTCACACCTTATGTATGCAGATAGCATACTCTTCTTTTTATCTACTTGAACACATTATCGATGGCTACTGCCGCCACTCTGGTCGGCAATTGAAATTTTTGAGAAATTTTTTATGGCTTTTAGTCCCAAACACCCAAATACATCTGCAATTTTTTCTTCGCCACATAGTCCATATTTATCAGAATTGTCAGGCTGATAGATACCTTGGAAGGCCGCCTGATTTCCGCCGCAATCGAGGTGTCCTTTTCGGATATCCTTCAGAAGGTTCAACAGAAAATCGCGACATAGAAAACAGAGTCCCTATCAGTTGTTGGTTGCGTGGTTCTGGTTCGGCACGGGCTGTCTTCACTTCCTTAATACACTATGGGCAAATTTCACTGGAAGGCCCGGTCTACCGATTGTAAATCTCGGTTTCATGGAGGGCCTTGGCATGCAACCCGCGAGTGGTATGATCAAGCTTTACTAGCTCCCCCGCCTGGAGAATTTTCATAGACCTTCATGCCTTGTTGTCTCATATTTGCATTGCGAAGTGTTGCCGTCGTTCAGATTTCTTTCTGTCCAAGCTGGCCAATGTGCTACGTGGGGTTGGCGGAGGTTCTCCAAGGCAGGGATTTGTTGAAATCAGGCCTCAAATGGCAAGTAGCCGATATCACAGTTTCAGCGGACTGGATTCCAGGCTCACCTAACCCTACATCGGCCGGAGAGTACAGTTGGTCCTTCTTTCTTTGTCTCCCACCTTATTGATGAATAATGATTTAGGTGGTTGGCGTCTTCCCTTACTGCATGGCCTCTTTCCAGACCATATTGTTCAATGCATTCTTAGAATTTACTTTCCCCGTCTGTGTAATGAATGATCTTTGCAACCGGAGGTATTTGAGCATATTGGTGTTTGTACAGTCCGATTAGGGTATAATCAAGCCTGTAATTTGCGTAGCAGCTCGTTAGCAATGCCGTTACATCTATCCATGATTCATCAGTTTCTTCTGCAGTATGGAAGAAGCTTTGGACGTCTTCCCTCGCAGAGCGTATTAATGTTTGGCGAGCTTTATCAAGTGCTGCTCCCACAACACAGACATTGGCTCGTCGTGGTCTTTCTCCGGTGTTGCTCTGTGTTCGCTTCGGGTTATCGGATGATCTGTTGGGCACATGCTTTTGGATGAGCGCCCATGCCTCATTTGGAGGTTGTGCCCCCTTGGTTTTGATTTCTTCATGGGCAAATTTGCTCTTTCACAGAATGGTTTGTACATTCTATGTAGACAGCTCCAAATGATGAGGTTCCTTGTCAGTCCCTGTTTCTACGATGAGAAATCTGGAAAGAGTGTAATTGTCAGGTTCTTGGCGCAGACAACCCTCCCCTTCCCCGTTCGGTAGTGTTAGTGTCTTCGGCTTTAGTAGTGTTTCATTGCGCTTCTAAGCTATACGTCCTACAGTTCGCTATGATCTTGGAGGGAAGGAGAATGAAGATCAGGCGTCTGTGTGCCCTTCTTTACCCTGTCTGCAGGTTGATGGTGCTTTTTTACCTTCAGTTGAAGTTGCAGGTGCCGGCTGGGTGCTATCTTCGTATACCGGCATTCTTTCATCTTCAGGAAGCTGAGCTTTCCCGGTAGTTTCTTCCTTAGAGGCAGAAGCTTTTGCATTGCACACTGTGGGGTCGTTGGCTCATCGGGGGTTGCTGCTCCTCACGGACTGTTTGGTGTTGGATAAGATCAACCATAACCACAGGGTACTTCCAGTGGAACTTGGTTTTCTCATGGAAGACATTCGTCTGCGTTTTCATTGCTTTTTGGTAAGGTTATAGTTTCAAAGGTTTCTCGTTCACAAGTGCATGGGGCGCATGTTCTACCTGGACAAGCGTGTCGCATGCCTTCTGTAGCTGTGTTTTCTGCTGGTTCTGTACTTTGAATATCTATATACATATATAAAGTGCATTGTGCTGGTTATGGGGAAAAAAAAAAAAGATCAACAAGTTTTCAACAGCTTAGGAAACTTGCAATATTCCTTTGACTTGTAACAGGCTGACATTCAAAGCTTAAAAGAGGCAGGTTCTGCAGTTGACATGATGCAGGCAATGGCATCTTCGATTTTTTCACTTCTGCCAAAGGTGATTCTATCTTCTCTTGGTTGAGAACGCCCATAGGATAAGCTTGTCAGCTGCTTATATAAAGATAAATTATCCTCTTCCTAAACCAAAATCTGTGTTTTTCATCTTTTTTGCACCGATTTTGTCAAAAACCTCTGCAGTTTTTGACTTCATGTTACTAGTTGAGATTTATTTGCAGATCTTCACAACTTCACCTGAAAGCTGAAAATTCTGATTTGTTCCTTGCAGTTTTATACTTTGTAGATAAAAACCACTTTACATTCGCTCATAGCTTTTTGGTTTTGGAAAAAATTATTGTTGACCTGAATAGAGAGCTCTTATTAGCTCTGTAGAAAAGGTTGACAAAACTGATACAAATTCCCGGAGTCTTAAAGATATATTCTCGGATACTAACATACTGATACAAATTGCACCAAACTCGTTGTAAAAATCTGATGAGCAGGAAACTTATGAAAAATTTCCCATTTGTTTTGTCTCATTTTTTATTATCATTTATCATTGTCCAAATGCTTTTGATTTTTAACGTTGCAGATCATCTTACTCCTGTTTCTGTAGTTACTTTTATTCATTTGGGATGATTACCTAGAGTTTGAAGGCCGGAGTTAATATGTTGAGTATCTTAGCACATCTTGTATTTTCACTGGAAACCCAGTATAATGGCCTATTGTCTGTATGACCAAACTGTACTGATCAATTTGAAGCTCTTTTCAGGTTGATGAAGTGATTCTCTGGTGATTGAACTTGCAAAAGAGAAGGCCCAACGTGGAACAGTGCGAAGATTTTATTGGCCGCGATACAGGTAAGTTCTGCTTACATCAATCTCGCTTTTGACTATGGAAATTTCAGTCTGATAGTAAGTTGCTGAAGCTAAAATTTCACCGGTTCAAGACTGTAGTTTGAGGACACATACTTTGCAACAAAAATTGTGTACAGATGAGATCAGCTTGACAAGACTCATGTCACTGTGACGACTACTACTCCTAAATCCTAATTCTAAAACCTTGGGGGAGTTTCCAGTTGTGGTGATGGCTTCGGAGACTGACTAGTTTTGCTTCTCAAGAAGGGCATTCTTTTGGGGGAAACAACATGCAGTCGCTTTTATGTACTATTGTATCTAAGCATCCAGAGATGGAGGATTCATCCGCTGAATAGTTGTATCTAAGCATCCAGAGATGGTGTATATTTTCTATAAATTTGGCCATTCATCAATCTTTCCAAGCTCCCATTATTGTTTTACCTGTACCTGTTTGTGCCAAGCCCACTTTTATGTATCTTCTCTCTTCTCCTCTTCTAATATACAAACTACAAAGACCCTTCTATTTTTTTATTTTTTTTTTTGGGTATAAGTAAGGACCATATAAGGAGGATGATGTTGAATCCATTTGGTTAGAGACATTCCAGAGGTGTCTTTATCCTTGTTTCAACTTTTAACATAGAAGTCCTTTACTTGTAATAGTGTAGTGTTCAAAGGAGGGAGGGGGAAGCGTTCTTCCACATACTAAGATTTAGAGGATCTATTCTCGAGTTAGGATTGTTAACTTTAGTACAAATTGAATTAAAAATATAAAAAATTTAAACCAAACAATAATTAAGTTTGGAACGGAGTAATCCCTTTTACCCTATTAAAGTAGAAAACAAAATGCTGATGTGGCATTTTCTTATTAAAAGGTTTTGGCTCCAAATGCACCATATTGCATTAATCATTCTGCCACGTGTCACCTCCTTTTAAAAATAAAAAATATATTTTCAATATTAACGAAAAGATCAGATGGTCACGTTCATTCAAATTTTGAATTTGACAGTGTATGAAATTTTCCTTCTCCATTTATTTAGGACTTCCGAAAAAATTAATTTCTGGTCAATCAATTATCTTCATCCAAAACTAAATTCATTCATAATCAGTTTTGATTATTTACATATCGATTTATTAGGTGGGACGCCCCGGGCATTTGCTCGGGACAAGCATCTAGTCTTACATTTATATATAAAAAGAATTTTCATCCCAAGACACGTGTCATTTCATTAGGATCTCTATTGCTTTCACCGTAAATTTTTAATGTAAAATAGTTAATCTAACAAAATAATATTTACCAGAATTTTTTTTTATTTTTATCCGCGAGTAAAAGTCACATTTAACCTTTCTCATCTAAAATGACATGTAATAAATATCCGGTATCAATCGCCGTAGTTCAACATACTCCGGCGTAAGCAGCTTCGTACTATAATTCCGTTCAACATATTCCTAATAAGATCACCAACGTTGATGGTTCAAAAACTCGTCGGATTATATATTACTAATTTCCCAACAAGAACACCGATGACGGAGCCTTCTATCCTCACAAAAAATTATACTACGGCATTGAATGTCCCATATCCAGCATTCTCTCCGGGCACGTTCCCTCTTCGAATTTGTATCTTCTATTTGTTGTTTTTTATTGACGAAATCAATTCGCCAATAATTCGTACGCCGAAAATCCGGCAAATCGGTGACCTTGCCCAACAAAATTTGTACGCCTACTGAATCACGTTCTTTCATCGTGACATTGCCCTAAAAAAATTTGTAGGTCGGCTGCTTTCCGTTGATACTGTGGTTGCCGGTGTTCGAGATATTTAATGGATCAAATCCCGTCATATATATTTTTTCGGCGTTGATGATGCTGCTGCCATCATATCTTATCAATCCCAAACATTTCTGAAGTTTCGACTAAAAGGATAATATATTAGGGTTTTCTGTTCTTTTACGTATCTAACTTTTTTTTAACGTAATTAACTATTCAGTCAAAAACCAGATTTGTTGCGTATTAGGGTTATTACTTCATCAGATCAGATCGGATCACGTATTAATTCCAAAACTCATTTTGAAAGGAGTTTTATCTTTGCATATATCCCTCATTTAAGGATTTTGATAAGGTTTATTAATTTACCACCTTAATTAAAAATAATTACCTTAAATCATGCCTCAAAATCGAATGTTGCCCTTATCACATTAGCAGTTATGGAGCAGCGGCCAACCTTGAAAACCCCTTTCACATGGGAACAAGCACGCCGCCTCATCTACATCTTTGCTTCTTCTACAGAGATTTGAAGCCGCTGTCGTGGATGGCCACCTCCGCACACCCAACCATTGTAATCATCGCCGCCTCTATTTCTGCGACCGATAATCCAAATAAGGTTTTCTCTTAATTATATATTCTTTTATCTCAATTGATTGATTAATTACCAAAAAACAATGCATAAATATTTGGGTGATAATGTAGTAAGGGTTGCCTGCAGATGTGGGATGGGCTTATACAGAAGACCAAATGGAAGGCTTAAATGTAATTGACACCAATATATTTTGAAACGTCTATGAACCTTCCGTGGAAAGTACTTATATTCAATTTGCGTTAAAATTTTTTGAATGCTTGGTTTGTTATTTTATGTGGTTTCAATTGTGAATTTGTCAGTACGATTTTGATTATATCTCTTGGTTCGGTTCTTAAAGTTCATTTTTTCTCCACGTCTAGTTTACAAATTTAAAACCTTCCGTATTTCAAATGATGTCGTGTTAGTTTAATGAAAGCATTCCCAAATTTCCTCTATAAATATCATTTCGTAGATGCCGTTTTCTTCAACCAACATTTGTTGTTAACAACTGAAATAATTGTAATTGTTATTTGTTTTTTCAGCTTAGATTCTAATCCGAGAATTGGAAGAGGGGATTTATCAATGTCCATCTCACCCGGTTCAGCTGCTAGTGCAGGTTTGTAAATCTTTGTTCAGACTCAAAGGAAATTTACAGTGTTGGTTCTGTAATCATGTGATTATGTTTGACATGATCTTTTGTTGATGTTTCTTCAAATTTTCCCTTTCAGCTACCGTGGTTCTTGATGAAGCTGTAGAACGAGTTCACCTGCCCAAGGGCGACACCGGGTCAATTCATAAATTTGGCGGTACTTGTGTGGGAACTTCAGAGCGTATTAAAAATGTTGCCAAAATTGTAGTAAAGATGAATCAGAGAGAAAGTTGGTTGTCATCTCCGCCATGTCAAAGGTTACTGACATGATGTATGAACTCATTCACAAAGCAGAGTTTCGCGATGAATCTTACATTACTGCACTCGACGCTGTGTATGAGAAACACAAGTCAACCGCGTGTGATCTGCTTGATGGGGATGAACTTGCCAGCTTTTTATCTCGATTGCTTGATGACATTAATATCCTCAAATACATGCTCCGTGCTATATTTATTGGTAGGGTTTTGTAATGGATATTTGTTGTTTATTCTTTTTCCATATTCCTGTTATTTGGTTTATTTTCAACCATGCGTCTTCATGTACCTCAAGATAAAGAACAATGGCCCATCTGCAGTTGATTGGCATGCTTCAATTTTATTGATTATTGATGATTAACTTGTAGATTATTATGGTGGTTATGGAATATCTTTAGCTATGGCATTGTAACAAACTTATAGGGTTCTCGGTCCCTCCCACCCCCTTCTTTGTTTTTGCTGATAAATTGCTTAATTTATTGCAGCTGGTCATGCAACAGAATCCTTTTCAGATTTTGTTGCGGGGCATGGAGAGCTATGGTCAGCACAGATGCTGGCTGCTGTTGTCAGGCAGGTTGCAATCCTGTTCCATTTCTTATATTTTATCTATGCCATCTTATACCCGTTGCTGCATCTGATGTTTTGCATTGTTTACTTTCCCATTTTTTCGGAATGGAGTGGACTGTCATGAGTACGATTTTGATTATATGATGAACTTTATGTTCACTTACGAATTGGAGTCAATTACGTCGCGGATTGGAGTTTCCAAACCGGTGCACTCTGATCAGAGTTGACTTTAGTTGTATATTTTTATTTTGCATTTGTTGATTTCGAATTTTTGATAGTAAAAAGTATTTGGATACATAATTCATCATTGAGTTGTGTTTGACAGCTTAATCCTGTTTGAAAGGTTCATCATATTTTCCAATGCAACATCCAGTGGTTTCTATCGCCTCTGCCAGCCTTCTCCATCTGCTTCAAACCACTGCACCGCCATATGAAAATACGAAATGCATTTCTATTCTTTCTTCGTCATCGCTTTTTCCTTCGTCATCGCTTTTTCCTCCCCCTCATTCTTTTTATTTTTCATTCCATATCTACATCATCAAATTTGAGAAATGAGGTTAGATCTAATCTTCAACTCCTATTTTTCTTTGGATTTTGATCCAGCCGACCGCCAGTCCGGCCTACATGTCCACACTCATAACGGTAAGCTTTCGGAACTCTACAACTTTCCACTTCGAGATGTTGTAGTTTTTTTTGTTATGTTTGTTAATTATAATAATATGTTCTGAGGAATGCGCGGTCATGGTTTGCTATATTAAATAAGAAACCCAATGTCTTCTGCTTCTGTATCCACTGCCAATATTTTTCGTCCCTTTGCGGCTGCCACCTGCCGATAGTCCCGGGATACCACCGTCACTAAATCCTTACAGTCATTGTTGTACCTATTGTTGGGTTATTATCTTCGCACCAACCAAGTAATCTCCTCCATGTTCACGTTCATCTTCATCCCCAAGTTGAGTGGTTTAATTATTTCTTTCATTTCCTCAATTCTCAAACTTAAAATTTCAATGCATTTCGAGGTGGGTATAAATCCTTTTCGGTAGTTAATCACGGGGATATTTGTTTACAATTTGTCATTTACTCATATTTTGTTGGTTCTTTCTTCTTGGTTTTTTTTTTTTTTTTTGTGGCAGAGATCGTAGGAACTAAAGAACTAAAAGGAGAAGGTCCAATTAAAATGATCTCATTTTTTGCAACCAAAAAATATGTTGTTTGGCATGGGAATTGATTACCTATATATTTAATTATGATAGTAACAATAGTGCTATGAAGAAGTTTGCATATATATGATGTGTTTAGTGAAATATGGCTGGTTTGCTTATTATGGATGACAAATGAACAAATCCATCATCAATTTGCTTAATGATCATTAGACGGATGCCTCTTTTCTTTTCTTTTTATTTTCCCTTATTATCTACTCAAAACAAATATGCGACTAATTTTATATGTGATGAAACATTTAATTTTGTGGTTTGGTTTTGAAGATCAAAGTAGGGTAATACAGGATACAAAAATGGAGTCTCTATCCAGTATACCCGAGGGCACCATACTCCCCCTCCTATTTTTTACACTACTAGTTCTTACTACACTTTTTTTTTCCACTTTTCTAAATAACATCCTATAATTTACATGTTTAGTCTCTTTGATTTTTTTTCTCTCTCCTTTAAAAAAACATCTCTAATCTTTAAACAATCATATCTCATGATCCGTGAAAACTAGAGAATGTGTTACACATGAATTTTATTGTACTCGTCGAGATCTATCAACAAATCCATGTCGAATATTTTTTTCGAGTTTAAAAATGACTAAATTTCGATGGGTAGAATAAGATGGATATCTAGTTTAGAAAGATAGATAACCAGTTTAGTTTAGATTAAGATTCATGTATTGCATATATCTCTTGATCCGTAAAGAATTAGAATACAAATTACGCATGAAATTTATAGTGCTCGACGAAATCTATCCGATGAGATCCATGTTGAATATTTTTTTTGAACTTTAAATGGATTTAAATTTTACGGGCAGAAATGAAGAAATGTGTTTTTCGTTTTTCTTTGAAAAATGGTTATCTGTTGTGTTCCTACTGATTATCCAACCGGTTCAGACTGATTATCCATTCTGTTTGTACTTATTATCCAATCATATTTTTGACATTCACTCTTCAAAAAAAAAAAGAAAGAAAGAAAAAATGATTGGATAAACATTGCAAATAATTTGGATAATCAATAGAAAATAATTGGATAATCAGTGCAACACGTTGGATAATCAGTACAAAAAAGTTTGACAATCATTTTCATAAAAGAGCAAGGACAAAAAATACTGGATAACCACCACAAAGAAGTTGGATAATCAATATGAATACATTGGATATCCAGTTTAAGAAGATGATAACCAACTTATTTTACATTCATATTGTTGTGTTCTTTATATATTTTGATCGTAAAGAATTATAACACGAATTATATATGAAATTTATAGTGCTCGACGAGATCTATCCGATAAGTTGGATATCCAGTTTATAAAGATGGATAACCAACTTAGTTTATTATTTTCAAAAAAATAATAAAAAGAAAAACCATGTTGGATAAACAGTATTAACATATTGGACAAAGATTTTTTCCAAAGAAAAAAAAAAGATCGGATAACCAGTATAAACGTAATGGATAATCGGTTCAAAACGGTCGGATAATCAGTACGAACGAAATGGATAACCATTTTAAGGAAAAAAAAAACTAGGTCAAATCAGTGCTAATTAGTTGGATAACAAGTACAAATAATTTGGATATGCACATAAATCCGTTGGATAACCAATACGCATGCGTTGGATAGGCATACAAACCAAATGAATGGATATCCAGTACAAACAAGTTGGATATGCATACAAACCCCGTTGGATTACAACTACAAAACAAGTTAGATGGGCATACAAACCAAATGGATGGATATCCAGTACAAACAAGTTAGATAATCAGCATGAACACAGTGGATAACCAGTACAAACAATTTGGATAAGCATGTAAATCCGTTGGATAACCAGTACGCACGAGTTAAATAGGCATACAAACCAAATGGATGGATATTCAGTACAAACAAGTTGGATAATCAGCATAAACACAGTGGATAACTAGTACAAACAATTTGGATAAGCATGTAAATCCATTGGATAACCAGTATTAGCGCATAGGACAATGATTTTTTTCTAAACAAAAAAAAATGATTGGATAACCAATACAAACAGTTTGGATAGCCAGATAAATCTGTTGGATAACCAGTACACACAAGTTTATAGACACACAAACCAAGAAGTGGATGGATATCCAGTACAAGCGAGTTGGATATCCAGTACAAACAAGTCGGATATGTATACAAACCCGTTGGATTACAATTACAAAACAGGTTGGATAGGCATACAAACCAAATGGATAGATATCCAACAATACAAACAAGTTGGATATCCATTTCAAACAAGTGGGATATCCATTACAAACAAGTTGGATAGACATACAAACCAAATGGATAAGCAGTACAAACAAAATGGATAACCAGTTCAATTTGATTGGATAATCAGTATGAACACAATGGATAACCAATTTAGAACAAGTTGGTTATCCATCTTGTAAAACTGGATATCTACCTTTATTCTGCCCATCAGAATTAAGTTATTTATAAGCCCGGAAAAATATTCACTATGGATCTTGTTGGATAGATATCGAAGAGTACTATAAATTTCATATATAATTCGTTCATAAATTCTTCACGGATTGGGAGATATGCTCGTTGAAAGATTAGAGATGTTTTTTCTAGAAGAGAGAGAAAAAATGACAAGGACTAAACTTGCAATATAGAAAGATTGATAAAAAAGTACAATAATAACTAGAAATGTAAAAAAAAATAGGAGGGGGTACACGGTGCCCCCGGGTATATTGGATAAATTGCCAAAAAATGGTCTCAAGTAGGCTTGCTGACTTACAAGTTCTGTCCATGATGGGAAAAAAAATTCCGGCCTTAGTTAATTCACAAAAATAGTAGGCGATATCTTAGGATAATAAATATAATAAGAGGGTAGCTGTTAATTTCTAACATATTAAAAAGAGTAGGGAAGTCCCATGGTTTTCTCACTATTCTTCTTTTAAGAATTAATCGTTCTATTTGTGTTTGATAAATGATAAATGGCTACTTAATACAGGAAAAAAAGGAGAGACATTCATCATTGCTCACTCCTCCTCCTCCGCGTTCGAGTCCAACCGATTTCGCTGCCAATGGATTCCGGGTTAGATTATTATGCTTCAAAGGCGCCATATCATCAAGAGCTTTCCTTCGGTCTTATTCTCCTGCCGCCAACTCCAGCCAGACTCATCTTCTCTTTTTCTCTGTCCCGTCTTTCTTCTTCTTTTGTCCATCATCATCATCCATCATCACCTTCCTTACGTAGCTGCTAAATGAATTTGTTTCGGCATCGTCTGGCGAAAATAATGGCCAGAATGATTCAACCAAATTCCATATTTAAACGGAAGAGAACAACGGCGACAGTAAAAAATTGTGAATATGCGCTGCAATAGGGATATTTAGTGGAAGATTATCAGCACTAGCACCGAAACTGCCCAAATCTGTAAGTTGGATAAACCAACTTCCAAGAAAAAAAGTTAGATAATCTGTACGTTTAATTTCCGCTGGCGCTTTTCATAAACAGATGTGATACTTATCGTGGGATAAAAATTTCAAGAATTTAATGGTGTAATTTTTGTTAAAATATTTTGTAATTTGGAACGTTGAATTTATAAAACAATGTCTTAAAACACCTAAAAAAAATTTAAAAAAAAGGAAAGACTTATATTATATAAGTACACATATGAAAAAAAAAATACCATCGCCAAACCGGAATACAAAGTGAAGTAAACCAAATACTACAATCAATTATTAGTAATATTATTTTCTTCCTAACTTTACAATTCTCTTTGGGAGCGATTTTTTTTTTTTTGAATTATGAAATTAATATATAATATATTATATTATCCGCACAATTTTCGGGCATAGTACTAGTAATAATTTAAAAGAAGTAGAGTTCAGGTTTTCGGATGGATAAGATTAGGATTAGAATTGAGGATCCTCAAGAACGAACAGAACTTCCATAAAAATCATTCACATCCTTTCACGCATTCTTTACAGTCTCAAAATGACACTAAACATTAAAATTACATTCCAAGCCCTCAAATTTTAAGACTACTATTCTCAGCCCAACATTTTTACCACCCAAAATTACATTCCTCTTTCTGGCCCCAGCGTAGCGTTTAACCCACCCGACCGCTTCTGGGTCTACCGGAAAATGAAGCTACGCCGCCGGCAACTTAATTAGACATTCTTCTATACTCGTATGTCTGGAATAGTTCTCCTTGCCTAACATTTTCACTACTCATTTTCCATTCCTCTTTTTGCCCTAGTTTAACCCTTTGAACCCTCTGAATCGGAAACTTGTCTCCTGGAAATCTACGGGTGGGAAAAGGAAAAGGAATTCAGGAAGTAACAGTGGAGATTTAATTGCAGAATACTGCCGTAATTGAAGTCCCTCGCTGACCTTGCAGGCAGTAATTGAAGTCCTTGGTTTCATCGCCATTGAGAGCAGTCCTCTGCTCTTTTGCTGTTAAATGGCGTAAACGCATCAACAGATATCGATTAAAATCAACTATCCAGCTATGGACCTTGGTCGATGGTTAGAAACCGATTTGCAGTACCACGTGGAGCAAATTTGATCAACTTTCATCTTGGAGCAAATTTGATCAACTTTCATCTTGATGTAACCATTATAGCCAAAATCATCCGAATAGGTATTTTGCAAAACCAAGATATCACCCAGTAAACCATATTTCTCTGACGGTTGTTGGTTTACTGGGTGATATCTTGGTTTTGCAAAATACCTATTCGGATGATTTTGACTATAATGGTTACATCAAGATGAAAGTTGATCAAATTTGCTCCACGTGGTACTGCAAATCGGTTTCTAACCATCGACCAAGGTCCATAGCTGGATAGTTGATTTTAATCGATATATGTTGATGCGTTTACGCCATTTAACAGCAAAAGGACTGCTCTCAATGGCGATGAAACCAAGGAGTTCAAATGGCTGTATGGTTGGGTGGATTGGGCGGATCTTATGTGTAAGGATAGGACCATTGTGATTTCACATCTTCCACCTAACCTTTCTAAGGTGAATATTACAAACTACCTTCCTTACGTGGTTATGATCTACCTTAATTCTTCGTGTTTTTCATTCTCTCTATTTCTCAAAATCCTTATTCAATTTTCTTTATGTCTAAAATAAATAAAAAACGCATGCATCCGCAGTTATTTCCTTATATCTACTTGATGCGTTGTCTGAAATGTCTTGAATGCTGAGATTAGTCGGTGAGATGACAACTTGTGGATGAGTCTGATGATGTTGGTAGTACATGAAGGCTTAGTGACGGGGTAAGCTGTTGATGACCACTTCTGATAATCGAAAAGGTCATATGAAGCATTAGGTTAAATACCAGGTTGCTAAAGCTGTCTTAATCGGTAGTGAGGAATGGTTTAAAACCTGGTAATAGTATTACACGATCTTTTCCTTGCTCAACATTATCTCATAACAAAATAGAATAATATCTCCCTTATGCTTCCTATTATATTCATCCATATGCTTGCTGTCCTGCAACACTGCATTGTCCCAGTTATAATAGTTTTTTGTTTCTTCTGTTCTACGTTAACGTAAAAAATAACTCCTCACAGAAGGAAAGAGAAAAACTGATGGCAATCTTTACCAAACATGGACGTTGCACTTGGGATTGGGGAACTAGGGCCCCTAGAGGAGTTCGTGTGATCTATTATAAGAAAGAATCGGCTAAGGCGGCTTGTAAAGACCTTACGAGGTTTCCAAGGAGTATCAGGTATTTCTCTTTCATATGACTTTTAACTGTTTTCTATTCCTTTGCTTATCATTTTGTTTTTTTGTACATAACTTTGTTTTTTGTTTGCATTCCAGGGCACGGGTCATTCAGTGGACATGTAGTAACTAGTCAGCAAGAACAAAAAAAAAAAAAAGACGGGTAAGTACTTCATCTTGAATTTTATTTTGATGCACTCTCCTTGTCCAATTTTGAGTGTTACCCAAATATTCTCTTTCCTATCAAAAACCTGAGCATGATTGGTTAACCAAATAATTTTTCTTGTCAGCAATGGTATCCTTGTATCACAGCTTCAAACTCAGGCTATTATATAACTAGTTTTGTTATAAATTACTTTGTCCTGTCCCCTGTTCCCAGACTGTAAATTCATTTTTCTGTGCCCTTATGCTTTTGAGATGCCGGAGGGGGAGGGTGAATCTGTAGGTCGTGAGGGGATCATGTCCTTGTAGGCTTGCTGGTTTCTCATTGTTTTTGTGGTGCACATTTTGAAGTCCAAAAACTTTTATTCTATCTCTATGATGTTGTTCACTTTGTGCCCTCCTCTTTTTTCCTCTGGGTAAAGGTTGCTTATAACAATAGAAGAAAGAAGTAACTTGAAGCAAAACAATACGTTACTTACTGTTTCTTGGGTTTGTTACTTCAAGCTCTAATACTTTTGAGAGAATCATCTGCTGTTTGCAAAAAGCTGTAGTTCGTTCTTGTTGTTCCTTTTGAACAAGTAAGAGCTACAGGGGTGTCTTATAAAACTATGCGCTGGTTATGATGATCAAGAGTGCATATACATATTTTGAACCACTTTGACCTTTAAATTCGTTTTCCTTTCTAAAAGAGGTGGAGCCACTGCCTTTTCTTTGAAGAAATGATGGATAAGATTGAAAACTATGCTGCCATGTCCGGATTAGGACATTTCTCTATATTTGTCGATTTAATGTGAAGTGCCGCACAATCAGTTATTCCTAAGAAAATTTATCATGTTTGTTCTCGAGTAGATTAGTTGGCGACGTTCATTCATTCAGATCTTGTTTCTTATATGTGTAGTTGCTTCCTTTCCTTTTTTCTTCCTCTCTATCCTTCTTCTTGGCAGTCTCTGTTCGGATCATTTTTGTCTGATGCCATTATTGTTTTTGACAGGTTGACTGATGCCATTTTTGTGTCTAGTTGGCTGAGAGTACAATATCCGAACACTTTTGACAAAAATGATTTAGGATCTCAGAACGTATGGCTGATGTAGTTAATATGTCAATGGAGTTTAATATAGCTTTTGTGTATTCAAACATTTGTGTGGTGGACTTCGAACGTACCACGGTAGTCAATTAGCTAACTAGTATTGTTGATGAAAAACTAATCTTGATTAGCTAGGAGAAGGCTCTCCGGAATGACGAAGGATTATTAGTTATGATGAATTACTATAACTGCTTTTTGGGTTCATCTGACTTTCTGAGCAGTATAATGAATTATGATGACTGCTTTGTTGGTTTATCTGCCTTTTCTTTAATAGAGATGATGAGTTATGATAACTGCCACATTAATTTTGTCATTTGCGTACTGCTGAATTGCTCTAAGAATATTCAAACTCCTAACCTAAACGTTTGTAACTTTGCCTCGTAACCAGCGATATTGCAATAGCGAACATGATTTTGTACACCTACAACGAATTAGTAAGAGGCTATCGGACTCCCTTTTTTAAGTTTTTTCAAGGAGAATGAATCTGGGGGGAAATCCTCAAAACACGAGTTGTGGTCGTCATGAAACACAATGAACTGTGCAAGTAGGCAGGTATTAGTGCCTACATATCCTCCGGCGTTACTCTTAAGTCCCCAGACATCACTGATTGCCAAGTTCTTCCACCATTTTGATTGTTCAGTGGTCTTCAATTTCAACCCTTGTCACCTTCCAAATCCTGTAATCTTTCTTCAACACCCGCCAATGGCGCAACATTAAGCCCAACTCACCTCCAACTCATAAAAATAGCCACCAAAACGCAAAGGGGTTAAAAGAGTTGCCACTGCCGATATCAACAAGGCAAGAAGAAAGGACGGGACCATCCTCCAAGTCTGAAAAGCTTGATTCCTTATTCAAAATAGAGGGAAATTCAGTGATTACATTAACTGATTGAGTAGGGAATGAAAAGGAGGCGTCAGTTATTTACGTTCTGTAACAGTGGAGAGGTGATGACTGATGACTGCGTCTATATCATGATTCCGTGGACCGCCAGATGTGCCTGCCTGAGGTTCCGTTAGGATCTGGTCCAAGTACTCTGTTGCCTGCCATCCAAGACGAAAAAGAAAAGAAGAAGCAAAATTAGACCAAAATGACCTCTCATCTCAACCAACTATCGTAACAACATAGTTTTAGCTACTACCACATCGGGCGAGAATGGGATCTACGAGAATTGGAGTCTAATCAGTTATGACATCTAGGAGTTCAAAGATGTATCTTCAGCAACATTTTCAGTATTCTGAGGGATCAGCTCCTCTGCATAGACGTTTTCAACCCTTTCTTCCGAGTAGCCAACAATTTCCACAGAACCTTCAAGGATTTCCAGGAATGCGAACTAGTTTGTTTGCTCTATGACAGCGCGCTTTCAACGGAAAAAAAAAAAAAAAAAAAGCGTGCGCGCTTTTTTGCTTTGCTGATGAACTCTGATTCTCCTCAACATTAATCTCATCTGCAATAGCTTCCCCCAAACTCTGGTTGTTATTCTCAGCTGTTCGTGGCTCCGTTGAAGTGTTTTCAAGTAAATCAGGCGACTTTCTGACACATCAATCGATTATCAGCTGTACTTATGGTACCTAAGTCGGTAGGATTCTGTATATAATAAATACAGTAGTAAGTTAAACAGTACGGTTTTTTAATTCACGTCTTTTCGATATTAAGGATTTTGTCTTGAGGGAAAAAGAAGAGCCTTAATTTGTGAAACATGCCTAATGGATCTCTGGAGAAATTCATCCACAATGGCAAAAACAGTATAGGTTGCAACCAATTGGGAAAGGATAAATTTCACCAAATTTCATTCGGAGTTGCTCAGGGATTGGACTATTTAGATCGAGAATACAACACTCAGATCTTGCATTTTGACATTAAACGACACAAATTTCTTCTAGACGAGGATTTTTGTCCTAAGATCTCTAATTTTGGTTTAACGAAAAAATGCACCAGGACGGATAGCATTGTGTCAATTGAAGACATTAGAGGAACAACTAGATACATTGCCCCATGAATTGGTTTGCAGGAGCTTCCAAGGGGTGTCATATAAATCTGATGTCTATAGCTACGGAATGATGATTTTGGAAATTGTCAGATGACGAGAGAATGTTAATTCAGAAACAAGTCATTCAAGTCATGTATACTTTCCACATTGGGCTTATCATCATCTCCTCGTTGAAAATGACTTGAGATTAAAGGGAGGTGTGACTCCGGAAGAAGATGAAATTTCTAGGAAGATCATACTAGTGGGATTATGGGCGTCCAAAATGATCTGTAGCAAGGTCACCAGATTCAATTTGCGAAATCAAATCATGGTGACCGCTACATTTTTTCTTGGCATAATTCTCCTTCCACCGATGACAGTAAGAGCATTCTCCATTCATTCCAATGAAAGATTGATATTCTGTTGTCTAATAATACTGACAACAATGTCAGTAAAGTGATCGTTGTTTGTATGCCAGAATCAACCTTTGTTGCTTCTGTTGATGGCGTTGTTTTGCTTCCCTCGGATGATTCTCCTGTGCTGTCGAGCCTGCCTGCGATTTTTATTAATCTAAATTCTCTGATTGGTAAGTCCATGTGATCTAAGGGTTGCATTTGTTGTTTTGATGTTTATGGGAAGTAGAACTACTAAAGATTCAATTTATTTCCCCGTTTTTTTTTTTTTTTTTGCAAGAATTGAACTGTTTTGTCTAATTTTAATTTCGATTGCATGAATATTCTTCCTTTTTAAAATAACGCAAAAACAAGAACTTAAAAAAGTTTTCTATTATTTTTTTTTTTTTGATGATTTCATTTTTTGATTGCGATTGATAAGAGTTTGATGATTCTATTGATATACATACGACTTCTGTTCCAAAATTATAGTCCAAGTTGGATTTTTAGTTTTAGTACAATTTGAACTAAAAGTTAAAATCCAAATTGGACAATAATTATTTGGAAGGGAGAGAGTAATTATAACTATAAAACTATGGATCTTTGATCTTACTCGAACAAAGAATCTACTCTTGTTTTCCCATCACATAATTTGATTAAATTCATGAAATATAATGTTTTATCTTTCATCCCCGCCTCAAACGCATATTCGATATTTGCAAAAGATGATGGATAAGCCTAAGGCTCCACGGCCATCCGATGCAAGGAAAAGCGCGCTCTAAAGGTAGGGAACCAACCCCAAGGGGACAAAGTTCATCCCTTTTACCCTATTAAAGCAGAATACAGGATGTTGATGTGGCAACTTCTTATTAAAAATTTTTGGCTCCAAATGCACCATATTGTATTAACCATTCTGCCACGTGTCATCCCTTTTCAAAAGAAAAAAAAAATTCTTATCCAGAAAAACAAAAGCTACTTTACAAAAATAGCTACACAATTTTAACTCCTAACATTTATCATTTATCAATCAAATTAAAATAGTATTTAAATTTGTCCATAAACTTATCCTCTTTATTACTCCATATTCTTTTGTATGATTTCTAAATCGTTGTACTTTTCAATATTTTTTCTCCTTTGGCAGATGATTTTTTTATTTTTATAATTATTTTTTACTAAAAAAGAAAAAAAAACAAATGTGTAGCTATTTTATTTTTTCCAAATCAAGAATTCATTTATCTATTAACATAAAATTAAAGTAGAGGGGCGCCCGGGCATCTGCCTGGGCCAAGCATCTAGTTAATATTATTAATTTGTACCGAGAATCATTGCACGCAGAAAGGAAAAGAGGACCAATACATGCAGTTACAATTCATAATGCCATATATACCTCTAATGCACCATTATGTGCTGCATAAAAATAAAAAGATGATTCATAATGCCCACCTAATTCTTTTTCGGAAATATTTGGTAACAATTTTGTATATGTATGCAGTAATTTCCGGCAAAACTATACTTTTAACAGTTTTATTTACTAACTAGTTTTAAACCCGTGCAACATGTGATGTCTAATGATATAAATGCAAATAAATATGTAGGCCACAGGATTATATTAGAAGCAATAAAAATATTTAATATTTAAATATTTCATTAAATTTTATTCAAAAATAGACTAATAGTTCCAGAAATAGAAAGCTTGATGGTGGACAATAGACAATGTTAAATGGAACATCGACAACCATCGTTAAAAAAAAAACGGATTATAGTGACATGTCATCCAATTAATTGCAAGACTTTTTTGTATACAACATTTGTAGTATGGTTACTTGCACCGCCTTCCTTGTCTTTTATTAGAAGTTTGAGCCCTTCTCTAGATTTTACTCTTGAAAGCGCAATATATAGTTGTCCATGTGTGAAGATAGGTTGTTCTATATACAATCTCACTTAAAATGCTAGAATGATCATTCTCCTGATATAATTTTTTATTTAAAAAATATATATTTTGATTTTTTTAATATTAAAATTACCATAAAATTAAAAAAATCAAAATTCTTGAATTGAAAAATTAACAAATAATTTATTTATTAATCAAATGATTTATTTTAAAAACAACTTGCATTGACTTTGAAAATTCTGTAAAAAATAATTTAATCTAATTTAATTTGTGATATGAATCATATGATAGGTACAATAGTAAGCAAACAAATAATGATCTTTTTGCATTATTAATTAACAAAATATTTGATTTGGCCAGATAAAACTAGACTATTTATTAAAATAATTTTTTTAAAAGAAAAATATTATTGATCTTTCATGAATAAATGTTACATAAATAAATAGATAAACAAATATAGATTTATAATTTTTTAACAAAAAAATCAATTTTATTAAATAACTTGTAATATAAAAATGGTGATGTTAAATAACAATCAAAATTTAGGCCGATTATATTCAATAAAGTTTCAACTTGGTTCATCTAGTTCAAAATTGTATCAGTTTTGTTAGATTATAAATTTATAATTATACACATACACACATATATTCAATATTATTTGCGTAGTTAGATTTTGAGCGAATCGCTTCAAGAATTTGAATTAAATTTCAAAACAGGCATGTTTGGAGGTTTATAGGCGATAAAAAAAAAAAATTCACTTTCAAGCATATTTTCAAATATGTAAACAAACATAAGAAAGTATTTAAATTCGAAGATTGTCATGAATCATAAAGTAAATAAAATATTAAATTTTCTCAGAATTAAAATCTCACTTCCCAAGCAACCAAACAAGGCCCTAACTGGGATAATTCTAATAATATTTAAAATATCCTTAGCTCCCCAATCAACTATCAAAAAGATCTAAAGAAAGGGGCTGTGAGGACTCTTTTACCCTCTATATAAGACCCAATAAAATCTCTGCGTTGGAGTGCTACAAAGTACCAATGAAAAAAAGGGTACCTAACGATCTGTGCAACTCTTACAGGATCCAAAAGTTTGCTGGTCTTTGTTCGTGCGACATAGTTTGCAATATTAGAACCGCAACTTACTTCAAGGACACGTATAAAACCATCGAGTAAAGCTAATAGGGTTATACAAAGAAATAATCAGCAGCTGAGAGTACAAAAAAATACTCCCTCCTTCTCATAATTATTGTACAGTTTGGGTTTTCATTTCTAGTTCAAATTATACTAAAAATGAAATTTCAAACTGGTAATTTTAGGACAGAGGGAGTAATTAATAAAGAAAAAGAAAAAAACAAGCAGTATATTCATATACCCTAGGAGCATTTCCAGCAGGAAGCAGCAATGATAGACTTGGACTTCCATGCAAGAACCAAACATCCCTTCTCCTCAGCTATGTTGTAACCTTCACAAACTTGTACACTCTCCAACCACTGTTTGGCTTGTGTTGTGAGCATCTTGATTGGAGCCAGTTGAAACCCGGCCCGACCCATTCGCCTCCTCCATTGGTCTAACCTTTCATGCCTCTCCACCCTGGCTGGTCCCTCACAACTCACTATGTTCTTGATCTCTTCTCCGAAGTAGAATTGCTCGATTTTCGCCCTCCTCGTGTCATATCTCGGCAGCATTGCATCCAGCGAATCGAATATTGCAGAGTAGTAATACAGGGCTTCCATGAACCTCCCCAAAAAGAAAGGTCCATTATGGCTTGATTCCTGCTCCACTAGTATGAACAATGCCTTCGGTGATAATTTATTCAGCATTTTAAGCACCGAATTTAAAGCTCCTCTACTCTCTTTCACCACACAATGCAATTCTAATATGCTGTTGATAACCAGGAATTCATCCTCAATGATCTTTAGATCTTCAGGTCTTATGTTTTCAAGGCTGCTTTCCACCACTGAGAACTCCAATTTTATCCCTAGTTTGTGTGCGTATTGCTCCAGCTCATCCCCGATGGCCTGGAACCGCTCGGGACAGCTTCCAATGCCAGTAATCCGCAGGCAATGACAGGGTCTGCCTGCACGAGTGGCGAGGCTGAATATCAAGCTTCGCCATTGGTATCCATGGCGTAGACCCATGGTCATACCTAGGTCCAATACATGAATATTATTTGAACTCTCTCCCTCAAAGGCTTGTAAGATGGATGCATTGGCCACATAATGACCAAACTGAATTTGTGGGCATATCTGATACACAAGACTAGCAGCTTCTTCTTTCTCTATAGAGAAACTCAAGGTCTTTGGTATTGCCCCTATATCTCCAACTGCCCCATGCGGCTGAACCAGGGCAAGGCGATCACATAGACCTTTGACAAAGCACGAAGCAACCCTCTGAAATGCAGTCCCTAAAACCAGAGCTTCAGCTCGAAGATCTGCAATTAGAGTGGAGGCATGGTGCTTATCACGATACGCCACAGCCTCCGCACAAGCAACAAGCAACTGAACCAATTTAATTTGGTTTTCACCTCTTTCGTCAGTCTCCTTCATGATTGTATACTCTTTATCCTCCTCAGCAGCTGATGATGATGCTTCTCCTTCGATTGCAGAAGCAGCTTCCAAGTACTTCTGACTGTAAGCCCATATATGTTCCCGAAATAACTCATTCTTCTTCCCACCTGCAGTGCTTCCATTGATCATCATGCTACTTCTGTCATTGTACAGCATGTCTCTTCTGTAACCAACATTACTGTGGTAGTCATCTCCAATGAGATCATCAAAATTATCCATCCGTTTCAACCGCTTTGAGTTTGTTCTTTCATCTGAGAACTGTAATAGATGATCAGGAGAAGAATCATTCTCAGAGGACTCCTGGAAGGGCAAAAGATAGCATGAAGCAGCAGCAGATGAATAAGTTTGATCATCATAAATATTAAACATGGAATCCATAGTGCATGAGATGGTATAAATGACTTGAATGTAGACCATTAAGCATGAATGAGTATATATGTAGATAAATTCCCTTGTGGAGGTGATAAGAACTAGGAACCGGAAGAATATTTTAAGTTGCGAAAAATTGCACAACAAATAATAGGAAATGGCGAAGTAATGTCGATGCAAGAAGAATATTAAATTAAATTAACATCTTCAACCCTTTCCATCACTTTCATTGAATTCCTCCTCTCTTGGAGTGAATATGTTTTACTGACTAATAAAAGTAATGTTTACAGGTCATCGTGTGCTGCGGTATAATTTATGCTAATCATGGATGTCAAGTTCAGGAGAAGTACGGTTCCTTACTTCTTTTGGACTGCACAACTGTAAGCAAATGAACATAAACACATTGATATTGAAGGTGATCCAATCATTTCCAGTTTCAAAGGTTGTGTTTTAACTTATCTCCTTGTCCAGACAAAGATGAATGAAACAACGAAATGTATCTTTGTCCATTAAATATCTTAATGGAAAATTCTCTGTAACTATCAGCACTTTCCTTTCTTAGCTACAGTTTAGACTAATTACTAAAGCCCTCATCTCATTATAAGTACTTGGCTAGGCCATTATGCTCCGTCAAAAAATACAAACTTTTAAGAGATCGTATCGGGCAAAACATTTCCAGAAAGCCAACAACTTCTTCAGCTTTGTAAAAAAGAAAGGGGTAAAAGTACACAGGCACACACAGTATGCATGAGAATGATAATCCAGCAGCCTGCAAAGGATATACCATCTTGCTGCATCATTTGTTGCTTTCTCTTCAACCTGCATTGGATGCATTAAAAAATATTTCACACCTTCCAAAAGGCTAAACCAAGGGCAATTAAACAACGGAATACAGCTACTTCAATCTTTTCTGGACGACAAATTCTAAAAACACAAAATTGAAAATATATTTATTTCAAAGAACAGGACAAAGTAGGCAAACTTGACTCTGAATTTACATAATTAATTCATTTCTTCCTCCTGTACATAAAGAATTTCACATCTTAATTATTGAACATCAATAAACAAGCAGGCCGTTCACCTGCAATATCAAGGGGGGGACATAAAAAAAGAATTGTAATGTAAAAATTTCATTTACAACTATTTCCAGCAAGCAAAGAATACAGTATCTTACAAAAAGAATGAGGGCAGAAAAAGAATATGTGCAGCCTCGTCAAGAAGTCTTGTCAGCCAAGATAATCAATTCATCATCTTCCTACATTCTGTGCAGAGCTTGTTTCAAGAAGCCAACTCTTCATATCAAAACTTTCTAGTCTCCGTGAGATATACTTTACCCACCACCATTAGCTCAAGCAGAGCAGACCCACCTGAACCTCATCAAACCAAAGTACTCACTATCTTTTACATATTTCAATAAGAAAACTCATGTCCTCGCATTGATATATACTTTTTGACCCATATAGAGATATCCTCAGAACAGGCCCCGGCTTCAGGTGTGTTGAGGAGCATGTCAAGGGTCGCAAACTCGTGAACAGCATCCTTGTAATCAAGAACAGGAGCATCGACATTGACCTTTCGGAGTTCTTGAGAGTATGCAATGGCCCTGTCTCTCATCCAGTCATGTTCTGCAACAACAGTGAGTGTTGGAGGCATGAGCCTCAAGGGTAGTTCTCTCCCGGTGGGAGCAAGAGGGTTGGCGGCTGGATGGTCAAGATTAAATCCATCAAGTGGTAGGAAGAGTTTCCAAGAAAGAATGGACATGGCTTTGTCATACAGGTAAGAATTTGCCAGCTTAATCTCCGACTGCGTAGGAGTGCTACCAATGAAAAAGGGGTACATAAGAATCTGTGCAACCACTCCTACAGGATCCAAAAGTTTGCCGGCCTCAACAGCTTTTTGTGCGACATAGTTTGCAATATTAGAACCACAACTAACTCCAAGGAGGACACATCTAGAGAACGATTGAGTAAAGTTAATAGATTTGTACAAAGCAATAAAGAAACTCAAAGAAAGAAATAGCAGAACCTAGACCACTCCAGTAATGAATAGAGAATACTAAAGAATAAGACCATAACAATGAGTCCATGTGCCTAGTTACAGAAAAAAAGGCCAACTACTTCAATCAGGAAATGGTTCTCATTGTATGAAGTGGTGCTTGGGAAATGAAACATCAAAATTCACATGAAAGAAAAGAAGCCAATTCTGTATAGAAATGTAATATCAGTGTTCAAGAAAAATGCACATATAATAATTACAGCATTAAAAGGAACCTTTAATCTTAGCTGCCGAGCTCAAACCATCGAAGAGCAACAGGAATACACAATTCTCAGGGAAAAACTCTTTGGATGTTATACCTAAATGCACACAGACGTTTTCATCACAAGATGAGGGCTTTAAAACTAATTAGCATATGATTGAGCATAAACTTGAATTAACACGCTCCAACAGTATCAACTCGCAATCATTTTAACAGATGATAATGGAGGCATACTTTATAGAGCAGACCCAGTATAGTGGAAACAAAGGCTAAGTTGCTGTATCAAACACAACAGGAAAACCAAACATGCCAAATCTCTAATCTAGAGGAATAAGAGTATTCAAAAATAATACCTAGAAGGATCAGCATGAGCTGCCAGCCAAGGTTCAACCATCATAGTCCCGAACCCATCAACAATCTGCCTCCTCCCGCCATTCCTTTCCCAATCACCACCACCACCCCCAAATCTCCCATTTTTCACTCCAGAGGACTGACGACTACACTCAGCCAGATTCGCCTGCTTGGCTAACCAATTCAAAACCTTCACCCCATCCTCAAAAGCAGCCGGATACCTACTCTCCGGTGCTAACCTGTACCCCACCGCCACCACCACAGCATCACACAACTTTGCCATCCTCCTGCAAAACGCATCATTCGCCACCGTATCGCTCCCTCCACTCACCCAACCACCTCCATGAAACTGTAAAATTACCGGCAATTTCCTACAGTTCCTTTCATTCTTATCCGGCAAGTACCCCCCATAACCTCCATCCCCCGTATTCTTATTTCTATTATTAACAATCATATTTTTCCTCGAACCCCTAGCCCTAAGCTTGGGGATCGAATTGGGAGTAACAACGGCCGAATCAGGAAGAAATATCCTTACGGAAAGAGACGTTAACGTATCGATATGGAGATCCTTGGTGGCTACCCCATCTGCATTGGAGAAGCTCGGAATCGCGGGGGCGACGCTCTCCTCCTCCGGCCGGGAAACGACGCCGTACGAATTGAAATCTTCGGATGTGGGATTCTCGATTAGGGTTTGCAAACGCCGTTTCAGGTAGAATTTGCTGAGAACGCTGTAAATCTTCACCTTCACGCTCACCATTTCTTCCTCCTTAGCAAAAGAAAAGAAAATTCTAAGTGGTGAAAATTAGGTTTCTTCCTTTATATTAATTTCTTTTCAAAATTGGACTAAATCAAAACCAAAAAATTGACAATAGGGGAAATGGGAATGGGTCTTCTTCGTCGTCGTCTACCTCAAGATCTAGAAGAAGCCAAAACCCCAATTCCCCATTGAATTGAATTGATTTTTCAAGTTTTTCCTTTTGGAAATTTTTTGAATGAATTCTATATTTATATTTTTCTTTTAAAGGAACGTGGGAAGATGACGTGGCCAGCTGTTTTGAGCTGGTGGGTGAAGGAGGATCATGTTTTGCAACGGGCAAGTCCATCTTATTTTCTCTGCAACTTCGTGATCTTAGCCGTTCATTTTGCTGATGAATCTACCAAGGGTGATCCAATATTACAAATAGTGTAATAATCTCATGTTTCAAAATGATTATTCCATTTGATAATTGTGCTAAAAGTAAAAAAAACCTAAATTGATAATTATTTGATACTATAAGGAAAAAACAACAAAGAATCATATTCTATCCTAATCATAACTTCATTAATTCTAAAAAATTTTAAGGACTTTTCAACATACTCTTACTCGTTACGTAGAATTAAAATAGGATAAACTCTTAAAATACATGTGTAATAATTAGTAAAAAAAATTAATCCCTTTTTCTTATAAAACCATTACTTTTGTTGGGATAAAAATATTTTTAATTGTATACAGCAGATAATGCAAATAAAATCTGATATATGTGAAACTAGAGTAAATCGAGTTTTTGAGTTAAAAAATGGTTCAAAAAAAGGAGTAGAGATAAATATATATCGAATTTTGGAGACGAGCAAAATACCGATATCGGATTCCTCAAAATCCGACCTTTCCTTAATACAAAAAATTAATAAAATTAATCAAGATTAAGCGAAGGCCGGATTTTCAAAATCCGACCCTATCATATTAAAATATAATATTTTCAAGAAAGTCGCTTAGTTTTTTTTTGAAATAAAATTTTGACTAAGGTCGGATTTTAGGAATCCGATTTTAGTATAAGGTCGGATTTCAGAAATCCGTGTAAGTTTAAATCGGATTTTGAGAATCCGGGTAAGGTAAGTTCGGATTCTCAAAATCCGATTTCTTAGTAAAACAACAGAAACTTTGAAAAAAATAAAGGATTGGTTTCTAAACCAATCCCAACCTATCACAACAGCACCAAAACCAAATTTCACGCATAAAATTACCTATAAACACATTCTAAACACATCGGAACAAACATTAACAAATTCAAAAGCATTCAAATCCAAAAATCATCCAAATTACAACTAATAAACATTAAAGAGTTTAAAATCAAAGAGTCCTACAATTGAATTACTTGGACGACCTTTTCTTTCTTATAGCCCCGTCGCCAGGAGTATACTTCTTGGCCGGTTTACTAACCCTATCACTCTTGCGAACCTCGACCGTTTTCTTTTTCTTTTGGGAAGAAACACGAGGTGGAGAGCACTCTTCTTCTTCTTCTTCTTCTTCTTCTTCTTCTTCTTCTTCTTCTTCTTCTTCTTCTTCTTCTTCTCCCCTAATGTAGTAATCCTCATCGTTTTCAGTGCCTTCATCATCTTCTTGCATCGGAGTTGGATTGGGGTGAACTATGATTGTTCGATCTGAAATTTCCGGTCGCTTCCTCCTTCCTCCTCCAGTAGGCTTCGATGTTGTTTTCTGCGTGAGCACCACATGTTGACTTGACTTTGGGGGTCTTTTATGAAGAACCTGAGTATCAGGCTGAGTGCTCATATCACGTGGGCCCAAAGTCAGAGCACTGAAACTCTTGTCGAAGATTTGGAAGAGTTTATCCTCTAGACTACCACCGAGCCCTAGATTTTCCCGTAAGGCCGCATCAACGAGATGATATATGTCGCTGAGATTTGAAGAATGCAGAAAATTGAACCATGTTAATAAAGTATAAGATATAGCAAGAATTAAAAAATAAAAAAATTTTAAAATAAAATATCGACATATATTTTACATAAAATCTCTCCAGATATGAAGACGAGTGATAACCCTGTGCCAGAGGGCCGTATTGAGTGGGATCAGTCATAAATCTGATAGTCTTCTTTTGAAACCACGGCATATAGTCTGATGTGCACTGAGGACCTAGTTCCGGACCAACCAATTCATGAGGGACCACGTGCTGATCTCTCACATTCCAATGAGGTCGTACCTCGGTGTGTTTTTGCACCCAATCATCATATGCCTTTCCAGTCCCAAGGCATCCGTGGTGTATCGCATTCCAGCGATCAATGTCATTGATTAACGAGTACTCTGGCACAGTTTGCTTACATTGAAATTGACGAAGGACCCGATTGGGCTTGTATAGTTCTCTGATGGCCCAACAAAAGATCCACGTCCTACAGAGGTAGAAATGAACCCCCTCTTTACAGAAATCAGGGAGATCGTCGATGAAGGGAGTGTTGCACTCACATTCCGATTATTATTTGTCTCGGTGACATTCATACAATTGTGCTCGGGCACCCATTTCACAATCTCCCACAAACCGTGGTCTCTCAAGGGGGCACGTACCTTCCAACGGCAAGGAACATAACCCTTAGGGGTTGACTCTTTTAGGGATTTGCACCAAATATACCATGTTGAACCATCACTTTCCTTCACATAAAACTCTCTCTTTTGCTCTATGTTCTGCGCTATAATACCATTTTTTGCTTCTTCCTTATTCTTGAAACAAGTCCATATCCCGATTGTTACGGTTGTCCCATCCCACATGGTAATTTGAAATTCATCCTTGTCCACTTTTGTATAATCCCATGTACCCTGTGAACGATATATGTGCCTGTCCTTTGTGGCGAATTTGTCTTCGACCTCTTCATCACTCTCCCGACTTCCTTCGGATATTGATTGGTTTTTATCGCTTTGATCACTAATCGATGTGTAGTCCTCATCATCTTCACCGTGATTATCTTCCATGTGATCGCCATCCTCCATAAACGGTCCACCCACATCATCATCTTCCATGTAATCTACATTTTCCACATTCAGCCTACCACTACTTGTCCCTACTTCCAAATGGGACCTAGAAGTACCCGCCACCTCCAAATCCACATACAAATCAATATATGTCGAATTTGGGAGGATATACAACACTTGCAACGATGCGTCGTCCTTGATTTTGGCGATACGCCTAAAACCATTGCCCATCGTATCATACAAAATCGATAGACTCAAATTCACATTCTCTCTATTCCACCCAGCTCTTTCACAAATCAATCCAACCAAATCATTGTACAATACCTTATGATCAATCACAAACAAATCGCTCGGTATGTTGTTAAAAGTATTCACAATCCCATTCTTCACAACAAATTTGCTCGAACAATAGACATTAATGAAATATGGACCGTTAAACGCCATTTATATCTGTTGATTACATGAATTACAACACATTATGAATAAATTATTAAGAAAAATGACACAAACAAGGCATTATCAAACAACTTATTATAACAATTACCACAAACAAGACATAATCAACACTAAATTTACTAAACCCCCTACAAATTCAAAAGTTTAGGCCAAATTCAAGCATTTTACTAAATTGAACGTTCAATACCACATATACAACAACAATCATCACTTCTACACTTTTACAAAGAAAACAACAACAATAATTCTAAATACATCAAAACATTAACTAACATGCTTGTAAAATGGTTTTAAGACATCCGTTGCGAAGAATCTTGAACAAAATCTTCAAATCACCACTAAAATCACCTCCTCCTTCAAGAAATCGCCTCCTTTACCAAAATCCCGATATGTGAACAGTGTTTTTCGTCGCCCCATTATAACACAAAAAGGTCAGATTTCTAAAATCTGAGTTTATAAGTAAGATCGGATTTAGGAAATCCGATTTACATGTAAGGTTGGATTTCAAGAATCCGACCTTCTGCCCGCTAATAACGTCCATTCAATTCCGATATCTACTGTTAGGTATGCTTAAATAAGGTCGGATTGTACTGTTCTTAATTTTCAAATCTCCCACCTATATTTTTAAAAAAAAAATAAAGAAGGTCGGATTCCGAAACTCCGACCCTTTACTGTTCATTAGTTGACTTTCAATACATTTTTCACACATGTATTTTCCAAAAAAAATTATTATTTTATTAAATCGGATTCGTAAAATCCGAACTACTAATTTAATTAGTAGTTCGGATTTTGTAAATTCAATCTCTATATTTTACTTTACAAAAAAAAAATATATAGATCTCTCTACTCTTTTTTCTAGGCAATTTTTTAACCAAAGCACTCAGAGTAAATTGCATGTCCCTGATAAAGTGACATATTTATATATTACGACAAAATTATTTTAACATTATATAACATATCTCATTTCAAAATTTCAACCATGCGTATATATTATTATTATACAACACTATTTTGGTTGGAATCATCAATTGCAAGTTGAATTTTTCATAACTTTATTTCTTATAAGTTGTGAAATATGGAGTGTTTGTTGAGTGAAGTATCGTAACTATGAAGCCAGATACTTACAGGTGCAATCTAAAGAAAATAAAAGTGTTTCATTTTACAATTTATAGAATGATATTGTTATCTATAATTCGCGAGTTTTGCATAAATTATTTTTCATAACACTGTGAAAAATTATTGAAATGTGTATTAATCTAATCGTCACAAATTAGCTACATGATAAAATCAATGGAGGATTTGATGTTTAATTAGCAATTCCATTTTAAGGTGGAAAAAATGATGAGTTATGATCAAATTACAAAAATCATAGTATATACACAAGAAAATGTTAATATTTCAAATGCATAGCATTCAAAGATTCGACTTAATATATTTTACTTTCAACAATCATGTATTAGAATTTAAACAATAACGTATTACCAAATTCAGGTATTATAATTTTGTTGGATTCACATGAAAGCGTGAAGAATGATTTAGTCACAATGTTGTAGTACCGATGAATCCAAAAATCGTAATTGTTTCATTTTTGCAGTGAACCTAATCACAAAAAATGCATTCCCATGAGGACAATGAAAAATGCAATGAAGCGGACAATGAAGAAAAGGGTGTAAAAGGATTCCCATGAGCTGCAGTGCAGGGAATGATTTGGCTGGGATGAGTTGGCCTGCGCGTGGATGAGGTGGCTGATGAAAGGATTAGTCTGAATGGGATGGTATGTGAATATTTCCCAAAAAATCATAAAATAAATAATAGGAGTAATAATAATACGTGAATAAAATAATTAAATTAAAATGGAGCCGCCAAAGGCCAACAATTCTGATAATAAATCATTAATTTGACTATGGGAAAAGTTTTCTCTATAAACTTTGGTAAAATAACTCCATGATGAAAGCCCTTACGTGAATAAATCTTTCACATCGCATTAATTAAAAATCACACTTATTATGTATACCATGCAACATACGATGGGACAAAAAGATAATTTCCATTTTAGTGTAAAAGTTAAAAAAAAAAAAAAGAAAAAAAAGGTTCATGCCTGTTATGATGTTTTAATTCATCAAACATAACTATTTTTTTTTCTTTGAAACGAAAAGAATGATTTAATTTGATATTTTCTTTCCTTCTAAGATGGGGTTTGAGAAGAAATGTTGTTCATACTCCAAAGTAATATAAATATAATATATTTTTTTCCAAAAATAAAAAATAATATATTGAGGCAAGTGCTTATGTAAAATTAAAGAATGCCGATAATAACGAATCTCCAAAATATCAAAATCAAGGATATTACATTCCCAAATTATCCTACTTTTTGATGGAATCATTCTCATCACAACCGGAATCTCAAAGTATATTCTTCATTCTACTTTTTTGTAATTAAGGTAAGTCTTAGAAAACAAAACTGAAAAAAGAAAAAAGAAAGACTGGTAACAAAAGAGAGAATATATATATATATATATATATATATTAAGGTTGATGATTAGGAACCCTTTATCCATAATCATCCTGGAAAGAAAAAAAAAATTACAATCAAGAACAATGTCAGATTCCAGCACTTCATCGGAAGTTAACTACAATTTCTTGACGACTTAGTTACTACACCTAATGATGATGATGATAATGAAGTTGTAGCCTTAAATCTTGATGCAACTCCTGATCATCATCAAGTTGATGCTGAAGATGATGAAAGAGTCAAAAGTGATGTTGTTGATAAGAAGGTGATGAAGAGGGCGAATAACAGAGAAGCCTCGAGAAGGGTTAGGGCGAAAAGAATCGCTAAGAAGGAGGAATTGGAATCGCGATTGAGTGAAGAGGAATCTAACAATTCTTATTTGCTTAAGAGGTTACAATATGCTGATAACCGCTACGAGGTAGCAGTGATGGAGAAGGTTGGATTGAAAGGGATGATTGACAAGTTGAGGAATGAAGCGGAGTTGGAGGAAAAGGCTGTTATCAGAGCGTTGATGACAAGAGATTTTGGAAGATCCAACCAAATTTGTGGTGATATATTGGTATGAATGGAGCCTCCAATTTGATGACCGCTAATAGATGTTTTAGTATTCATTTTGTCTCAAAAATGTTTGTTCCATTTATTATGTTAAATATTAATAATTCAGACAATGATTACGAATCGTTTTATTTGGCTCTCCTAGTTTCTTTACTAGGGCCTCCGTTGAAGTCTCTACATGACTATTGCTTAGTTTGCAAATTGTTGAATGTGATTGTCACAAAAAAATACGCAAAAAATACAATGATGCTTGCTCTTTCAGTTGCACCAATTCTAAAACGTCCGAATAGGTTTTCCAAGTGATTTCAAACATAAGAATTTTCTGGCTTTAAGAAGTTTATGGGTTTGGTATCTTGATGCAAATAATGTTCCTTCCACCAAACCAAAAAGAGATTTGAGTTAAATCATTCTTTTACATAACAAAAACCTATGCTTGGTGCTTTTCTCCTTTGGCTAATAACAATCTTCACAACTATGTCCAACTTCCCGGTCAATAAATAAGCCAACAAGAATAACCCTACATTCAACGCTACCACTCATTAGCAACTACATCCCGACTGGCCCCAGCTCTGCCCGAGCCTCATAAAGGCAAAAAAGACACAATATAATAAAGCTCGTAATCATGGACCTTCAGAGTGACAGGCTCATTGAGAATGAAGGCATCTAAACAATATATATATTTCTAACCTGAAATGGGATGAGGCAGGATCAACTAAGAAACACGCAGTACAGCTTGTTGATTACTACCTGAGTTTTCTGCAGCAATTTGTTCTAAGCGATTCCATGTAGCATGTCGCTTCTCTCTGACCTCATCTTGTTTTGTTTCATCTTCTCGGAACTTGATCGAGCACTCCTCATATAATTTAGGGTCGAGATCATAGAATATTTTGCGTACATTTAAAGTCAAGCCATGGACAGCCTGATTCCAATGGTGTCTAGCATTTCTCTCCAATGCAGGTAAAATAAGTGGAAGTATAACCTTTCGGTTCTGTTTGATGAGGTTTTCAATATGATCGTTATTCCACAAGAACAGAGCTCTCTCAGCCACCTAAAGAGTAAGAAAGAAAAACCCAGTATTATAAGTCCAATGCAAATACCATCTATTATGTTAACAGTAAAACCACTAGCGAAGCAAGGTACACCGAACAACAATTTGATAGCAACAGATGAGTGAAAGGTTGAGGAAGTTAGCCTCTATCTCACTATGTTAAATCAGCTATTCAGATCATTCGTACCCATAGTGCTATCTCAATTAAATTTTTTTGCGGTTATCATTTGCCTCATTCTATCTTTGTTCCTTAGTACCACACAAAGTGCTTTTCCCATCAGTAAGAATAAAATTTGCAGTGCTTGTAATAAGATTTGGCATTGGTGCCGAACCATCTTTGATTAATGAATGATTCTTTGTTTAAGAAAACTTAGATTGAATGTCCTCGAGTATATTACAAAGGTCATTTAGTGTAAAGGCGCAACCAAGAAAATGTATCAGAATAAAGGAATGCCAGAAGAAAAAATTGAGATCACAAACAGTAGTTGGTACCTGAAAGTGCAAACTGTTTAAGCAATGGGCAATTCGCTGAAATAAAGGCACCATACATCGCTGAAATTCCGGTGGCTGGGTAGCTTCCAATACTTCCTCCAACTCATTAAGGAACAAAATTTCCTTGGAGCTACTTGTGACAGGCCAAAACTTCAACAATCCCCTAACTACAATGTCAGCAAGCTTAGCATCCTTTTCCACAAACTGCGTAATACAATACGAGAGTTGCTGATGATACATTCCCAGGCATTTTGGTTTATGTAAGGGAATCAACACTCTGACCAAGAAAAGCTTATGTTCTTCCTTAAGCGGAAGTGCGAACCCGTTGATTATGCTGCCCAATATTTCCAGAAGCTCAGCTATGCCGTTGTGCTTCTCAGTTTCAAAGATAAAACGGTAGAATATGTTGTTGATAGCTTTCCGGATATAAGGCCTGTGAACCATGAACTTCCCATATATACGATGTAGGATAGTTTTTAAGTACTCCCTTTCCCTAGGATCTTCAGAGTCAAAAAGATCAAGCAACTTTCGAACAAATGAGCTATCGATATATCTTTTAGCTACTTTTGCATCGGTTTCAGGTGACGCGACAAACCTCAGCAGAAACTCATATACGATTTGCAAGTGTGGCCATGCAGGGTCCATAGCAGGCTCCTCTTCATCTGCATCCAGCCCATCCAAGATGGTGTTCTCCCGTGGCTGAGGACTATGAACTCTAAATAAATTTGTACTCACCATTTCAACAACTTCTTGCATTGCAGTTTCAGTGAATTTCACATTGGCGGAAGTCACATACTCCACTAACTCTAACAAAGTCTGTCGCTTAACCTCTTTCTCCTTGAGATTCTTGGTAGGATCAGAGAAGTCAAAAACAACACAACACATCTTCAGCTTTCTGATAAGCAAGTTCTGCTTTTCAGAACTTGGAACAACCCTAAAGCTTGGCAATGCTTCATATGAATCAGCAGTTATAGCCAAAGTCGCCCCATTACTCGTCTCTGACCTACTATAATTATCGCCGGTAGACATAGAGCTGTTGTCAACAGATAAAACTGTATGGACAGCAGAAGAATCCCCCAACTTTGTGTTACTATTTCCTTCCGTCCTCTTTTTTGTACCACCATTTGAGGAAGAGCCTAAAATGGTGGAAGTCCCAGAGGATGCTTTGGGCTGCTTTCGAGGGATTTTACCAAATATTTGCTTGATCATATCTCTAAAGTCGCCTCAAACCTCCAATAAAACACAATCAAGCCACTAAATTTCAGCTCAAAGAAAACAGCGAAAGCTAATAATGATACAACCAACAAGAATCAACCTAGTAAACTTTCATTCCTAACCAAACAGACAGAATCAAGATACTAAATTTCCAGCTAGGGAGGAGGAAAAAAAGGCGAAAGCAAACAAATGAATTAACCTAAATCCGCATTGTCAAATTAGATCAAACCTTAAATTTAATCAAACAAAGACGAACTTCAGTCACTGGAAAAACATAAGAAACCAAATTGGGAACTCACCAGAACAAGCTCAATCCACTTCCTTTCAGCTCCAGCCTCGATCATAACCTTCAGTCTCTGTAAAAGTTAAGGGGCCAAGAAAGTTCCCTTTTCCTCTCTTAGATTCAGTATTGCATAAAAAAACACTTATTCCTAGAGGAGAAAGAATTACATTTCAATCTGCCCAGACAGAAGAAGCTCAGCCCAGAAAAAAAAAAAAAAAAAACCCCAAAGCCAAAGTTTGAATCTTTATCACTTAAAACCCCAAAAACCCAGAGTGGAAAACCACTTAGCAGTCAAGAGAAATCAACAGAACTATTAGAAAGTTTCAATTTTCAAATTCCAATGCTATAACAAAGACCAACCCTTTTTCCTTCATTCAGCGGATAAACAAAGGTGAATAGGCAACTAAACAGAGGTCAGCTCGTTGATGTAAAATGTCTCGAGCAATACAGAAAAGGGATCGTTACAGAAGAACAAACTGAAGCCAAAGAAAAGAGTTCAGAGGGTGAGAGCAAAAGGGAAGTGGGGGGCGAAAAAACCAAAAACCCCAGTAGAAAGAGAAAAGGCCGGAAGAATGGATTACAATACAGGGAATGTGACTGAAGCCTGCTGCAAAAATGGAAATCTTTTACTTAAATTATTACTTGGATTTTCCTTTTCCATTTCTTTTATTAATCTTTTTGTATTTGTAGGTGTTGTTTATGGAGCCTTAATTTTTCCGCTTAAAATAATATTATAGATATCCTAAAATGCTAATTGATTTAAATTTTTAGTTTTAATATAACTTATAATAAAAACAAAAATTTAAAGTGAATAATTTTTTCGTTTTAAAATAATTTTCTATCAAGTTCTTATTCAATTATGGGAGTGTTTAATCAAATAAAATATATTCAGAGCTCTTCAGGAATCAAAAAGATAGTACAACTGTACAAAGTAATAAATTTCAAAAACCAGCATATAGTATTAGGGTGGGGTGAAAAAGAATTAGAAATGCTGTCCTGGCCGAACTCTATACCCCACCTCAGCCCATTAGGAAATGTCAGTCTCCCACCCCACTAATAGAAAGTCGACGAACAATATTATTCTTTATCTTTTCTTTTCTTTTCTTTTTTCTCATTTACAATTACAGTTTTAGCGGTGAGATTTTCTATGGCACTTGTATTATACAATTCATATAGATTATAGACACTAGTTTTATTAACACCCATCCCAATTTCAAAACATATGTTATTCTGTTATAATTAACCAATCCAATAACAATGTCCATTGTGGCTTACCTCTAAATTATTTTTGTTCTGATTCGATTCTAATTCATAAATTTAGTAAGGAAACGCCCCCTCACATTCCTCTTGCCTTTCCAAATGAGACGTGTATAGAGAAGTGATGGCAACATTTCATGCATTTTTATTGAAAAACCACGACCAATCTGTGATCGAAAATGATGCACAAAAGAAAAAGGAAGAGTTTGCATATTCTACAAGATTCTGCGTTTCTCCAGGCGTCTAAATTATAAAGAGCTAAAGCTTCGTCATGTCTTAATTAAAGTCTGCATCGGTTGCCATACTTTCATGGAATCATTAATTCATCATCATCATCATCATCTCAAATTCTGTATCCAACTATTAGTACGAATTAATGTGACAGAAGACAGTCCAAATACAAACTCGGTTAGATTTAATCACCTTACATTTTCATGCTTTTCACCGGGTGGTCCGAGTTATTTAGATCTAGTCTCCAGCATTACCTCTGGGCCTTATATTACTACAATGCTACTTACATCAGAAAAAAATCTGAGCATTTACCAGCTCAAAAACTTTCCAATCCATATCAATGGCATGATGAGAAGACAGCCCTTAACTTATAAATATGCCATTGAATTCTTTCTTTGTTGACAAAAATTTACAGAAAAGTAGAATTACAAACACCATCCTTGATTAGCATGAATCAGACTTGGCATCAAGAAAGGCTTGTATTGATGGTTCCTTCCCCAGAAAATCCGACAGTAACTGTAAAGGATCTTTCTCCCCTCCAGGAGCAAAAACCTGATATCCCGTTTAAAAAGGACCCAATGTAAGCTAAAGTAGTTCGTTTCCAAACTTTAACCACCATTTGGCGGATGCAAACCTGACTTGCCAATATTAATTTCGACCAAGAATCAAATGCATCTTGAGTCATTATTCGGACCAGTCAGTTCCAGAGAATATATTTTGGATTTTAATGATAATATGTGTTCGGACAGAGTATGGTGAAAAACATTATCTATATAACCGAGTTATTTTCTTGCAACAACGGCAGCCTTTACTAATGACTAAATTTAATCATGACTGGATTTCAAGGAAGCAAACTTTAGCAATGGTGTAGCATCTACATCAGTTTTTCAAAGCAATGTTCTTAGAGATGGAAACGTGTCATGCTAAAAGTACTCATTTAAGTACCTTATTCCTAGTTTTTAAAAAAAAAAAAAAAAAAATTTGAAAAAGTACCTTATTCCTGAATTGCATGCCCGTATGCTGGTTGAAAAGATCGACACTGAATTTTGAGGCAAAGATATCAGCAGCAAAAACCTGGCAAAGTCACTTAATATCATCAGTATGCGAATGAAGGGCTATGACAATCCTAAGAGAGTTGACAATGACAGCAAAAGAGCAACAGTCAGTACCTCACTCCAAATGCGACTGTAACAAGTAGCTTCAAAGCCAATAGCAGAACCAGGAAAAGATGAGGCTGGATTTGTTCCCTCAAGAGCAGGCAGCCCCAACAATACCTTGAAAACGACAGCAAGCATTACAGCTAAGCAAAGACCAACTTAAATATCAGCCAAGACATGGGTAATTTTGGATAGAAACTTACCTTTGGATGAAGATGCTTATATAGTCCTTGAATATCCACATCCTCGGTAGAATGAATAATCTGATCAAAAAGACCTGAAACAAACGTTTGAGGAGCATTTTAAATGTATAATGCTACAAGACCACGTGACCATTTTCACCATTCACCATATCATCCTTAAACTAGACAGTCCTTAGTACAGAAGACCAAGTTGGAGAATGAGTTGACTTCAACAGAGCTAGACTAAGCCAAGCTTGAGCAAAGGATGCCAGCAGATAACTTTCATTCTTTTTCTCAATGTGATGATAAAGACAGTAAATCCATTGAGTTAAATGACTTCATAAATGACGAGGTACACATGAAATTTACAAAATAACCATTTCTGTGAAAAATGACGTGTAATAAAGGCTGTTTGTGGTTCCATGTTTTGTCGCATCGATCATTTACTCACTCCCCTGAATGATTCACTGCCGCAATATCATTTCTTTATTTTATATACTTTTCCTTAAACATAGAAACTGAATGGTATAACCTACTGTCAATAACTCTGTTTTGGGGGTGGAATCGGGACCTCTAAAAGAAATACACAACCTTAGAAATAAAGAATACCACACTCACAATAGAGAATTTCTTGTTTCAATCTCAATGCTGAGAAAGAGGATCGCCATCGCTTCAGCGATTCACATATATTATCATCTATGGCCTTTGTAATATCCTACAAAAGGCAATCCAGAAGGCGCTATCAGATTCTGAATGTACTTAACATCTTGTAACGATATAATAATGGTTAACGTATGAATCACCTTATGAAAACCAGATATCAGTTTCAAAGAGAGGCTCTCGTAACACCTAATAAGAATTATTTTCCACAATAAGAGAAAGCTGAGCTAATATCATCAACAAAAGGGAGGTTTACATTTTTAATTTTATTCAATTACGTACCAGTTCTCTAACATACGGGCAGGGATCTCCACAAAATCAGGATCTAATCGTAACCCAGAAAATCTAGCAATTGAAGCACGGTTGCAGATATATTGCACCTAAAAGAACACGATCATCATGGCAACATGTGAACACACTTGATAAATCCTAAATCATCATCATTTGAGAAGAATGGAAGTAATTTAAGCAATTGAGTGGCGCATACCACATGACCAAACTCATGGAGAAGATTAACAACTTCCGGGAATCGCAATAACCCAGGATGGCCATCCACTTCCTTTTCAAACTGTGAAATGAGTAAAGCTATTGGGATCTGCATTAATTATTAACAGGGTAAGTTACAGATATGAAAATTAAAGTGGAATACTGAGTAAAATACCAAAATAAGGTGGAGGTAACCATTCTGGAACTTGATCAAATCAGTGATTTACAAAATCTCTTTATTCATTCCTTGGGATAGCATTCATAGGAAAATACTATAAACAAACACATCGAGAAAGTATCAAATCACAAAACAAACAAAAGAATTTTTCAAAGTACCAGTTTTCTCCCGCCAATCAATGAGCCATTTTGCAGAGCCACAACACAGGTATGAGCATATTTTCCTTCCCTATTCAAGCACGGTAGAGTAACAGTTTTAGCTGAATGCAGTTTCAGTACTGAACAAACACTCAATACAAGCAATTTCAAAATCTTGGACTTATGAAGTAAACCTGGAGTATATATCTAGATAGAAGTAACCCATGAGATCCCCAGAACTTAAATCAAAAACTGAAAAAAGCTCCACATCAGAGTGCCAAACTTCTGCATCTTCAATTATCTCAAATCTCAATCCTTCAGGACACAAAAATTAGAGAACTTGGTAAGTAACTTGAGAAATATTTTTAAGAGGACGTAATGTTGAAAAATAAAAATGAAAATAATAATCCGAATTACCAAATAGATCTTGGCAAATCTTGAAGATTCCTGACAAAACTAAATTGACAGGAAAGTACTGTTTCACATCTCCAAAGTCAAGATCAATCTGTTGATCTCTGGCCCTTTTTACATAATACAGTAAATCTTCAACTCCAAAAGTCAATTCTCCTTCCTCTTGCTTCTGGGGAAACAAGAATTCCAAATTATTAGAGCCAAAATAAACTCGGACAGTAAATAACTAACTTGAAGAAGGCTGGAAAAACGCCATCCCCTGAGCTAACCTTTAACTCTCTTAAGATTGCAAGTTCTCTAGCAGCCTGTTCACTTAAGTTTCCAGAGATATCCTCCAGCAAATCAAAAACCTGAAGAGACATGATACGATTAACAGAAAATCACATGTGCATAAAAATCATAAGCGAGCTCAGTTTACTCCAAAAGTTGTAAAGTTCTGTTTGAATTATATAGAGGGGTCAGATAGTAATACAAGTTCAACTAAGCAGTGCTAACTTGTAAGCAAAGTTAACTGCAATACGGACCATATCCCTTCAGAGTTCTTCGCTATATATGTCATAATTCTTTTTACAAAATAAACCATATAAAAATACCCTGATAGAATCAAGATTCGAATTATTTGAGTGAAAACTAAAGATTGGAAAAATTTGATAAATGGATAAAATTTTGAAAACCTGATCTATCTTCCTTCCAGCTAAGTTTAAAGACGACACAAGTTTCTTATCAAAGATGGGATATAGCAGCACTCACCTTTGAGGATGAGCCTGCCATTCTATGATTAATAGCATAATCTGCATAATTGCCATATCCAAGCAATCTGGCAAGTCTGTGCCTTGATTGAATCTGACAATGACAAAGCGTGCCAGAAGTTAAGAATGAAAATGGAATGAAACATCTCTAACTATAGGTCATTTAGACAAGCCCGGAAAGAAATGAACAATAATAATTAATATATAAAGCAGCATTACAATGAACATCACAAAAATATTTATATTTTCATGTACCATTTTCTCTAAGATTGGAATATTGGCTTCACATCTCCTTCCATAAGCCACAGCCACAGCTTTCCTTGTAGATCCTACCTATAAAATGCCACAACAATGAATATTTATTGAGCTCTATAGTTGGAAACGTAAAAGAAATGGAAATAAAAAATTAAAAAAAAATAATAAAAAAAAATTGTTACAAGGGGCAGCAGACAAAGATAAATAATTGTGTATGAGACTTACTTTGCAGAGCTCCAAGGTTGGTGATACATGATGGCTCTTCAGACTGATCTTGTATTTACCCTTACCATCTTCATCTAAGACCTGCACAGAGATTTTATGGCAATTAGTTTCAGCTGAGGTAGAGAAGCCTCTCGATCATTCCTTACTATTTTAGCCTTGATTACAATTGGACATGTCAAAACTCACAGCATGAAGATAACACATATATGATTGTGAATGAATTCACAAAGGAATAATTTCAGCTTCTCAAAATAAATTGAAAAAACTTTTCAATTCGTAAGATCAAAGCGTCTAAAGGAAAATAACTACCTAAACAATAGGCATGGTGTCCATAACTAATGTTCTAATACAACTAGCAGAGCAAAATTTTGATAAGGTCTGAAAAGGTTAGCATTTGGATTAGGAAAAATATCAGACCTTCAGAAATTCAGGTGGTAACCCGGCCAGTTCGATCTCAGTAAAAAGCAGGTAAGATTGATCATCATTCAAATTGCGGATATACTGCATGCTCAGTTCATCTATCTGAGTTTTTAGACGCTGGAGCTCCTCCCTCTTTGTCATGGGCAAATTCAAACCATTGCGCTCAAAATCTTGAACCTGTATCACTGAATATGAGGAATAAATATATGCTTTAAGAAATCACCCGCTTCAAGGGTTGTTCAGCAATAGGATTGGTACGAGCAATAACAATACAGAACCTCTGAAATGCCCTGGTACCAAGAATTTCAGCGAGGAACTTAGCAACAATAAAGAAGCAGATGAGGCAGCCCCATACCAGGATCTTAGCAAAGCATTTCTCTTCGGAGCTCATATAGTCACCTCTAGCCACCAAAGCCTTCACAACGCGGTAGATATCCTCCCTTTTACTGCATATGTTGAATGAATTACATCATCATTGGCTCATAATGGTTTACATGTAAACAGACACATGCAAGCATCTCTACAGAAAGAAAATGATTGAAACGCATCGCAACGGAATGAAACATGGAAACTTTGTAGAAAATACACCCATCGCAAATATATTATCCAGAAACATTAAACCAAAATAAAAGAATATTTGATGTTCGACCTGCACGTAGAAACATGAGAATCTATCCTTCGCTCAGCCTCCGCACATGCTTTTCTCACATCTTCAGAAGTGGACACCAATTTTGGAAAGACACAAGACTGAACAAGGGGAAAGTGTTGGCCTTCTAACTCAGCTAAAGGTAACAGCACATTTGCACAAGTGACCTACAACATATATAGGAGTATTCACGCATTAATGAAAAGTTCATTCAGATATTCCAAGACGAAGAAGAATCCAGACATACAAAATGACTTATCTAGCTTAGAAAAATGGCGTTTGATGCACAAACAGGATAAGCTAATCAATAACCTTAGTGCGGTCTAAATCCCTAATTTTTGCAAACGTGAAGAATTAATGACAATTAACAACCTGCCAATTCTGCAAGTAAAACTTGCACTAGTACAGTATTGTCTCCAAAAGTTTGAATTACATCAATAATAACGAAATCAAGGAAATCCAATCGCACGTTGTGCACCATAAACAATCAAAAGGAACAATGAAAATACATACAAATCAATAAATATATTTACCTTGTCGAGAGGAATAGCAGCGACTGAGTCATAAACTTTCTTTGATTGTGCAATAATTCTATCCGCCAATCTCAAAATTTCTGAAGCCGTTAGATTTATTTGCACATTTGATCCTCGAACCTCTGAATCATTAAATAACAAGACATTTGAGAAATATAAAACTTCTTCCTCAACAACCAAATTAAGTTCACTGTACAATGGAAGTGAAAAAACAAAGGAGAATGAAAAGAAATCATAAACCTCTCTTTTTTCGGTTTCTGGAACGAGAATTGATGGCCGAAACGGCGAAGTTGACCGCCAGAGCCAGAAAAACAGCGGCAGCGCCGCCGGTCAAAGCTACCAGTCTGCCGCTCCTCTGCTCTCGCTTTCCTTGGTCGGAAGACATTTTTTTGCCGCGTCCCGGCAGATTGAGTTAAGCGAAAATAGATACAAAATAAAAAATAAAAATAAAAATAAAACAAATCCAAATTTGAAACCCTCTCGTCTGAGCAGAGACAGACGGAAAATGCGAGGGAAACGTTTTTTTGGGGTGATATATTTCAACGTCCGACAAGAAGAGCCACGTCAGCAAAATGGCCGCCGTTGATGGATTTAAATAATTGGGCTAACGGATTATTTGGGCCGATTGGCGGGGTTTAAGGCACGCAAGTTAATGGGCATTTATGATGGATTGGGTGGGTGGGTAGATCCGCCGAAGTGATGTTATTCATCTAAGATGAATAGATAATAATCCAGATAAGGAAAAAAATAATTACTGCCGCAGTAAAAGTTTTGTGGAACTTGAAACTTAGCAATGTTATGCACTATGTTCGTAGTAATTGATGGTACAATTAGATGTGCATTTTTAGCAATTCTTATATGATAGACCATGGTGTACATTGCAATGTGGACCAGGGATTGTAAACACGCGTTTGAGAGAAAATAAGACTATGGAAAAAAAAATAGTCATAGAGAGATAAAATAGAGAAAAAAATAAGAATTTAATTTTTCTCTTCTAATTAAATTTCTTTCTTCACCGTATAACTTCCAACAGAAATTTTTACAAGACTGTTTTCTCTGAAACTCTACTACTGATGGCTAATGAGGATGAATAGCTTTCAATCTATCAAAATTCAAGAGTGTGTCAATGTTAGCGATGGGGAATCAATTGCTAATGGAAAGAAGGGTTGATTTTATATATTGTTTGTATATAATTTGGTTCCCACCATATGTCTTGCTGCAAATCAAATAAACAAGCAGAAAATTTTGTTAGTTTTTTTTCTATTTTCAATCGCGCTTCAAATCAATCAAAATTTAATCATATCAAATTTTCTCGTTGATCGAAGGGATGGGAATTAATTTACTATTTCAGTGACGATTATTAGCTCGATGGCACGGGAATTCATTTATAATGGAAAGAAAAAAGGTTTGGTTTGATTTATCTTTTCTATTTAGGGATCAAAACATTTGAATTTTTTTGTGGATATTAATGGTCAGTGATTCGTTAACCTTGTAATTATTTTTGCCAATGTTATTGAAACGTTTTTGTTTATACATATTTGTGCAAAAATTTATACAAGATGGCCTGATTTCTTATATTTTTGTGGATACTGTTTCTTCGTATTACTATTGTCAAACAGGTGTAAAGATAGGATTTTATTTTATTTGAAAAAATCATATACTTTTGTATTAAAATTTATACACATAATATATATTGTTCATACATAAATTCTTGGTTTTTGTTTACTCCAAAGTTAGAAAAAAAAGACATAATAAATTATGTAAAGGTTGTATAGTTTTTTTATATATATAAAATTCATACACATGATATTTATTGTTCATACACGAATTTTTCACTTTTTTAATCCAAAGTTATAGCAATTAGATTATTATGCATATGTGGTTACTCCATGGTTTTTAAAATTTACCTAAATGTTAGTGTGTTATTCATGATTCTTTTTTAAGTAGAAAAACTTAAATGTACTTATATATTTGTGTGCTTCTCAAATGTATTTATATAATTGTTCATCCACGAATTTCCATAATCTGCCATCATGTATCTATCTATTCATATATCTTTAACTTTATGTTCATAAAATATTTTATCAAGTTTAAATATCTTTTAAAATTCATATATAACTCATGTAATGTTCATATTTACTCAAAATGAGGTTCACACATTTTATTGAGAGTTAAATTTTGAAAAATACCATAATGATTTATGCTTTCATGTTTTTAAATATTTCATCGAAATTATCTGCAAAAAATGCTTAATCATGAAATTTAAATGAATGTATGGGATTTGACTTTATCATGAATGTGTGATTTAAAGTTTAAATTTAGGATGAGATTAAATAATAGCTAATAGTAGAATATAAATTCTTCTAATTCACACATTCTTTAAGCATGTGTGATGCACTCTCTCTTTGGGATCACATTGCTAGATAGACCATGGTCCAGAATATAATTTGCCCATTTTTAGTAATTATACAGTCATACGCTATTACATAGTTAAGATGTGAAGTTTGCATAATGATACGATTATTGATCGATATATATCAAAGAATGATTATGTAGTATTCTCTTCGGTCCTTATTACAACGCATTTTGATTTCGTCGTATTTTTCACCTAGAATGCTTTTTTAATTGGAAAAAACCTTAAAAATATATTTTCAAATTCGTTGTGTTCTCATAATTACTATGATATATTTTTAAGGTTTTTATTTCAATTAAAAAGACATACTAAGTAAAACTTATGACGAAATCAAAATGCCTTATAATAAGAATCGGAAAGAGTACTATTTAGTTATACAGAGTTACACCCGCCTTCTTATGTATTATCCCCCTAAATGCTAATATCACGGCTACAGTCCACTAGTTTATGAAAATGCAGATAAAAACGAGTGTATGGCTCCATAATTTTATTCTTGGTTATAATAATGGTACAAGTAAAATCTTCTAGTATTTTCAATAACATATGAGTTATTCGTATTGATAATGAATTGCAGTTTGAATTACGGAATAATTATTTAGGACATACACGAACGAATTTTGATAAGCTTAAGGTTGGTTTATCAATTTCTACTACCTTATCAATGAAAATAAAAAATAAAAAAAAAAGGAGAAAAGTTTGGTCCTCATCCTCCTCGAAGAAATTGATAGTTGGATTCTGATATGTTATTTGACTGATAAACTACCAACACGAAAATATCTCTAGGTGTGGACTGCAAAATGGTTATCAAAAAGAGAACTCCAAAATGAATCATAAACTGAAATATTTTTAGTTGATCTCTCTATATATATACTTGTGATGTCTGGTCGCGCAATACGCGACCCTGGCCTAGTATATCTGTAGATCTTAGAAATGTTTGTATTGAAAAAAAAAATATTTCGTATTTGTCCCGATATATTTTAAAAATATTTGAAAAATTTATAAATGTTTTATAAGTGTGATCATAGAAATGTTTGTATTTGGCAAAAAAAAAAAGTCTATTTGGCGAGGTACGTTTTAGAAATGTTTGAAGATTTTAGAAATGTTTTATAAGTGTTACTTATTAAATATAAATAAACTTGATCAAGTATATGTCTTGAAGTAAATGTTAGACAAAATATAAAAGTATCCTAATAAGTTTAAATATTAGTAAGATAATTTATTCATGTTCTCCACTTGTCATGCCAAATCAAGACTTAGTTTTGGAGATTTATAATAGCTTTGTAGAAAACTTTATTCGAAGGGTGTAGGTTTAATTATTGGAACTGTTTCTTCCAAAGGTTTATAACTAGTAAAATATAAAAAATATGATTTTGAAACTGGTTAATTGTTGAAACTGGTTGATCACAAATATGAGAATGAAAATTAATATAAATTTGCATAGGTTTCAATTATAGCAAAAAAAGAACTCACCTCACCATGACAAATAAAAAAAAGGTAAGTTAAAAGAGTCCATTAAAAAATGAGAAATTATTTTTTCCTGTAGGTAAAAATGATGTATAAAAACACAAATAAACGTAGAAACATCATTCCTTCCCTCTCCACCTCAAATTCATAAAAGGCTTCCCCATAAATTAGTTACAAGAAGCGACCTGAACTATTTATATGATGAGGAACTCAAAAAAGTCCAAAAATCAAATCCAAAGAAGTATATTCTTGAAAACCCGAACACAAAAAAAAACGCGCTTCATTTGCAAAAATAATAATAATAATAATAATAAGTATTGGTTAACTAGGAGTATAAAACAAAATCAAAAGAAATTAATCAAAGAAAAAACACAATTCATAACTGATCATATACGAAAAAAATTGAGACTCAATAATTAAAAAAAGAAAAATCATTCTAATTGAATAAAACATAAAAAAGAAATTAAAAAAACCACACTTTGTAACAAAAACCCAATTAATCAATTCAATTCAAACGGAACTAAAATCATATAAAAATTCTAAGCTAACTAACCATATTAGAAATCACATCATATTACCTGGCAACGGCTACGGTAGTTGTAACGGAGGACGCATAAAAATAATAGTAATAACACTATTCTTGAACGGAAAAAACAAAAAATAATAAAAGCCGTACAAATGATCTGTGCATATAATATCATTTAAATTTTGAAATCTGTAATGGCACCACCACAACGGCCGAAAGCAACATCAATGATATTTTTTTTTTCCTTTGTGTTTATATAGAGAGGTAAAGAGAACATTTTTTGAAGTCAAAATTTTATCTGATTAGGATGTAGTTAATCATCACTAATGAAAAGATTGAACATGCTAATAGGAAAGAAGTATATTTCATCACATATTCTCAATTGATGATTGATGAGGAATTTGTTCTTTTTTTTTTATTGTGGAGAAGGAATTGATTAGGGAGTCGATTGTCGTGGAGATGGAGATGAGGATTTGTGTTTTATAAGAAGCCGTGGTTTTGTTTTTTTGTTTTGGCGAAAATAGGAGGAGGTGGTGGATTGAACTGCATTTACTTTTTAAGTCTAGGAAACTGATATGTAAATAAAAATTTATTTTAAAAATATGATGTGGAAATGCCACATGGCAAATGGTGGTGCTTTCTCTTAAGTGTGATTTTTGTTTCTAATATAGTAAGATATCCTACTATATTAGAAATAAAAACCCCCCTTTCAAATACCTCTTATGATTGCCACGTGGCATGAAGAAAGTACTAAATTGCCCTTTTGTCTAACCATAACTAAATTATTAAATCCCCCTTTGCACTTTACGTGACACGTTTTTTTTATAATTTTTTCTTTATGTTTCATTCAATTATAGTGGTTTTCTTTTCTTAATTATGGAGTCTAAATTGAATTGAACAATTAAGTTTTTGTTACAAAGTGTCAATTTTGTTTTAAGCGTATACCCTTCGGATGAAAATTATTACAAAACTATTAAAAATCTCCAAAACTAAGTATTGATTTGGCACGACCAATGGAGAACATCAATAAATCATCTCTCTAATATTTGAACTTATTAGGATGCTTTTATATTTTGTCTAACATTTATTTCAACATATATATTCGACTAAGTTTATTTATATTTAATAAGTAACACTTATAAACCATTTCTAAAACATACATGGCGAAATACAATTTCTTTTTTTGTGAAATACAAATATTTTTATGATCACAC